TTGGCTCTATACACCACCACAATGGATATCAAATGAAACAAACAAGATGTGCTTTACCTGCAGACTGTCGGCTTTTATTTGAGGGTATTTACATCCAAATCAGGTGAACGTTGTAGGAATTACAACATTTTGCATATGTGCCCCCCACTTGTTAAGGAACCAAAAGTAATGGGACAATTGGCTTCTCAGCTGTTCCATGGCCAGGTGTGTGTTATTCCCTCATTATCCCAATTACAATGAGCAGATAAAAGGTCCAGAGTTCATTTCAAGTGTGCTATTTGCGTTTGGAATCTGTTGCTGTCACCTGTCAAGATGAGATCCAAAGAGCTGTCACTATCAGTGAAGCAAGCCATCATTAGGCTGAAAAAACAAAAGAAACCTATCAGAGAGATAGCAAAAACATTAGGCGTGGTCAAAACAACAGTTTGGAACATTCTCAAAAAGAAGGAACGCGCCGGTGAGCTCAGCAACACCAAAAGACCCGGAAGACCAGGGAAAACAACTGTGGTGGATGACCAAAGAATCCTTTCCCTGGTGAAGAAAACACCCTTCACAACAGTTGGCCAGATCAAGAACACTCTCCAGGAGGTAGGTGTATCTGTGTCAAAGTCAACAATCAAGAGAAGACTCCACCAGTGTGAGGGTTCACCACAAGATGTAAACCATTGGTGAGCCCCAAAAACAGGAAGGCCAGATTAGAGTTTGCCAAACAACATGTAATAAAGCCTTCACAGTTCTGGAACAACATCCTATGGACAGATGAGACCAAGATCCACTTGTACCAGAGTGATGGGAAGAGAAGAGTATGGAGACAGAAAGGAACTGCTCATGATCCTAAGCATACCACCTCATCAGTGAAGCATGGTGCTGGAAGTGTCATGGCGTGGGTATGTACTGTATGGCTGCAAGTGGAACTGGTTCTCTTGTATTTATTGATGATGTGACTGCTGACAAAAGCAGCACGATGAATTCTGAAGTGTTTCGGGCAATATTATCTGCTCATGTTCAGCCAAAAGCCTCAGAACTCACTGGACGGCACTTCACAGTGCAGATGGACAATGACCCAAAGCATACTGCAAAAGCAACCAAAGAGTTTTTGAAGGGAAAGAAGTGGACTGTTTTGTAATGGCCGAGTCAATCACCTGACCTGAATCCGATTGAGCATGCATTTCACTTGCTGAAGACAAAACTGAAGGGAAAAGGCCCCAGGAACAAGCAGGAACTGAAGACTGTTGCAGTAGAGGCCTGGCAGAGCATCACCAGGGATGAAACCCAACATCTGGTGATGTCTGTGTTCCAGACTTCAGGCTGTAATTGACTGCAAAGGATTTGCAACCAAGTATTGAAATGTATAAGTTTGATTTATGGTTCTTATTCTGTCCCATTACTTTTGGTCCCTTAACAAGTGGGAGGCACATATGCAAACTCTTGTAATCCCTACACCGTTCACCTGATTTGGATTTAAATACCCTCAAATAAAAGCCGACAGTTTGTAGTTAAAGCACATCTTGTTCGTTTCATTTGATATCCATTGTGGTGGTGTATAGAGCCAAAAATGTTAGCATTGTGTCGATGTCCCAATATTTATGGACCTGACTGTATATTATGTATATGTTAAAGCTACAGAAGTCTTTGGCCTTTTTACTTGCTGAAGATTTCTTTTCTAATCCTCACAGGCACAATGGTGACATGAGATCTCATCTCATTTACTCCCATCCCTCCAGGAGGGAAGGCAGAGCTATTTCAATCACAGCCGAGACACCAGAAAACACACATCTTAACATTTTATTCAGGTCTGTTTGATTAATCCCTTCATGCATTCCCCAACAAAACAGCCACATGGAACAAAGTGTTCTACATTTAATGGGTTATGATTACAAAGTATAATTTGGATAATTGAAAATATCAAAAAAGTCTTCAAAACTGTTCATAAAGGTCATAAAGTGTTCGAAAAGTCACATTTAAAAGTTTTTTCTTTCTAATTCCTTAAAAAATCTGTAAATATTTACATTTGCTTCTCAAAACTGTTGCAAAAGATTTTTCGCTTAAGAGCATCGGCTGTGGCATAGGGAGGGATTGTGTAAACACCAGAAGATTGAAGATGTAAACATAATTGTCAAAGATTATTTGATGTGTGGAGGATTACTGAGGAAGCTGTAGGTTTATTTTTTCCTTCTTTCATTTCTGTTTTTTGATGGGAGCTCTAGACGGAGATCAGACCGTAGCGCATGCTTCTAACGGGCTTGTTTCTGCTTCTGGGTGTTTTATGTGGTTTTATTGGCAGTCGCGAATCACAATGATCTCTTTCTTCTCTGCAGTGGCTCCCCTCTCTTGTTAGTGAAGAAGAATGGAGAAAACACTGTCCTCACTGGAGAACATGAAAGCCTGAGTGGGTGCTTCCCAGTTTTTGGGCTCCAGTGATGTAACTTTGCCAACATTGTGCTTTTGTTGCTGGGAAAGGGGCAGCAAGAGTTTTAAAAGATGACAAGTCAGACTTGGAGAATGCCCAGCAGCTTAACCCTCCCTATCAGGTGACCCCTCCAGGACAGGGGATGGTTGGTTTATCCTTTTAGGGTCCACGTGGCAGGGGTGAGGCGATTCTCGCTCCTCAAAAAAAAGGAAACCCCACCTCTGGTCCAATTGATAATTTGTCACTGAACATGCATTCATTTGGTTCGCAGTGTAATAGGAGGCATGCAGGACAAGGTAGCTTGTTATGCCATCGCTTCAGCGGTGGGTAAATCATCCACAGTGCATGACAAGTCAGACTTTAAAACAATATGGGTCATAACCTAAAGGTAGACGTATTTTTTCACGATATCGCGTCTGTGTCTGCACATTTAAAGCCTTGGTAAAATCGCTTTCATCCATCGCGCTGAACTGTGTAGTGGTGCAAAACACTTCCTGTCCCCATTTGAGTTTTGCGTGACTGCAGAGTCACGTGAGTAAAACCCAGCAACTTTGTAATCAGATTACTGCATAGTGGGATAGTTGGTAGCACTGTTTACTTGCAGTAAGAAGGTTACGGGTTTGAATCCCAGGTGGGGCCTTTATGTGTGGAGTTATCATCCATGCGTGTGTTTTCTCCAGCTTCCTCCCATAGACATATGTGTATGTTGTACGTTGCTCCAGATAAAAGCATCAGCTAAATGAATCAGCTATAAACACACAGTCGATGGTTGCTTCTGCAATTGTAAATTATTGCTGTATATTGAAGGGATACTATGTCACTTTTTCAAATTTTAAAATAATTTTCTTCAAGTGGCCAGAAAATCGCACTTGCAACTTCAGAGTGCATGCCCGGTCCCTGTTGGACTCAGTAAATTTGAGCTTACATACAAAAGCAAGCCAAAACTGCAAAGTCTCGCTTTAGCTTTGTGTTTAACTTTTTTTAAAAAAGTTATTTTTAGCTAACATGCTAATTCAGATCGCGGCAAAAAGAAAATATTTTATTTTAAAACCACCAGGTTTGTATTTATGTTTCAAAAATGTATGTGTAACTTCAGATTCTAAATATTAAGATTGAACTTTTTAGATTTTAATGTAAATATTTAGTTTGAACTTCATATATTTAAATATAAATCTTAATGGCTTTTATTGCTAATATTTTGGTTTATAAACGGTCAAATTAGCTAAGCTTGGATGTATAATTATAATTATAACTTTTATAACTTGTTTTGACACAACCTTTGTTCTGAATAGACATTTATTGACTAAGTAATATTTTATTAACTAATTCATATTTTATTACTCGATAATGTTTATTCAGAAAAAGATGAACTGAATATTATTGTAAAAATCATTTTCAGTGTGAAAAATAGACTTAAAACAATACAATAAAACATTTAATTGAAATTATTTCTGATTATTAGTTTTAGATTGGGCTTATTTTTTTCTACATAAAGGGCTGACATCTTAAGGTGTGTACATGCTACTGGGCCTACTTGTGTTGGTACCCCAACGTTCACACGATGCACCAAGCAGCACATCTGTTTGCACTTTCCTGCAGAGGCATGTATTAGTAAACGTAAAACAGCCCTGAGAAAAACTTCCGTCCCGTTATGTTTTTTCTTCTCCTGCAGCCATCAGGTTCCCTCACAATGCGGCTCTGACTCCAGCTTATTCCGGGATGCAAAATTATCCTCCCAAAATGACAAAACATAACATTATGCTTTTAAATCTGTTCTTTTCACTTGCATAGAACATTTGGCTTTTTATAGTCCTGACACATAAAATCTACCCTGTAATTCAGCACACCATGAAGTTATTTTGGAGAACAGAATCTTTACTTTGGACATAGAGGTGTGATGGTTTTCCGGGTCTTCTGCAGCTCTGGCATTTACCACTAATACCAGCTCTCTCTCCATCCACAGACACTGTAAACATGTATGTTTCCAATTAAGTCGGCTTGATGCTAATGCAGATGAAAGACGGCCCTGCTGTCGGCGGCCTCCTTCCAGCCGCGTTTCACCGGCATTAAGCCCGGCTACCAGGCCTCTTAAAAGGGGCTCCTTGAACCAAGATGTTCATTAGTTTAACTGGGTCTATAAAGATAGCAAGGCTCCTTTAATTGATGAAGCAGATTGCTTCACTCATTAGAGGAACTGGTTTACTGAGGCCAAAAGCTCAATCAGTACTCATGAGATGGAGGGTAGTGCCAGGGTTTGCTGTATGACTCTGAGCACATGAGCACAACTCCTTAGAAAATTAACACAAATAAAGTGTGTGCAACCTTGTAATGGTGGCAGATACGTCAAAGTTCTGTTGTGATACATAAAGTGTTTGTTGACTTGTAGAAAAAGGTCAGCCAAGCGCTTGATGTTCTTTTGTGTAAGTGTTATGTTTAATTTTTAGCCCAATTGAAAGATTCTTCAGATGTCTCTCTGTAAATCTCAAAGGAAACTCTGAAAAAGTGGAATGTTAAATCCTAATTTCCCCAGTGGAGACCGCAGCTATTATTCTACCTCCACACTAATTGCGTGTCTCTCCCCGTCTCACAGACGATAGAGAATGGGCTGTGTCCAATGTAAGGATAAGGAAGCAGCGAAACTCACTGATGACCGGGAGACCAGCCTGTCGCACAACTCGGGCTACCGCTATGGGTCGGACCCCACGCCGCAGCACTACCCCAGCTTCGGCGTCACCACCATCCCCAACTACAACAACTTCCACGGCGCGGCCACGCAGGGAGTGACCGTCTTCGGAGGGGTCCACTCGTCCACGCAGTCTGGGACGCTTCGGTCCAGAGGAGGAACAGGTGAGATTAAAATAATTATTTTAATAGCTGCAAGGTAGATTGATTTTGCACTGATATTGTCTTCATGCAACAAATGGATCCTGCTGCAGAGGACACGAGTCCACAGCCTGCACATTAATGGGAAGCAGAGTGACCTAAATTATAGCCGATGCTCTGTGAGCCACATCTGACAAGCAGAAAGGAGCAGACATTTTGCTGAAGGGTGCTAAGCCGCCTCCAGTGTGCAGGATTTGACTTTACAGGCTTATAAGATTTTAAAGATGCACATGATGTGAGAAACAGAAATTAGCAGCACCTCCTGCTTCATGTTTTTTAGGATCCTTCGTTTTTTCTGAAGGTGCATCCCAGTGAGTCACATCTGTTGAGTCAGCACGGTCAGCGTGCATTATTAAGAGATTACCCCAGGAGGGCAGCTTCAAGCTGCATTTATGTCTAAGAGCATCAGACGAGGAGCTGGGCTTAAAGAAGGGAAAGAAGTCAACTAGGTCAGAAGTCAAGCTGAGATGGAGCAATTTTGCTCCACACAAGAGTGGCACTGTAGCTTTTGTAGGATTTAGATCCAATCAGAAAATGAAATCGTTTTACAGTTTTAGGCTTATTAAAAGATACAGGAACTCCAGAGAAATCTCCATTAGAAATCTAAATTTGAAAAGGTTCCTCATCTAGAACCTGGCATCAAAAACTCACTCGCTTAAAACAAATCCAAAGCTTTGCATAGTAAACGTCCAATAATTCATTTTCTTTCATCTGGTCTTTATCTATCTGTCATTTTTTAGTTTTAGTCTGCACCAGCCATTTTTTATAGATTTTCCTGATTTTTCTTGACTTTCCAGTCATTCTGTGTGGTTTTTGGAGGAAACGAGCTTCCTGTTGTGACTGGAAATCTAAAATATATAAGAAATGCAGATCATTAAAACAAGACGAGGAGCTGCCTGGAGCTTGTGGATTCCAGCAGTTTCAGAGAATATCAACATAAAACACAAAACATCAAATGCCCTTTAACAGTGGCTCAAATCTTGAGAGGGTTTTCATGTTTGCAGTCTCTTGAATTCCTACTAAATTATTTTCTGTTTCTCATTGAAGACATCCCATAATGACTCTGAGTGAGAAGCAGATGTTCTCCAGTTGTCGCTGAATCACTGTGCAAAAAACAAAAAAAGAAGGAAAAATGCATTAAACTCTGTGTGTGGGATCCTATTTGACATAAACACGTCTAAAGTGAAGATGAGATGAAGCTGGATGTTTTTGATGCGGCTCATGTTTTTGGATCGCCCGTCTGTGTTCCTGCAGGGGTGACTCTGTTCGTGGCTCTGTACGACTATGAAGCCAGGACTGAGGATGACCTCAGCTTCAGAAAGGGGGAGCGGTTCCAGATCCTCAACAGCACGTAAGTGTGCAAGCATCCGTGTGACGGCATTAGGAGGGTGGTGGTCGAGTTCTCCTTCTGCATTTTTATTTTTTTATTTTTCATCATCATCTGAAAGTTGAAACCGGGATAAGATGTTGTAACAGAAAGACCAGCTGGTTTTTTGTGTTGAAGACTTTGGGAGTTGACTCGTGTTTTTATTTTTTTTAACTGACACAGAAATGCACAGTTCAGTCTGGACAAGGATGTTAAAGGGAGTTTTTGACCAATGTAAAAGTTACTCAAAAGCCTTTTTGTGGAGAAACTGTGCTTGTATCTGACAGGATTGATGAGCTAACGGCTAGTCCAAGTGTAACAAGACCAAAGTGTTTCAGTGTCATCTTAAAGAGCAAGTCACCCACAAATCAACTTTTGTTTGCTGATAAGCTATGCAAATAAATGTCTAATCATGCTGTAGACATGTGTACCCAATAACTTGGCATTTAAGTGCATCTTAGTTAAAATTTAAATATTTTGCCTAAAACTGTCAGGTAAAAACTCTGCACTGCATTTGAATTTAAACATGCCATCGCTATTAGCTAAGAGGTAAACTATGATTAGTTTGATTAGATGGTACATTATGATGTCAAAATGTCATTGTGAGCCATTGTGTGTGTGTGTGCGTGCGTGCGTGTGTGTGTGTGTGTGTGCCAGACAACATTAGTCGTCGCATTCTTCTCAAACAGGAAGTGGGAGTGGAGTATAACTCTGGTAGGGGGTGGCATGCTCTTTAAAGTAACACTGAACAGTTTCCTGCTTCTCCTCCCTACTGGTTGAATGTGGAATTACAACAGTCATAAATGACCTTGAAACAGCCTGCTGTAGCTAGCGCTAACAATGAGCTAACACTAGCATGAGCCAGCTACTACAACAAAAATAAACCACAAAGTTAAAAGATCCACACTGTTGGCCAAACATTTTTATTACTTACAAGTCCCGTAGCAACAAAGCCAGGTCACCATCAGCTTGCGACCTTGTAGCCTCCTTTAGCTTCCTCAAACTAGTGTAGGCCGCGTTGATATTCACTCTGGTTTTAGCTCTTTGCTTTGCGTTCTAAGACATTACTCTCTTACTTTTACTTTTAAGCTCTGCCACGATGCCAATAGAAGAAGCAAACTTCTTATTTTTCTTCCTCTTGTGCTTTTCATTGACGATCGGCAAACTGAAAATGCTAACCGCTAGCATTACAGCTAACAGTTGTAAAGCAGGTGAAGAGCAACCCCTAGGACACCTACCTGCTCCACAAAACAATCAAGTGTAGTTTTTGGTCAGCAGATGGCTGTTTCGTTAAAAGGGCTCCAATTTACAAAATATAACCGTTCTTGTGAAAATAAACCTTCATATCAGAGTTTAATGAGGTTTTAACAGGGGTTCGCATTTTTTTCAATGAGGTGCTCAAGTGAGTACCCCGCCTCCACTCCTTTACTGAACACAAGTTATGGACAGCGAGGTTGGAAGTGCACCGTTACTCTGGAACCAGTTGCCACCCTCAGTTAGGCTGTCCCCTTCTCTGCCAGTCTTTAAGAATCACCTAAAAACACACCTCCTCCGCTTGGCGTTTCCAGAACATGTTTGATTATGGCCCTCTATTATGTTGAATCCATCCCACAGTTTTCATTGGTACACTCAATCCATCCACTCAATCCAATTGTGTTTCACACATTTGTATTTTACCGGAATGTTTCATCTATCTTGTTATTTCCATTTTGTATTTTGTAATTTGTATTTTGTAATTTGAATTTCTTTTATTGTTGATTTATTCAGTATAATTACTTACAACTGTACCATGTTCAGCGCTTTGGGCTTCCTGACAGGGTTGCGGAAGGCGCTTTATAAATAAAGCTTTGATTGATTGATTGATTGATTGAAGTGATTGGCAGTAGTGAGGGAAGTTTAGTGAAACACAAGGTTTTAGCAGTCTTGGTGGTGGTAGTTTCTCTGTAGTTAGGAGCTTGTGATGAGCATGCGCGTTCTTCTGCCTGGGCATATGCTGGATCAGTTGGGGAAACATAGAAATAGCATTGCTTATACTGACGTAACACTGGTGTGAAAACAGTGTTAATTTCGCTGACTACATTTTTTTTGTGCCGAGTGAATTTTCACGTATTAAAACGAAATTAAATTGGATGACTAAGTTGTGACTAAAATGAAAAATAATTTCAGTCAAAAGACTAAAACTAAATCAAAATATCTTGTCACAATTAACACTGTGCAAAAAAGCACGGTGGAAAAGGTGCATGCATTATTTTTGGTGGGCATGTGCACAACCTGGTTATTTACTAGCATAAGCATGTAGCACTTGCACTGTTCTGCAGAGTGAAACCTGCAATGGCAAACCCACAGCAGTGAAGAAGTTTATAAAGTAACATTTACAAGAAGCGTTGAGACATTTTTGAGGATTACTCTTTCATCTTGACTGTACTCGGACTAGCCGTTAGCTCATCAATCCTGCATACTTTGTCTTTCCAAACACAGCAAAAATTTACATAATCTGCAAATTAAAAAGGGAAAAATGCCTTTCTTTACATCTTTGGCTCCTCTAGATTTATAATTGTAGTCGCTTCCACCCCCCTTCTTTAAATCACCTCTGCTTCTGCTCGTTTCAGCGAGGGGGACTGGTGGGAGGCTCGCTCCCTTACTACAGGTGGAACTGGATACATTCCCAGTAATTACGTTGCTCCAGTGGACTCGATCCAAGCCGAAGAGTGAGTAAAACTTTTTCAGGGGAGCGTGCACGCTCGCCCACAGTCGCTCCATCACCACACAGCATCATGAATATTTAAGAATGTATCTCTCTCTTATTTTTTGTTTAAGAGTGGGTCACGTCAACAATATTGAACTCATTTGTTTTCTCTCCTGCAGCTGGTATTTTGGTAAATTGGGTCGAAAGGATGCAGAGAGGCAGCTGCTTTCTGGTGGCAACGCTAGAGGCACCTTCCTCATTCGTGAGAGTGAAACAACCAAAGGTGCAGACCTGATGAATGCTTTTCCCTTCTAACTCAACAGATCTGTTTGCAAATAGAAATAGAAATTATGTAGCCCCCATGTTTTTCTTTTGTTTGGTGTTGACGTGTTTCATCTCTGCTGCAGGGGCCTATTCTCTTTCCATCCAGGACTGGGATGACGTCAAAGGAGACCACGTTAAGCACTATAAGATCCGTAAACTAGACAATGGAGGCTACTACATCACCACCAGAGCCCAGTTTGAGACTCTCCAACAGCTAGTTCAGCACTACTCTAGTGAGAATGCTGCATTTATGTGTCAGAAAGCAGATTTTGGTGGTTCCTCCCCTCCTTCCTCACAAATAAATAAATGTTTCCACATATCTCTCCAGCCAGGGCTGCAGGGCTGTGCTGCAGACTAATCGTGCCGTGCCACAAAGGCATGCCTCGTCTGACCGATCTGTCCGTCAAGACCAAAGACGTGTGGGAGATCCCGAGGGAATCGCTGCAGCTCATTAAACGCCTCGGCAATGGCCAGTTTGGAGAAGTCTGGATGGGTGTGTGTGTGTGTGTGCGGGTGTGTTTGTGTCTGGACAGCTGCGGGCGAAGTCGTGCAACAGCTGTATGAGTTCAGAGAAGAGGGTTTCGCCATTTTGTTGTTCATTGTCTTTGTCAGGCACATGGAACGGTACTACCAAGGTGGCGGTGAAGACGCTGAAACCAGGCACTATGTCACCCGAGTCCTTCCTGGAGGAAGCTCAGATCATGAAGAAGCTCCGACACGATAAGCTGGTGCAGCTGTATGCGGTGGTGTCTGAGGAACCCATCTACATCGTCACTGAGTACATGAGCAAAGGTAGGAGCCGCTAATAGATCTGGCACTGTTCAGAATAGGAAACATCCACTATTACAGGTGATTTGGATGAAATAAATCATAATAATAATACTACAAACAGATGTCAGTGCCTAATGAAACAACCACATCTCAAGCAGGTTTCACAGATTTGCTTTAACAAAATCCTTTTTTGGTTTCTTTTCAGGAAGTTTGCTTGATTTCCTTAAAGACGGGGAAGGACGAGGCCTCAAACTGCCAAATCTAGTGGACATGGCAGCTCAGGTGTGTCATAATTATCATTGTTTTTGTTTATTTGTGAGGTAGTTTTGATCATGTGGCAAACATGGCTTCGGTATGAGTTGCTAAAATTTCTTAGCACAGATCTGATGACCTTTGAATCTGTTAAATGTTAAATGGGAGAAACAACTCCATCTCCAGGTGGCCGCAGGAATGGCGTACATCGAGAGGATGAACTACATCCACAGAGACTTGCGTTCTGCCAACATCCTGGTAGGAGACGGCCTCGTGTGTAAGATCGCTGACTTCGGTCTGGCTAGGCTCATCGAGGACAACGAGTACACGGCGAGACAAGGTACTGGTGTATTTTTGTTTTAATCAGACGAGCTTTCCTTTTGTTTACATGGAGGGGGCAGGACTTAAAGAGATACTTAGCAAATTGTTCATATTTTTAAATCATTTTCTTGAGCAGTATGTGCTAAAACGATCCTTTACAGGGTTAATGAAATGTCACTCAGACCCATGGACGTAATTTGGGGGGGGGGGGCACAGGGGGAACATGTCCCCCCCCCCCCACTTTTTCCAAACTCATGTTTTGACCCCTGCGCTTTTTACCATCCAAAAACAATATTACACTATATTAAATTGACACTGGTTGAGCTCTGGGACCAAGCGGAAAACAACCGTTTGTGTGGAAGCCTGTTTCCCATTAGGACATACTGTAAAGATACCCCCCCCCCCCCCCTCCCGTGTCCCCCCCACTTCTAAAGTGAGAATTACGTCCATGCTCAGACCCCTGTTGCCCCCTTTGGCCAGAATACCACACTTGCAACTTCAGAGTGATGAGCCACCCCCTGTTGGTTGTAAATTGTGAGCACAGCTGATTTGTTTCACTTAGTGATAAACGCTCCTATAGAAACTAATGAAGGCTGGGGAGATATTTCAGCAGTTAGATTAAGGTGGTAATAAGATGAACACACCGCGAAGAGATAAGTTTCACTTTTGTTGTTACTAACAGGACACTAGTGGGTGATAAAAGCAAGCCAAAATTGCAAAGTCTCTCTTTAGCATGAGCTGCACAAAAGGAACTTCCATGCTCCAGTATTCACAAACTGTGCCGGTTCCAAGAGCGAACTGAGAGGAATGAAACTGTTCCGTAACTTTCCTGCCTAGAAAACCACAGGAAGGGGGAAAATCTGAACAGTGGAGAGTGACCTACTTACTCTTTGAGTATTTCTGCGGGAACTTCAGCTGCAAACACATTTGCTACAGTTTTAACAAAAAGGGTTCATCTGTTTTGTTTCAGGTGCAAAGTTCCCCATAAAGTGGACCGCTCCCGAGGCGGCGCTCTACGGGAAGTTCACCATCAAGTCCGACGTGTGGTCGTTTGGCATCCTGCTGACAGAACTGGTGACCAAGGGCAGAGTTCCCTATCCAGGTGGGACCTCTCAGCTTTAGTCATTTGAAAAGCTGACTTTACTTGATTAAATTGAGTGATGCTCATGCGTTCATCTCCTCCAGGCATGAACAACCGTGAGGTGCTGGAGCAGGTGGAGCGAGGCTACCGGATGCCGTGTCCACAGGACTGCCCCTCATCTCTGCACGAGCTGATGGTTCAGTGCTGGAAGAAGGACCCGGAGGAGAGGCCCACCTTTGAGTACCTGCAAGCCTTTTTGGAGGACTACTTCACAGCCACCGAGCCTCAGTACCAACCAGGAGATAACCTCTGAACACGTCCCTCATCACCCTATGTCATTACACGGGTACTCCACCAGAGAGAGCCAGACACCACCTTTTCCCTCATCTTAGAAAAGCTTTTTGACAGATTTTTTTGACTTCCAAACTTTACACAAACAAGGATGAAGGACGAGCGGCAGCAAAGCCACCATTGGATCAAAGGATGTTTTGGAGCTGGGCGGAGAATTAATGAAACGAACAACCCGAGTTACGATGTGTGATTTGTACAGAGTGTAAATATAAATTGCTTGTTTACTTGGCTTTTTTTTGTTTGTTTGTTTGTTTAATTTTATATTACTTTTGATAATTTGGGAACACGTGGCTTTTGTTTCTTTTTTAATTCTAAGATGTTTGGGATTCACGGCTGGCTGCAGATAGAAAATACAACACGGTTGGTAATAGATGTCGTAGACTGAACTTCGGGGCGTTCTCTGACCTTTTTTACTCGACTAATATAAGAATATTTCTCTCCTCAAGGATTCTAGATGTACAATAAAACCTGTTTTTGCCTTTTCTTGTTTAGTAATATTCTTCTAATGCAAAGGAATGCCTTCATGCTTTATACACACTAACTCAGTGCATCATGGAGACACGTCCATCCCAGCTCAAACCCCACAGCATCGGCGCTGGTATTAAGTGCATTCATTGCATTTCGGCTTAAGCCAACAATTTTTAGAGCGGCTTCAAGTAACTTTTAGTTTAGCTTTGTGTAGTTTTAAAAAAAGGGTCTGAAACTAATGTTTAGGTGACTGCCTAGTATACTGATGACATTTTACAGTGTATGTTGCATTAATGTTCAGCAGCAGGCTGTATAAGAACTCTGATCCTTTTTGCTTCAGCGGCCAAAAAAATGCCACTGACATGTTGAGAATGAAGGATGTGTACTCATATTTGTCCTTTATGTGTATTTTTAAATAACATGTTGTTTACAAGACCATTTTTATATTCTTACCAGTGTTATGTGTTACAGTTTGTTTTTTCTTTGAGTTTTAAATGACTTGAAGCTCACTTCTGAATGAGAACGTGTTACCCCAGGATTAAAGCACCATTCCAGTGTATTTATGTTGCTTTCCATGGCTGGTAAAGTGAATAACATCTTTTATTTTGTACCTACTTTTATCCTAATTTATTAGGCATACAAAAAGTTTTTGGTCTCATTATTATTTATTGTCTGTCTGTTTCTTGTACACAGCTGGTTTTAAAATAAATAATCTTGCAATTATTTCACTGCTGGTTTTAAAAGTGGTCTGATGTAAGAAAATTCTCTAAAGAATAATAAGTCCTCTGTCACAAATTAAGACATTTAGAGCACGAGTGCCCAAACTTTTCAAGACAATGGCCAAATTGGCACATTGGCAGTCATCACAGGCCACAGAAATTAGATTTTTTTTGTAATATTTAATAAAATGCAAAAAAAAGGATTTTTTTCTTGTGTACTCATTGAAAAAAATTCCAAAATAGGCAAATTAGTAAAAGTGTGCGATGTCAAAAATACCATTACATTAACAACCTGATAGACAATCAATTCTACGAAAGCAACTGGGGGGCCACAAATGGCCCCGGGCCTTATTTTGGACATACCTGTTTTTGAGCCTTGTGATTTAAAAAGCTAAAACTAATAATCGTATGACTCTTAGTTGACCTCATTTAAATTATGTAAATCTCTATTAAAACTACTAAGTTACTCATGTTGGTACTGCTAACCCATTGAGCTTTATTTAACTCAGTCATTTTATTACTTTACCCAATTCACAATAAAAGCCACAGCATGAACATTCTGTGGATTAAAGGTGCATTATGTAAGAATGACACCCTGTGGTCAAATTTGGGTACTGCGACTCATTTTCAAATACGGGTGACTTTTTGACTAACATTCCACGAGTTTCATGTTTACAGCTACGGTTCAGCACCAGAAGACTCTAAATGATGAGCGAAGACAAGTCATACTCTGTAGGTTCCTAAGTAGGTTCACTGTAATATGGTGGTATTGGTAATAGAAAATACTTCTTGAGATTACTTTTTTAGCTAACAGTTTTTTTCTAATTCATCGTTAGCATTGTTAGCTTAATGTTAGCCACTAGCCTTCTTCATCTGATATTATAGTAAAACAAATAGAGACTGTGGCTTACAACTTTTGGGTTGCTCCTTATTACTGGTTTAGGATTTTCACAAACACTGCTGTGTTTTGCCGGCCGGTGTTGAATTACAAATGCCCGGGCTGCAGTGTTAGCTGGTGCAGACTCTGCAACCCATCAGTCACACAAATTCTAAACAGACTCTCAAGATTATTTAAAAGGAGAGAAACTGACACGCCCCCAAGAGGCTGAGAAGAAAATCTGCTTTAATGTAACTTTCCTTCCAACATGATGGAGACTTCAGACTGTTTTGTGATTATTTCCCTGCAAAAATTCTCACATATTGTACCATTAAAGAAATATATTAGGTAACCAATAATTAGTTTTAAGAGAATGTTAATTTCCCCAAAACCATTCAGGCCAATATACTTAAACCATAACACCAGGAAGCATACTGAAAATGCTGTATACTCAGAATTTGCCACAAGGTGGCGCTATGTCCTTTTACACAGAGCTGGACAGTGGGTGGTACACTGTGAAAAAGTATTCATTCCATCACAGGTCTAACGGAGACATGAGAAGACAGAAATCCTGTTTACACACACCTAAGATGTGTGAACTGTGAGGAAAAACACACAATCACAAAAACACAAAACTGAGATTTGAAGCCTTCTTGCTTCTAAATGATACAGATGTGTTCTAGGGTTCAATGGGTGTTAAAAGCATTTTAACATAACTATACCCTCTCTCTCTCTCTCTCTCTCTCTCTCTCTCTCTCTCTCTCTCTCTCTCTCTCTCTCTCTCTCTCTCTCTCTCTCACACACACACACACACACACACGCAAATATATATGTATATTTAGCTACGTCATTAAAATGTATTATTTTTCCACATGAGCGTCTGTTAAATGTCTTTAACTATTTGCTGTGTTGTAGAAACTAAGACAGTCTCCATTCCTGGTTTTAGGAACATATATTAGTTTTTAAATCAGGCAATCTTAGTAGGGGTTGTCCTACTGATCAGATCTGATTTTGCTCCCCCTTCAACGGCCAAAAAAGGTTTGTGAGAACAGCTGGTGTGCTGAGCTCCAGCTAAGAATAACCTGGACTTTCTGGGTGGATAAAGTTATCCTCCATCTCCTCCATGTGCTGACCTATCCCCATGTGAGGCACCAAAGACTCTGGGTGGGGTCCTCTGCACGCTCCCCTCACCCTACCCAGCCCCGTGCTTAGCTCGGCTCTTCCCTCCCCTGCTCTGCTGCACCCCACTGTCCCCACCTCAATGCTGCTGACCCGGCAGCTCCAAATTTCCCCCCCCTCCACACCTGAGAGCTTAAATTCTATTTTTTATTTCCTTTTCATTAAGTTGGACAACACCAGCAAGGATCACCAACTGGAAATGGAATAATTTATTTATTTTTATTGTATTTTTTTCATATTGAGTTGATGTTGATTGGATGTACTGAAGAGATCCCCAATCACCTCTACATGAGGAGGCTTTGTTTATAGCATAAATCCCTGAAACAGGCTCCACATCACCATGGCTGAAGGTAGGATACCAGTTATGATAATGATATATGCTGTGTACAATACAAAATATTTTCATTAGCAGTACCCTTCAAAGAGCAAGTGCTTAAAACTGTTGCTATAAATATAAGAGATCATGTTGCAGGGGTGCTAGCATTACTGTCCTTGTGACAGTAGAGCTGACCCCCACTCCTCCAACTGTGGTGGAAGAAAAGTACCGTTCATCTGCTTTAATTAATGTCTTAGTAAACGCTAACTCTAATATAGACATGAGGGAAACACTTATTCTTTATTTTTCTAATTCCATTGCAGTTCCAGTTCAAGTTTATAAGTTTAACATTCATATTTGTTGCATTGAAATGTGGTGGCCAACAGTGGTTGAAGATGGTTGGAGATTGAAGAAAGTGATAGATAGATAGATAGATAGATAGATAGATAGATAGATAGATAGATAGATAGATAGATAGATAGATAGATAGATAGATTGATTGATTGATTGATTGATTGATTGATTTGAGGTTGGTTTGGACACTCATTGGCCTTCATCAATAGTTTAATATGGTAACTTTATCTTCTAATTATTTTATTATTTATTTATTAAATTTAGTTTGTCTGTACATTAGGTCCTCAACAAATTTCACAATTTTACAGTAAAATAACAGAGTTTTGTGCAATTATACAATAAATTCAGCTGTATGTGACTATTGTTTAGTCAATTTCACAGATCACTGTGTATACTAGATGAGGAGAGGTTTCAGATCCTGTCACATGCTAGACAGAATGTTGTGAAATGCTGTCACAAGCATTTTTCTCTGGCGTGATAAACTTACTGGAAAGCTACGTGGTAAAGACACATTCACCTTTTTAGGTGTTAAATGGAAAAAAACAGACTTTGTGTTGATTATGTATGAAAATGTGGCTTTTTAATGGAGAAAGGGCATTTAATGAATTTCTGCAGAACCAGACATTCATTGTCAATGCTAATTAAATTATGGAGCTGTATTAGCATTTAAAAATATGTTGGTTTTTTTTCCTAATTGTTAGGTATCAATGAAGATTCGATTATTGTTTTATTTTTATTTTTATCTTTTATTTTTGCTATTTTGATCAAGATTTATTTCAGGCATGTCCAAAGTGTCACGTTTTGAGGATGTTTAGGACCCAAATATGCAGAAACCCAGGATGACACGAGGCTGGAGATGATGTAAAGTAAATATGCTTTATTTTGCAGGACGAACAAAAATAAATCCAAAGGCAGCGAGCCAAAAGTCCAAAAACCCTGGTAACAAAAACAAAAGCTCACTGAGAGCACCAAAACCTGGAGACATAAGCTCAACTAGAGCACGAAACAATGCTGACAAATATACAATGGACCAACAACAACACAGAGACAAGACAGGGCTTAAATAGACTGGGAAGATGAGAGGGAGATAATTGCAGGTGTGTGGGGAGAGGGACCAGGTGAATACAATTACTAAATCAGGGAGGAGGAAGAAAACACTGGTGGGAAAAACACACTAAATACTGAAAGACTGTAACAAAGGAAAATGACCTAAGAGAAAAACAAAAGACCAGAAAGCATGAACCATGACTAATATACTAAGGGGAAGCTGACACTAAAGGAAAACACTATAGAAAGAAACAACAGGGGCGTGGCTAAGAGGGGGCCAAGAGAGCACAGGACCTGGGAAAGGGATGTCTGAGGGGGGAAACCTAAAGGGCAAATGGGGAACACCAGGAGACACACGAGGAAGACACAGACTTAACACATGAGGGCGCTAGAAGACACAAAAGGAGCACCTAGAGAGGATGGAGAAACACCAGGAGGCACATGAAGGAAGGGGCAGATGCAGACCATGACACAAAGGGCAGCGCAGGGGGCATTTACAGCCCTTAGAGTGATTTTTTGTGGCCTCCTAGCTGCATTTCTATAATGATTAAATGTTTTAATTAAGACATTTCCTTATATGTGGCTTATTTTTGAGCAGTACAAATAAAAACAATTTTTACATTTTTGAAGTTAAATTTTTTGGCCTTCAAAGACTTTTACTTGATGATTTTGGTGATCGTTTTGAAAAGTCTGGACACCCCTGTTTTTTTTTATTGTAACAGGGTGTGATCACAGTGGAGGAGACAGTTATTGTCCAAGCGACCAATCCTAATAAACTACAGTGATTTAATGAGCTGATATTTATATTTTTATGTACACACACATTTTGTAGTTTTGGAACCATGGAATAATCTGTGTTTTCTGATGGACAGATGAAGTAACAGTGGCTCAATCTCTTGGTAATTTTAGAATCCAGGAGCCAGTTTTGTGATGATGCCTTCATATGTCCATGTCCAGGAGCCAAACCCACCTCGGCCAGTGGGCCCGGTGGAGCTGCACAGACGACATCTCTCAAATCTAAAGCTCTGGAGTTCCTTAGGAGGCTGAAAATGTCTGTGGAGCTGGTTATCGCGCTGGCTGCTCTCCTGTCCTGGGTTGTAGTGGGCGTGGTGATGTTTGACTTTGTGGAATACAAAGCAGTACCCGGTGAGTCTCAAACACCACAAATGCGAGGTAACTCTGGTTTAATTCAGTGAGAAAATGCAGGTTTAAGAGCAAATGTGTCCCAACGTTTCTCAGACATTCAGCAGATCGTAACGGACCCTGTTCAAGCTGTAAACAATGCTGTTGATGAAGTGTCGAGCCTTCTCAATAAGTTCCAAGGTACATCTAGCATGAGGAACGTTTTCATTAAATTAGGAAACACTTAAATGCATGACTTTCTCCTGTTTTCTTTTTCAGAATGTGCTCCTGATTTGAGTGACCCAATGTCTGCCGCTACGTACGCAGCTGAAGAAATAGCAGAAGCAAAAGATGGATTTGTTCGCTATTTTTCAGATGAAGAAGGTATAAAAACTCCCCTAAAGCACATTAGACCAACCAAAGAGAGGTGAAATAAACTGTTTTGTACCACAGGGACTTTCTACCTGAGCTACGTTGATCCTGTCGTTATCGGTAGAAGAGCTTTCCATTCAACCAATGATTTTACGTGTGGGATGCTCAGCTACCTCGGGGACACGCTGAGTTACGTAGTGGAGACTGTAACAGACGCCACTCTGGATATAAAGACAGGTGTGTTTTCTGATTATATCATATTTGATCATTTTATTTATTCCTGAACCACATAATAAATCTGATAAATCTGCATTTCTTTTCCCCTCAGGACAAATTGATCTTAGTTACATTGACCCTGTGATAATAGGCAGAGGCATCTTCAATATTACTAACAAGGTCTTGTGTGAAGTGATGGGGTGTATCCAGAATGGGCTTTGCTTCATACTTGACTCCATATTGGATTTTTCAACAGGTATTTCCTCATTCTTGTGCCTTATTATCATAATTACCATTTGAAAGCTTCACCTGTGCTCGTTTATTTCCTGTTTATCAGGGACGACTGACCTCAGCTTCATTGACCCCGTGGTGATCGGAAGAAAATTATTCACTTTTACAAACGACACGGTTTGTGGAATAACAGGCTACATCCAGGGCGTGCTCTGCATCCTGGTGGACTCCATACTGGATGTAACGAAAGGCACGTTTACCTTCAGTTATCTAAAGTCTGATACCAACTTTCTCCTCAGTTTGCATAATTTCCACGGTGATTTTCTGTTTGTATTTCTCAGGATCAACAGACCTCAGCTACATTGACCCTGTGGTGATTGGACGAAAAATCTTCAACGTTATAAATGACGCTGTTTGTGGAATAACGGGTTTCACCCAGGACATACTCTGCACCGTCATAGACAATCTAATGTATATTTTTAAAGGTAGAATATATTTAATGTAATCATTAGTAATGCACAGATATGAAAACTTGGGCCGATACCAACATCCGATATGGATACTGCTGTTATGGCCAGTGACTGATATTTCACAATACTATATACATGATATAGACCTTTGCTACACTTTTGACACTACATACAAGCCAGACCACCTACAGTGCAGCTCTGCTTCACCTGAACACCATAATCTTGCACTGCATCACAATCAGTGACACGTGCCCAAACAATTACCACAAGCCCAACCCCCCCACCCCCAAAACACATGCGCAAACATCATAAGGATGGAAATAAACATCGGTTGTTACTATCAAACCACTTGTACATAATATCAGACAAATGCCAGTATGGTAACAAACTTTTGGCCAACACCATTGTTGATGCATCGTACATCCCTAGCAATTATACCCTGTTTGATGACAGCTCTGTCTTTCCTGGCTGTGTGTGCTGTTCTCAGGAACAACTGATGTCAGCTTCATGGACCCCGTGGTCATCGGTAGAAAAAGCTTCAGCATTACCAATGACTTTGTGAGCGGAATAGCAGGATCCATCCAGGGAGTGCTCTGTGTTATTCTAGATGTGATACTGGACACTTTAAACGGTACTCATTGCTCCAGTTTACCACTTTTTTTTTAATTTCTCACCATAATGTGCACTATTCAGCTCCAGTTACCACAACAATTATAAGCAATCTTTCTTCAACTTCTCCAGGTGTCCAACAGGCTGTGGGTTTCAGTCCCATGTCTGTCCTGAAGACAACAGTAGAAATCACCAAAGATCAGATCGGCACAGTCGTCGGCTTCCTCTCCACAACACTTATTGTTGAAAAAGGTGACTTGCATCCTTAAACAATGTATATTTAATGCATTTCAAATAATCGAATAAAAATAATCATATTTTGGTTTTTCAGGGATTATTCCTGAAGCATCCATTGATCCTATGAAAGCTGCTGATGAGTTCACAGACAAAACAGATTCATTCTTGGGTCAAATGTCAAGCATGCTCGTTGGTGATCATGGTGAGCTAGTTGGACAGCTGGTGAGATAGTTAAAGAAAATATAACTTCACACTGATGCCTAATAATCTCTTATTTTAGGTGAACCTGTCACCTCTCCAGGTGTAAATATAGTCACTGACAAAGGTTTTACTTTTTTATTCCTCTTCAAAAATCTATCAGCAAACTGTTGCTGCATGACTGTAAGGTTAATAACACTTGTCTTTTTGGATATAGATGAAGCTGTGACTCCTTTATCTGATGTCAAATTGGTAAAAAAGAAAGGTGAGAAACGCGTTTTCCTCATTCTGTTGCACAAAATCAGATATTTGGTTCCTGAAAGACAAGCTTATTAATTAGAATTTTTATTGTAGACATATTTACACCTTCAACTGAAAAAGGTAAGAAAATGTTTAATCACATGGCATGTTCATGGATTTTCTAACAGATGTAATGTGTGCTGCCTGTTTGAGTGCATAGATTGGCTGAATGGTTTTACAGATCCGTCCTGATGCATGTCTGCAGCAATCTGCTAATTTATTGCCAAATTTTGCTGTTTCGTCGTGTTGTTCAGGCACCGTTACAAACTGTGCTGATCTTATAATAAACACCATTTGTACTTGTTCTGTAGCATGGACCAATGTGCATTATAACCCGCGTGAATACTTGTGGTAATAAATGGGCAACCAGATTGTTCTGTTTTGGGTGACTACATGCATAAACTGTGCAGCTGTTATTGTTTTGCTTCCATTGTTGTACAATGTCAGTTTGTGGGACGTAGCACACGAGAACTCACTGACTCCTTTCTTGCATTTTCTGTTCGTCATCTGTATAACCGCTCTTTGAATAAAGTGTTTTGTCCGAGGTCGTTTTTGTTACGTCTGGGGTACATTAAGTTCTCAAAATATTTGGGCTTTTACTTTGAAAGTATGTTCCCAATTGATGTTAGGATTTTCATGTTAAATTTGAAAGGAGGGGTTCTTTACACACTGCCTGGCAAAAAATAAAGTCTAAATAAATAAATAAATAAATACCAAAATTTCTCAGAAAGCAAAAAATGTTTACATTTTACATTGCCCAAATATTTTCAGACCTAAACAGCACACAGTATTTTCTAAATTTCATGTGGAACATATGATTTATATGCTCTGAATCCCTGATTTGTACAGTATTATTGTCACACATCATAATAAAATTCACTCTTGTTGTAGTAATGCGTTAAGTGAAAGATGTTGGAGAGTGGTAATAAAATGTCATACGGACACCAGGTTTTATAAACTCTTTTAACACGAATAGTGATCTCATTACCAATTTAAAAAGTTATGATTTCTGAATAAATTATTTATTTCAAAGGCTAGTAATTAATTAATTAATTAGCATTATAAAGCCATATGAAAACCAGATTGTGTTGTTATTGTCATCATGCACCTGCTGCAAAATCCATCAAATTTATTTACTGCTAAAACAAATTGTAACACGTAACTGTAAAAACAAGGACATTAGCTTAGAGGGTTCCTGATACAGTGACAGACATAAAACAGGCTGATGAAGACGAAGTTGTCTCCTGCAGACTTACCTGCAGACTCAAAAACAGAGGAGGTGGACGCCGAGGAGCCCACACAAGCTGCTGCTGAACGAGAAGGGACCGATGCAGAGGATGATGAGGGTATTCAGATGTTCTTTTTTCTATTCTTAGTCACACTTATTAGATTGAAAATTAATAACAAGAACTAAATTGAATGCTTTGCACATCACTAGTGAAACTTGCTGAAGAACTGCAACCTGTGAGCTCACGGGAGAAGGAAGGAGTCTTTGAGGATGAAAGTGACAAGGTCGTGGGAAAAGAAGAGGAAGAGTCCTTCGATGTGGAAGAAGAAGTGCATATTAGAACAGAGCAGGATGCAGAACCCTTTGAACAAGAACGGAAAAAGGAGGACGAAGGTGGTGAAAAGGAAGAGGAGGAGGAAAAACCTAAGATTGAAGATTTGGCTAAACTTAAGCAAGAGGGAGAAGAGGAGATCATAGAAGCTGGAGACCATTCGGTAAAAGAGGAAGAGGCAGAGGAGGAAGGGGGAAAATCCCAAACTGAAGATGTAGTAGAACACAAGAAATCAGAAGAAGAGAAAACTCAAACCAAAGAGGAAGAAAAAATGAAGGAGAAGGAGGAGGACAAACCCCAAACCAAAGATACAACAAACCTTCAGGAAGAGGAAGAGGAAGAGGATGAAAAAACTGAAACTGAAATCCATTTAGTAAAAGAAGATGCAGAGGAGGAGGAACATGACAAACACCAAATTGAAGCTGTAGTAAAACAGAAGGAAGAAGAAGAAGCTGAAACCAACGACAGTTTAGCCAAAGAGGAAGAAGAAATGGAGGAGAATAAACCCAAAACCATAATAAACCTTGAGGAAGAGGGAGAGGATGAGAAAACTAAAACTGAAGACCATTTAGTAAAACAAGATGCAGAGGATGAGGACAAACTCCAGTTTGAAGACGTAGCAAAACACAGTGAAGAGGAGGACGAGAAAGCTGAAACTAAAGACATTTTTGCCAAAGAGGAGGAAGAAAAGGAGGAAGAGGAGGAAGAAAAACCCAAAATCAAAGATATACCAAAGCTTCAAGAAGTCGAGGATGAGCAGATTGATACCGATGACCATTTAGCTAAAGAAGAGGAAGAGGAAAAATATCTAACTGAAGAAGTAGCAAAACACAGTGAAGAGGAAGAGGAGGCAGAAACCAAAGGAAATTTAGCTAAAGAGGAGGAAGAGGAAATACCTCAAATTCATCATAAGACAAAAGAAAAGGAGGAAGATGAAACTGAAGACATTGTGGCCCAAGATCAAAATGAGAAGATGGAGGAAAATACCCTTTCTGAAGATCTATATGAGGATAAGGACAAGGATTCTGAAACTGAAGTCCTTTTGGCAGATGCAGATGAGAGAGAGAAGACAGAGGAACCAAACATTGTAATAAAGGCACAAGTGCTGAAGAAGGAAGAGACTTTATCCACAGAGGTTTTGGAAGACGAGGAGCAAGCAATGGAGCAAACCAAAACTGAAGACGATTTAAAGGAAAAGGAGGGAAAGGATAAAGAGAAAACTCCATCAAAAGAAGAAGTGGAGTCCACAGATTTAACAGAGGAGGAGGCAAAAACAGAAGACCTTCTTGCTGATGAGAATAACAACAAAGGCAGAAAAACTGAACCTAAACGACCGAAGAAGCTGAAAATATCACAGAGACAACATGAGGACAAATATGAGACAGGTACAAACTCTATCCATTATTTTAGATTCATTTTGTTTTACATCTGATGGTCCAAAAACATAGATTTTTACTTGTTTTTGTGGAATGTTCAACCTGTAAAGCTTCTGGAACCAGTGAGGTCTAATTTTCCTGGTTGGTTCATGACATTTTTATGTTTAGTGTCAAAACTGTGGATTTGACTAAAGCTTCTGTTGTTTTGACCCTGCGCCTCTAGAGCTTTGCAAGAATTTGCTTTGACATTTACTTTCCATCCCTACCTACTAGAATTAAACTGTGATTTTAATAACAGTCCTTACTTTTCAATATAATAAGCAACCACAAGCAATTCCAGCAGTTCTTTAACATTGGCATTGATGTGTTTATGTCTGCAGACCTTAAAGTTTCAGAACCTCTAAAAGAGGAGGGAACTAAAGTTGTAAAGCAAAAGGAGGGAAAACCAAAGAAGGAGGCTAAACCTGAGGTTGAAATTCTGAACAAACCAAGTCCTAAAGGTAAAAATGAGACAAAGCTAGAAAGTGAGTGCTGAATATATGCTTAGCATGAAACACGAACAAAATCTTCACAAGATGCCTGAGCAGTGGAGGAATAGTCTTGTGCTGATTTATTAAACAAGGGAGATATAAAGCTTGAGGCAGCTGCAGAGGAATAAATCAAATCAGTCAAAAAAAAGAAACTTTCCAAAAGAGTGGTAGAAGTTAGGCTTAGGTCAGAAGTGAGCATTTGTGAGCAACATTATGGTTTCATGCCAAGACAGAGTACTACATATACTGTTGTTGTAAGGACTATGATAGAGAAGTACAGAGAAGGTAAGAGGGTTTGTGTCTTTGTAGATTAAAAAAAGCTTAATACAGGGTACAGAGAGAGGAGCTGTGGTATTGAGTGAGGAGTTTGCTAGCACGCTAAAGTGATGCAGAACCCATATGAGAGCGAGACAAAGTGGAGGTGGAACTGCATTAAGCATCAGTTCTAAGCCCCTTGTTTGCTTTTGTAATCCACAAGCTGACAGATGTTAGACAAGAGTCTATGGTGTTTGCAGTTGACATTGTGATCTGCAGTAAGAGTTGGGCATGGAAAAGCTAGAGCGATGGAGATATGTACTGAAAAATAGGTGTTATGACTGGTAACTGCAAGACAGACTACATGAGTGTAAATGAGATGCACAAACTGAACGATGATGACAGGTAGAAGGATGCTGACGTTAGCGCCACAACATTGGAGGCTGAGAAGAAGAAAAAAAGGGAGATTTGTGGATGTGGTGAAACGTTTGTTGATGTAGAGGATGCAGAAAGAAAAGGTCAAAAGAGAAAAAGAAAGTATGTTTACAATTTCTGATTTTATTCACCATGAAAATCAATATTTAAATTTAAGTACAGGGTCAAAACCAAAATTATATTAGCAAGGTCTATTTTCTGACCATTACAAACATTGGACAGTTTAAAAAAGAATACAGCAAGTCCTACAGAGTTATATGCTATGAAGCTGTGCACAGTTGTACATTTTTGATGTAGCAATTTCTAAAAGAAATTATTTTCCTTGTTTCCAATAGAAAAAATACCTGCAAAGAAGCCTCAGAAAGAGAAGGAAAAGGAAACGAAAGTTACCCCAGTTGAGAAAGATGTGACAAAAGCTCTCAAAAAAATGGAACAAGAGAACATATCTAAAACGGAGGAAAGGCAGGGAATTAGAAAGCAAAAAGATTATCAACAAAAACAGGTTTCTAAAAACGAAAAAGACAAAATGAGACAAATTAAGGAAGAACAATTAGATAACAAACCTTCCAAAGGAAAAAGGGATGAAATGAAACATGTTAAAGAAAAAGTGGAAGAAAAGAAATCACAAAAAGAAAAAAAGCTTTCCAAAGAAATTCTGCAAGAAAAGAAACCATATTTAGAAAAGATAGAAGAAAAGAAACTTCCAAAAGAAAAGGTTGAAGAAAAGAAAATACCTCGACAAAAGGTGGACAAAAAGAAACCGGCAAAAGAAATGCTGATGAAGACGAAACCACCAATAGAAAGGGTCAAAGAAAAGAAACCTCCAAAAGAAGTGATAGAAAAGAAACTACAGAAGGAAAAAATAGAAGAAAAGAAACCAATTACAGAAATGGTGGAGGAAAAGAAAGCACTCAAAGAAGAGGAAGTAGAGAAGAAACAAACAAAGGAAAATGTTGAAGAAACAAAACCATTCAATGTAAAGGCAGAGAAGAAACCATCGCAAAAAAAGGAAAAACATAAAGAAATGGTAGAAAAGAAGATATTACCTAAACAAAAAACAAAGGAGAAACCACCCAAAGAGAAGATAGAAGAAAAGAAACCATCTAAAGAGAAGGTAGAAGAAAAAGCACATCCAAAAGAAATGGGAGAAAATGAGACACCACCCAAAACCAAGGCAGAGAAAAAGAAACCACCTAAAGAAAAAAGTGACAAAGAGAAATCACCCAAAGCAAAGACTGAAGAAAGGAAAGAACCCAAAGAAAATGTTAAAGATAAGAAACCGCCAAAAGAAGCAGAAGAAGAAAATAAAATTTCAAAAGAAAAGGTAGAAGAAAAGAAATCACTCAAAGAAAATGTTGAGGAAAAGAAACCTCACAAAGAAATAGTGGAAGAAAATAAACCATCAACAGAACAGGTAGAACAAAATAAACTGCCCGAAAAAATGGTGGAAGAAAAGAAACCCCAAAAAGAAAAGACTGATGAAAAGAAACCACCAAAAGGTAAGGAAGAAGAAAAACTTCCACAACAAAAGGAAGAAGAAAAACTTCCACAACAAAAGGAAGAAGGAACAAAAACACCCAAAGAAAAGACAGAGGAAAAGAAACCACCCAAAGAAAAAGTTGACAAAGAGAAACTACCCAAACAAAGGGTAGAAAAAAAGAAATTACCCAAAGAAAAGGCAACAGAAAAGAAGCCACTTGAAGAGAGGATAGAACAAAAGAAATTACCCAAAGAAAGGGGTGATAAAAAGAAAACATCCAAAGAAGTGGTAGAAGAAAAGAAACCATCAACCGAACAGGTAGACCAAAATAAACCACCCAAAAAAATGGTGGAAGAAAAGAAACCCCAAAAAGAAATAACTGATGAAAAGAAACCACCAAAAGGTAAGGTTGACAAAAAAGAACAACCCAAAGAAAGAGCAGAAGAAACGAATTTACCCAAGGAAAAGGTAAAGGAAATGAAACCACTCAAGGAGAGGGTAGAACAAAAGAAATTACCTAAAGACAAAGGTGATGGAAAGAAAACACCCAAACAAAAGGTGGATGAACAGAAACCAGCCAAACAAAGGGTAGGAGAAAAGAAATTACCCAAGGAAAAGGAAAAGATGCCACCCAAGGAGAGGGTAGAAGAAAATAAATTATCCAAAGAAAAGGATGATGAAAATAAAATACCTAAAGAAAAGGTGGACGAAAACAAACTGCCCAAAGAAAAGGTAGAAGAAAAGATACCATCCAAAGAAAAGGTAGAAAAGAAACACCCAAAAGAAAAGATTGAGAAAAAGAAACAACCAAAAGTTAAGGTAAAAGAAAATACATTTCCACAAGAAAAGGCAGAAGAAACAAAAGCACCCAAAGAAAAGGTAGAAGATAAGAAATTACCCAAAGAAAAGGTAGAAGATAAGAAATTACCCAAAGAAAAGGGTGATGAAAAGAAACTGCCCAAAGAAAAGGTAGAAGAAAAGAAACAATCCAAAGAAAAGGTAGAGGAAAGAAAGTCACCCAGGGAGAGGCTAGAAGAAAATAAGTTACCCAAAGAAATACACGATGAAAAGACAATAGCCAAAGAAAAGGTGGAGGTAAAGAAACTGACCAAAGAAAATGTAGAAGAAAAGAAACCATCCAAAGATATGGTAGAAAAGAAACCTCCAAAAGAAAAGATTGATGAAAAGAAACAACCAACAGTTAAAGCAGAAAAAACAAAAACACCCAAAGAAAAGGCAGAAGAAACAAAAGCATCCAGACAAAGTGCAGAAGATAAGAAATTACCCAAAGAAAAGGGTGATGAAAAGAAACCATCCAAAGAAAAGGTAGAGGAAATGAAGTCACCCAGGGAGAGGGTAGAAGAAAAGAAAATACCCAAAGAAAAGGTGGACATAAAGAAACCATCCAAAGAAAACGTAGAAAAGAAACCCCCAAAAGAAAAGATTGAAGAAAAGAAACAACCAACAGTTAAAGCAGAAGAAACAAAAGCACCCAAAGAAAAGGCAGAAGAAACAAAAGCATCCAGACAAAGTGCAGAAGATAAGAAATTGCCCAAAAAAAAGGGTGATGAAAAGAAACCATCCAAAGAAAAGGTAGAGGAAATGAAGTCACCCAGGGAGAGGGTAGAAGAAAAGAAATTACCCAAAGAAAAACATGGAGAAAAGAAAATACCCAAAGAAAAGGTGGACATAAAGAAACCATCCAAAGAAAACGTAGAAAAGAAACCCCCAAAAGAAAAGATTGAAGAAAATAAACAACCAACAGTTAAAGCAGAAGAAACAAAAGCACCCAAAGAAAAGGCAGAAGAAACAAAAACACACAAAGAAAAGGCAGCGGAAAAGAAACCATCAAAAGAAAGGGTGGAAGAAAAGAAGCCACCCAAGGACGGGGTAGAAAAATATATATTATCCAAAGAAAAACATGATGAAAAGAAAACACCCAAAGAAAAGGTGGACAAAAATAAACCACCCAAAGAAAAGGTAGAAGAAAAAGAAACCTCCATAGAGAAAAAGATAGAAGAAAAGAAACATCCAAAAGAAAAAGCAGAGGAAAAGAAGGCACCTAAGGAGAGGGTAGAAGAAAAGAAATTACCCCAAAAAGAGGGTGATGAAAAGAAACTACCCAAAGTAAAGGCAAAGGGAGATAAACCATCCAAAGAAAGGGTCAAACAAAAGGAATTACCAAAAGAAAAATTGGATGAAAAGAAACCACCAAAGGAAATAGTAGACAAAATGAAACCACCCACAGTAAAGGTTGAAGAAAAGACACCCCCTGAAGAAAGCGTAGAAAAGAAACAACTGAAAGAAAACATAGAAGAAAAGAAACCTCTCAAAGAAAAAGCAGACAAAAAGAAAAAACTCAAAGAAAAGACTGAAGAAAAGAAGCCACTCAAAGAAATGGTGGATGGAATAAAACATCTTAAAGAAAACGTAGAGGAGATGAAATCACCCATTCAAAATGTAAAAGAAAAGGAACCCCCAAAAGGAAAAGTAGAGGAAGAAAAAACACCCAAAGATGTGTTGGGAAAAAAGACACCTTCTAAAGAAAAGATTGATGAAAAGAAAGCCCTAAAAGAAAAGGAAGAAAAACAGAAACCTCCCAAAGAAATAATTGAAGACAAGAAACCAGCCAAAGACATGGTGGAAGAAAAAGAGCAATCCAAAGACTTGGTTCAGGAAAAGAAACTGCCTGAAGAAAAAGTAGAAGAAAAGAAACCACCCAAAGAAAATATAGAACAAAAGAAACCACTGAATGAAAAGGCTAAAGAAAAGATACCATCCATAGAAAAGGCAGAGGAAAAGATACCACCCAAAGAAAAGAGTGAAGAAATGAAACCTCCCAAGGAAATGGTTGATGAAAAGGAATCAACTACAGATACAGTTGGAGCAAAGAAGCTACCAAAAGAAACTGTAGAGGGAAAGAAACCACCCAAAGAAAAGACAGAAGAAGCAAAACCTTCTAAAGATAAGGTGGAAAAAAAGAAACCACTTAGAGAAAAGGTTAAAGAAAAGAAGGTGCCCAAAGAAAAGGTAGAGAAAAAGAAGGCATCCAAAGAAAAGGTAGAAAAAATTAAACCTCCCAAAGAAAAGGTAGAAGAAACAAGACCACCCAAAGAAAGATTTGAAGAAAAGAAGACACCTGCAGAAAAGTTTAAAGCAAAAAAGCTACCTAAAGAAAGAGTAGAGAAAAAGAAACCACCCAAAGAAAAGTTAGAAGAAACAAAACCTTCTAAAGATGAGGTGGAAGAAGAGAAACAACTCAGAGAAAAATTAGAAGAAAAGCTACCCAAAGAAAAGGTAGAGAAAAAGAGACCACCCAAAGAAAAGTTAGAAGAAACAAAACCTTCTAAAGATGAGGTGGAAGAAAAGAAACAACTCAGAGAAAAAGTAGAAGAAAAACTACCCAAAGAAAAGGTAGAGAAAAAGAAGACACCCAAAGAAAAGATAGGAGAAAGTACACCTTCCAAAGAAGAGGTGGAAGAAAAGAAACCACCCAAAGAAAAAGGTGAAGAAAAGAAGCTACCAAAAGAAAAGGTAGAAAAAAAGAAGACACCTAAAGAAAAAGTGAAAGAAAAGAAACCTACAGAAAAGAAAGAAGATGAGAAACTTCCACAGGAAATGACTGAAGAAAGATTAACTATTAAAGACAAAAAGAAAGAAAAGAAACCCCTTGAAGAAAAGAAACAAGAAAAGACAACACATAAAGAATTTATCAAACCATCTGAAATACAAATTGAAGAAAAGAAATCTCCCAAAGAAAAGGTGGAAGAAAAGAAACTTCATAAGGAAAAGAAAGAAGAATCTAAACACAAAGAAAAGATATTTGAAGTTGTGAAATTGTCAACGGAGGTCACAAAAGATCAGGAAAAGCAGGATAGACCTTCCAAAGAAAAGACAAAAGAAACAAAAGCAAAGAAACTAGGGGACAAAGACCTACTACAAACTTTTAAAGATAAGAGAGAGAAGATTGCTCAAGAGGAAAAGAAAACCACAAAGCCTCCTAAAGTACAAGAAAAAATTCAAGTGACTCTCAGAAAAGACAAAGAATCTGATCAGAAGAGAGCTGCAAAAAAAGGTAGGGAGAACCACAGCTTTACAATTTTTATTGCAAAGATTTCTCTTAGACAATTGCTGCTAACTATGGTGGTCTGTCCTTAGTTCAAACATTTTGTTATTTGTCCACTATACACTGTACAAGACCTAGTTTGGACATCCTACAGACGTGGTCTGGACAGACGGACTCAATATAGACATGATCTGCACGTCCATGTGACATTGACTGTTTGCAGGGAATAACCCCTTTTTTATGTGTGGCAGTGTGAGCGTCCTGTCACAGTGTCCCGATTGATCATGAGCCCTGGCTTCTTGGCCAAGGCCAAGGGGATGTCCCTTTGGCTGACTGGTTAGCGCGCGTGACTCATCCGGGAGTCTGGGGATCGAATCCCACCTTGGCCCTCATTTCAACACCTTGTCACATATGTAATACAAATTTTTTGTGAGCCATAATACAAAGAAAGTTTATGAAATTGTGATGGTACACACAGGAACTGAACCCTTCAATTGCACCAAACTACAAGTTGTTTAAAAATGTGTTTATTGAAGGTCAGGTTAGAGGTACAATGGAAGCAGAAGTTAAATGAAGATGAGGCAGAAGGCTTGGCCAATGAAAGACTGGGTTCAGAACTGTGAGGGAATTGGGGAATCAAAAATCTTGAAACAGACAAATGCTGGAATGCTAATAGGGATCTCATGTAATCTACCAATTGATCCTAGGAATAGAGTTGCTTATATGCAGGCAAACACACGGGGCAGTAATCTCCTGACTCTAGGGGCTTAGTTGTGTCTGATAAGTGAGACTGGGAATCATGTGGAACAGCAGAATGTGGCAGCTGTCATGGATTCTGGGAGCTATTCCGAGTGACTCGGGATTCCCTCCTGCTCATCCCTCTGTGTGAACTTCCAACTCGCCTGGGGGGACTAAAGCCTACAACAGGTTTCCACTGAAAGTTGTCAGGCTGGTGTGTGGTGAAATATCATGGATCACTGCACCAACTTCAGCCTAAACAGGATGTAAAATATTAGTTCTTTACCAATAAATCATATGATTTGCTATGTATTTGTTTTACTCCAGATGTCAAACCCAAACACAGAGTCACAACTGTCAAACGGGAGATTGCTTCAGTCCTAAAGAAGGAGCATCTCAATGTTACAAAGGCTGGTGAGTCTGAGGGGGTCTTGGTGGATCTGGAAATAATTGCAATGCTGTTTCATATATAGATGTGAATCTATGATCAACAAATCAGTCGTCTATTTAGACTTTTTTAATGCTCACCAAAAGCGGAGGTTCCAAAGGTGATGCTCGAACCAAAACTAGCAGAGACAGTGAAGACAAATCTTTACACATTCATTAATCAGTTCATCCATTTATTTATATTTTTGCTGTTTTATTGTGTTTTGTTGTAAGACATGAATTTCATGCATAGATCATATAATTGTGCTCTGAAAGAAAGTGTAAAAACATGCACAGATGTTTTTTTTAGTGTAAACTTTCCTGTGCTGCAGTTACAAAGGAGCCGAAAGATGAACCAACAACCCAAAATCTGAACTAAACCAGACAGTTCAAACCTCAATTTGCCTCAAGTGCTTCTGATGTAGTTCTGGCATCGTTTTATCTTTAATTTCTTAAGAACAGGGCACTCTGTGTTTCTTTTTGAAAATTTTTAGCCTACTTCACATTGTTAAAGGGCATCTATTGAACTAAAATCTTACAGGTTTGGCCATAATTTGGCCTTTGTATATTTAATGAAATTCAAATTTTAACTGTTTAGTATTGAGATGTGATTGCTGATTGCGGTGGCAAAAACAAAACAATTATGGCAAGACGTTTTATGCTTTGCTGTTGAAGATAAATGTTTGTCTGCTCAAATGGGCTGAGATAGCTCTAACGGAGAGAAACTCCTGGAGCTTCATCGTTCCGGCTTAAAATCTCCGTTGATTCAAAAGTGAAATTTCCTTCCAGTTTTTACTTTCATTTTCAATATAGTTGCCAGCCAAAGCTCTGCAGTACCTCCACCCACGTGGTCATGACACCTCCCTCTGTTACACCAAGGCGTAATATGCATTCACAAGTCCAGTGTTGCAGTAATATTACTACAAAGCGTGGTGGCCCGAATTCCCGCAACATCATGCCGCCACGGCGCGTTCATGACACACATCGTGGTGGCAGTATTACGCTGATTTGCCGGCATGTCGTGTCTTCTTAAAAAAGGCTAAAGGGGGGCTCGCCAGGCTAAGTGCCAAGTGCACTGTTTAGAAACCACGTCTGTAGTATTTGATCCAAGTTTTACCTTTGAACCTGGAACACTGGTTACATTAAAAACAGATGAGAAGACCTATGCATAAATTGCTGTAAAACTCCAATCAGTGATCTGCCTCGTTTAGACTTTTATGCTGCAAAATCTTTTCAGTTTTTCCTTCCAATCATTCATTGTAAATAAAATTAAATAATGTTAATGACCATTTTAAATGGACAAAGACCAAATGGGCAACCCTGGGTTAATTCAACCCTTAATAAAACAATGTACTCTTGTTTTTATTTCAGATATCAAACCCAGAGAGAGAATCACAACTGTCAAGTTAGCTTCAGTCTTCAAAAAGGAGCATCTTAATGTTACAAAAGCTGGTAACTTACTTCTCATGTTTTGTGTATTTTGTTTTTTGCAAATAAAATTTTTGATGTGTCATAATTTAAATGATGCACCGACATTTATGTAAACATAAAGCTTGTATGTCTTTTCCAGCTTCACTGGCTATCAAGGAGCCCAAAAAGGAACCAAAAACCAGACCTAAACCTGTAAAACCAGGTAATACAAACACCAACAATAACTAAGAAAATGAATAAATCTATAAAAGTGGGATGGAAACACATTAAAATCTGAATGAAACTAAAAACTAATTAGACCAACTAACTGATACATATCAATCAGATTTAAATGTAAGCTCACTTAAACACATTTTTAAATAAAGCGCAAATTAACTTCATACTCAAAAATTGTATTTATTATTTATTTTTTAGATGCTGAGGTTTCTAAAGTGAAAGCCAAGCGAGCTCCTTCAAGGAAAGGTAAACAGGAAATGTTAAAAGATAATCGGTGTGTGATAAAGGCAAATAATACATTTTATTCAAAAATATTCGCTGATTCATTTCAAGTTCCCAGTTTGACCCAATTGTGCAAAAGTTCCAAGGTCACACGTAACAACTAATCAGGAGACAAAGCTTTGCTAACACACGACTACATGTTATTAGTAGGGATGCACCGATCAGGTTTTTTGCTGCCGATCACCGATACCGATATCAAAGAATTTTGATCACCGATACCGATCACCGATACCGATCACGTGGATTGGCCAGAAATTTTCTACAACATTATAATGAGTGCTACAAACTACATAATCTGGGAATAAAGGAAATGTAACCTAATCTAAAATGGTCTATATTAAGGTTGTCACGGTGTGAAAATTTAACCTCACGGTTATTGTGACCAAAATTACCACGGTTTTCGGTATTATCGCGGTATTTTTTTTAAACGTGCTACATTTTCACACAATTAAATAAACCCTGTATGTCAGGAAATATTGTCCTCAGTTTGTGTCTAAATTTTGCCTAAAATGTGTTATTTTGTAATTATGTTGTTTATTTGTTTACATTTTTCCCCTTTAGTCTTTGAAATACCAATATTTGCCCATAACTTCTTATTTTATGTCTGTTTGATGTCATCATTTTAAAAATCTTAGATCAGATGATACTCAGTACTCAAGTAGTCTTCTAATCAGATACTTTTTTTTACCCTTACTTGAGCAATCCGTATATCAGGAAAATATTGTCCTCGGTTTGTGTTCTTCCAGTGAGCTTTGCAGATGTGGGAAAATGTCATCAGGCAGTAATCTTAGTTAAATTCATAATTATTCTCGGAGAGAGACCAACTCTTATCTGCCCCTGGGAGCCCCGTAATGCATAGCGTCATTTCAACATGGGGGTGTCCGCGACACGGTTTATATGCAGGTAGCGGCCCTGCAGCTGCTTTATATAGCGACTCGTTGCATTCTCCCTCAACCCAAATCCTCGGATCACGCATTTTAGCTAAAACGCTAACGTTAGCTTGCCTTGCGTTGACTGTAGAGTTGTGGGTGATGGTCACGCAGATGTGTCATGAGATTTGAAGCGTTGCTGCCTTTCACAGACACTTTTTCTGCTCGTGCTGCAAACAGGATAGCCGTCCGTCTTCTATAAACTCCCTCGGCATTCTTCAAATATCTAAAATATGCCCGTACTTCCGACTTTGTCTTCTTTGAGGGATAATAAATGTCCTCCTGAGCGCTGCCGTCTCCTCCTTTGACCATTATTTCAGCTTTAGCTTCAAGAAAGTTTTGTTGTAAACAAAGCGTGCATCTGTGCCACCGGCAACTTCAGCCGATGATACGGTGGCTGGTAAGGGTCACCGCGCCTACACCGCAGCCACGGTAAACCCATCGAGATAATAATAGTTTTTTTTAAAAACAAGACTGTTATTATTATTGTCAACTTTTTTTTTTTACCGGGGTTTACCGCTACACTGGTTACCGTGACAACCCTACCTGATCGGTTTGCTTTGATCTATTTTGAAAATTCCGATCAAAACCGATAGTGGCGCTATCGGCCGATTACGATCAAATGCCGATCCATCGGTGCATCCCTAGTTATTAGTGTGTGAAGTAAAGGCCAACGCTGCCCCTGCAATTAAAGATAACCTTATCATCATAATTAAATGTTTTTTAATGATTTGATAGCCATATAAAACTGTCTGATTCCTGATTTATTGCACACAGAGCCTCCAGCTCCTAAAGAAAAGACTAAACCAGTCATCTTGACCAAAGGTGAGCATGGGGTTTATTATATTTGATGATTAAATGTAAATCTGTCATCATTCTCACTGTTTGGAATGATGCCTTCACAAGATCAGGCTCTCCACCTGAAGATGTCCAAGTTTGTTTGTTTTTTGTGAAGTTTGTAGGCTGCAAAAATGGAATTATGTTTCTTATTGGGTTCACATTTCATTTAATTTTTTCTGTAAAACTCAATATTAAATGTTTTTACTTAGAAACCGCTCCTGTCAAGAAAAAAACTGCACCAACGATTAAAGTTAAAGGTAATAGTTTCTTTATGCTTATTTCAACGTTTTAGTAAACAAATGTGTGTATGCATGAGTGAATGACAGATTGTGTTGTAAAGAGACTTGGGGGGGTTCCAGGACTCTAGAAGGTGCTATAACAAATACAGGCCATTTACCATTCTAACAGTGTTTTCCTCAGCTTTTAACTTCTGCACACATTTGTTACAGATGAAGCACCAGACAAAAATGTGTCTCTGACAAAGGAGAAGGTGAAGGCGGTATCACCAAGGAAAGGTACAGCTCCACCCTTAAATGTGTGTGTGGTTTGATCTTTACTGCTGTTACATTTTCACACTAAAAGTTTGCACTTTTTCTGTTGTAGCTCCTGTGACTCCAAAAGAAAAAGTCAAAGCAGCAATCAAAACCACAATCAAAAAGGGTAATCCTGCAGGATGATGTCCATTTGTGACTTTTAGATTTTAGATATTTAACACAGATGCATTTTTATCACAGAGTGAAAACATTCAAGTGTGTTTAAAACATTAGTTTGGGCTTCTTATTCTTGAATTTCCCTACAGCTGTTACCAGGATGAAGCCGATATCTGCTGAGAAGAAGAGAGGTAAAGACGAGTTGATCATGTATTTGTTGTGCAGTATTTAAAACACAAGCTGTTTTATCAATGTGTTGAAATATTTTTCTTTGCATTTTTTTAAATTTATTTCATATCATCAAAGGATGATTGAAGCAAATAATCCATTTTATTTTTAAAGCAACAATGAATCCGTTTTCCGGCTCACCAAGACCAGTTTGAAAGCAGTTGCTCAAAGTGTTAAAAACTCTTTAGTGTTGCTTTAAATTGGATTAGATTTTATTATACGTTAGATTGAATTATTATGCATGCAAATCTATTTTGTTTTGCTTCACTTCAGAAAAACCTGTGAAAAAAGCTATGAGAGAAGAACCTAAAGGTAAATTTCAAACAAAAGGTTTATGTGAAAAATACAGAATTATTTTAAACAGATGTAAAAATGGTTTTACTATATGGCCTAAATCTTTTCTGATATTTTCTATAATTTGTAGAAGACAAAGTTCTTAAAGAAATACAAGGTTCTGCAAAGAAAGGTACATTTTCACCTTTTTTTCTGTTTTTCTAGCTTTTTTTTATTTTTACTTTATTTATGCATAAAATTTTCTTTTTCAGAAAAAATAGTTGAGAAGGATGTTGTGAAGGAGGAAAAGGTTGAAGGTACTGAGATGTTTTATTCAGATTTTAGAACATTTGAAGGTTTTGTGTTTAAAATGTGGTTCTTGTGTTAACAGAAAAGCCTCCAGAAAGCTTCCTGACGGAGGGTAAGCATATGTAAACATTCAGATGACAGCGTCTGTGTCCTTCTTGGACAGGGAGAAAACTCAATTCTCTGTTCTGTTCTTCCACAGAGGAAATGCCGTTCTTCCAGTGCTTCTTTGTGGACGAGGACGATTCCCCTTTTCCATTTTACGCCTTCTCTCCTTTTCATATTTGACATGTCTGAAAAGCTTTATGAGGCTTTCAGTTCAGTGAGAATACTGATCATGACTAGGTCTCATCACGGCCTGTGCTGCTAAAACACCGTGGACAGGAGAGGACGATTCTGTGTGATGGACCGTTTAGTGTTTTATTTTATTTGCTGATTTCCAGAACTGGTTGAGCTCTCATACCAAATACATGTAGTCAGTGTCATTCCTTTCAATTTTTTATTCATTTTAAGTATCCAGGAGGCGTCTGTCTCACTCATACAGCTCTTAAACTGAATTTACACCCAGCTTGGTATTTATTTTGGGAGAGACTTGGCTTCAGGCCCTTTTAGCCCAAAATTACCTGAAATGCTGCAGAAACTATGAGTAATAACACACCTCGCTGTTAAATCTTCATTTTCTTGATTTTGTGCATCAAAAGGAATGACCGTGCACTGTATAGGAGAGCTCCCAGACTTTACTGGTGACCTGAAACATGAAGTTGTGTGTAACTGAACCATCTGCACCAGGTTTTTCTTTAAAAATCGGTGCTCAGCAACCATTTCCTGAATTCTCAGACAGAGTCGTGAGTGTTCAGATGTATTTTTGACCATTACAGAGGAGAATTGTGTAATTCATTGACTGACCAAACACTGGCTGTTCAGCTGTGTACACAATGAGGAAACTTGATGCATTTAGGAAACCTTATAACTATTGTGGGCAGCAGTAGCTCAACAGGTTGAGCGGGTTGTCCAGTAATCGGAAGGTTGCAGGTTCGATCCCGGCTCCGGACAGAGAATGCTGCTGTTGTGTCCTTGGGCAAGACCCACCTTGCCTGCTGGTGGTGGTCGGAGGGTCCGGTGGCGCCTGTGCTCGGCAGCCTCGCCTCCGTCAGTGCGCTGTGGCTACATCGTAGCTCATCATCACCAGTGTATGAATGTGTGTGTGAATGGATGAATGATACACTGTAGTATAAAGCGCTTTGGAGTCCTTAGTCTGAGAGGCACTATACAAGTGCGGGTCATTTATCATTAACCTCATAACTATGGGCATATACAACATCTGTTCATATTATAACAAGGCGTGTTCTTATTCAAACAAGATTTCTCTTGTTTGGACATTCTGTAAAGGAGATGAGCATGAGAGAGAAACCTAAAATCAGGAAGCGTGTGTGTGTGTGTGTGAACATGGACAGGGGAAAGGCAGACCTGCTCAGGTGTAATCTGAGTCATCTTTTGGATGTGGCACAGATTAATCTCCGCAGCCTGTTGTACTGATCCTGAGTCAGCTTTGCATCTTCAGAGATGAAATAAAAGGAACACACCCTCAGATTTTATTGTGATGCTTCAAAATGACATTAAAATGGGGGTTAGCCTATATTTGTTCAGACATGACAGATCTGTTCTGTTTATTTTTTATAGGAGCACTAAAAGTCCTAATTATTAGTTTGAAACTGAGTCATACCTAAAGACTCACTTTTACCAGGTGAACATGTGCAGTATGTAGTTTTTTGTTGAGCTAAAGAATCACACTACTGTTCTGTTTTTGTTTTTAAACGATCCGTGCATGAGCATGAGGTGTGTGTGATTGATGTGAGAAGTTCCACCCAGTCAGAAGTTAGTGAATCACAAACACACTTGAACATGTTTGAGGTATTCAAAACCAACAAAGTCTAATGCTGAGAGAGAAAATTGATCTTGATGTAAATAGTTTATTAAGTGGGGAAATTTTATTATTTTATCTGGATTCATATATGATGGGATTGCTCTTGTAAAGCAGTAAACTTGTATTATGTATGCCCTCTTTGTGCTTGTGAATAAAAACAATTTGGAATTAAAACGTATCACTTCTGTTGTTTTTTGCTTTTCTTTCGGCTTTGTTTTTCATCTTTTCCCTTCAGGGGTTGCCTCAGCAAATCATATGTCTTTATTTAGTCCTATCTTCTGCATCCTCTACTCCACCCTCTTTATGCCCTCTTTAACCACATCTATATCTCCTTTTTAGTCTTTATACCTCCTCCATGGAGGCTCCAATCTCAGCATCCCTCTACCTAAGTAAGGATGCTGAGGTTGGAGCCTCCAGGCAGGAGACATAGAAGACAAATGAGATGTATGGATGCTTGGATATTTGATGTTGGTCATTCCTTTATTTAAATGTACAATTGTTCTGGTTACAATTTACAAGAAGGGTCCCTTTATTAAAGTAACTTAGTGCATAATTTAGCATTAATAAACAAAGAGTGCCTTTGTTTGCGATATTAACTAATAAGTGTCCTTAAGGTTAGAACAAAGGGCCAGGCGGTGTTTGCTCAGTAATGCATTACATAAAATGGTTTAGCAGTTATTAATACTTTATTAATGCTTAATAATACACTAAATAACGTTAAAAACGGGACCCTTATTGTAAAGTGTTGCAGATGTTCCTAAAGTCAGTAGTTCCGCTTTTTATTCCTTACGTAGGAGCAATATTTTACAGTGATGAGACACAAAGAAGCATTTTTGGTGACACTTCCTGATTAAAACACACAAAAATGTGCTTTCTAACCTTCAGTCGCTTGGTAGAGTATATGTTAGTCCTTACATCCTATAGAGCTCCGGACGTCACGTGACTCTCAGAGAGTAGACGCCATGGACAAATAACATAGATTTACATGTAAGTAGTTTAAATAGAGTGCTGTGCTGTTTGCATGTATAAACTGAACGCCAAGAGAAATCACTAGTTTGATTGTTTTCCGTGATTAAAATAAATATGTCAGGCAGGAGCGTCTCTGGATCTGTCTGACATCTGTCTCGGTGAGACAGATAATAGCAATCCAAAGTGCTTTTTAAGTGTGATCTGACAATTGATCAACAATTGCTTAAAAATTAAATACAGCTTAGCCGGTTAGTTGCTGTGATCATAAAACACGTAAACGGCAGCATGCAGAAATCACGAGGCAACATTTTACGTGATGTTTACTTGTTGCTATGAGCAGGGGTGGCGTTAGGCCCGGCTACTTGGGCTCAAGCCCTGAATGTTTTATGAAAAGCCCCGGATCTAAATCGCGGAAGTAACATGCAGTACCAAAGTCCAACAGAGAGGGAGCAGCTGGCAGTAGTTTGTATACAGCCTGCCTGAACCTCCACCACTGAAGAAGAAGCCCTTCAGCAGCCGGCTTTTTCTGCAGTCTCTGCCTGAAACGCATGAGTGAAGATGGACATAAGGACGTTTTTTAGACCAAAAGTACCGCGACAGAATCCCAGCTTTGATGAGACTGGTGTTGACTCAGGTTTGTGAGTCTTATTTGAAAATATTTGTTGTGCTGCTGTTTTGCCTAAAGTTAGCTTACTATCAGGTAAAGTTGTTGGAGAAAGAAAGGGAATATTTACTATCATCTCACACTAAACACTAACAGGAACAATACTCTGCCCTGAAAATGCTTAATATGTAGCTTCAGATTAAAAATTATGTGGTACAAGTCATATATATGATGTTGACTAGTGCGTGTCACGTGTGTGCGCGCGTGTGTGTGTGTGTTAAGCCCCGGATCTTCTTCAGTCCTAAATCCACCCCTGGCTATGAGTAATAAGACAGAAAAAGCCACGCCAAAATAAGTTTAGGAAGCCCACTAAAAGCACTTAAAATAAATACCATATACAGTTGAGGAAACGTTGGTTTAAGTACCTGATATGAAGTGGTCGCTGCATAAGCGAAAACCTTTACTCTCGGGATCCCACAGCTTCATTTTAGCCCGGTCACTAGCGCGTTTTATTACAATGATCCAACGTTTGCTGCACTCCGGATCTTGGGGAATCCTGTAGATGGCTCATCCCTTATGTCGTCCGCGTCTGTTCTGCATCCTGGGGCACAACAGGAATCTACCATATTTCCCATTTGAGTTTTCTGACAATAACAAATAGCCCAGCTGGGAGCTTCTGCCTGCCAAGATAGCGCCGTTTCGATTTGAACTGTTGCATGTCGGGAGAAGTGGCGTCAACTCCCGGAGCTCTATGAATCAAACTCTGAGCTTAAACTACTTTAATAACAATGAGGGAAAGACAGAGCTCATTGTTGTTCACCCCAACAGCAGGGCTGTGGGTCGTTATGTTGATCTTGGCCCTCTTTCTCCCTACTCAAAACCAGTTGTCACCAGTTTGGGGGTGAAAATTGATGCTGGACTTAAATTTGATGCTCACATCAACTCTGTGATCCGGTCCAGTTTCTTTCATCTGAGACGCCTTGCAAAAATCAAGACTATGCTGTCGACAGTCCACCTGGAGCGGGTACTCCATGCTTTTGTAATTTCTAGGCTTGATTACTGCAACTCTCTCTATGCAGGACTGGGTCAATCATTACTGCACCGTGCAGAACAGCGCAGCCAGGTTTCCGACTGGGACCAGGAAACAGGACCACATCAGTCCCGTTCTGGCCTCCCTGCACTGGCTTCCGGTCTGTTATTGTTCACACTTCAAACTCCTCGTCTTTGTTTACAATTTCTTCCAGGGTAGTGCTCCCCCCATCTAGCCACACTCCCGAACAGACACTCCCCATCACGCGCTCTGCGCTCCTCTGACCAAGACCTGCTCGCTGTCCCTCGTTCTAGGTGTCGTACTCGCGGAGACCGGGCTTTCTCAGTCCTAGCACCGTCACTCTGGAACCAGTTGCCACCCTCAGTCAGGCTGTCCCCATCTCTGCCAGCCTTTAAGAGTTGCCTAAAAACCCTCCTCCTCCGCTTGGCATTCCCTGAATGTGTTTGAGTTAGGCCTTCATTTATGTTGATTTTAATTCCCTGCTTTCATTGGTCCCTTTATCTCTTGTTTTACCCATTTGTTTTCTACTTTAATGTTTTTACCTGTTTTTCTCATGTACGGTGTTCAGCGCCTTGGGCTTCCCGACAGGGTCGCGGAAGGCGCTTTATAAATAAAGCTTTGATTGATTGATTGATTGAACAAAATCTAAAATTGAGTTGTTTTGATTAAGTTACTTTCATTATTATAGCTTTATTTGTGTTGTTTTATTGTTAATTTATATTATGTTGTAACTCGTTGCCTCAAATGATAAAAAAGTGTAAAAAAAACAGATAATGATATTTTTGTCATTTTTACTTATTTGATGATCAGAAAATAAACTTCAAAATGCTGCAGGTCCAGGCAGCTACTGCAGGTCTTCAAACGTTGAAGGTATCAGACAGTTAAACCACCTGAGAACCACCAACCCCATTAATAGAGTATCAGGTCTTTTTTCTGCATGAAGGATTTGCAGCAACCACCGCTAACTCCCAACGCTTTGACACTTCCCTCACCTTTTTCTTGACCTAATGTTCCTCGAAGTCATTTAAAAGGGGGTGGGATTTTTTTTAAACAGATATTTTGAAAATATATCCAAAAGTTTCAATGAAACAACAAAATCAGACCCCTCCTTGTTTGCCCCACTGATTCTAAAAGGGTGGGGCTCTCTCAAGCTAAACTGCATTGTAAGGCTTTACACGGTAAGATGTCGTAATGCTATTATCCAAAATGCAGCAAAGCCCTCCTGATTTCTTTGTTAGTGTCAGCAAAAATAAAGTACCTCTGACTTAAACCCCGAGTTATGAAATCCTGATGTGATTTTACTTCTGCTAGTTCCTAATCAGTCTCTTAAGTTTATCTGTACAGCTGAAATTGTTACCTATTCTTATCAATATTACTGATTTACTTGCTTTGGCAGGCTTAGGTTTGTGATCCCACTGCAGAGGTCAGGTCATCACGGTCCCTTGAGAGCACCGGGGGGGGGGGGGGGGGGGGGGCACAGGTCAGCTTAGAGCGGTGACACAGATTCCTCACAAAGAGGAAGCTCCTGCTGCTCTCCTGAGGGGAGTCCAACAAGCATGCTGCCATCTCCGGTTTCTTTTCTCACACACACAACAAAAAACCTTTTTTCCCACACTTTCATCACCATCACAAGGCCGTGGATCTGTTAGTGAGAGCCATAGCTTTTACGTGGAACTCAGAAACAAATTTAATTTAGACAAAAATCTTGCACAGTTTGAGTCTAAACACAAACCTGCGTTGGAATGTTCTGCTTTTGTCAAGAAGGGTTTAAGGGGTTTACCGATGGATCCCATCAACAGACTCTCTCCTGGTCCTCTTTTATCATCTGCACCATTGTGACAAAGGAAGCATCCAGTCACGGTTGGTCCACGCGCCATCGAACGATGCTGCTACGTAATGACACCACAACTTAAAGCGGATTAACCCGAGGCGATTGTCATCAGCACACCACCTCTCCTCCCCCCGTCGTCTCAGACCATCTGGGGGTTACTACAGGACATTCACTTCCACGGTCGCCCTCGCTGCTTCTGCTGCTGCTGCTGCACAGTCAGCTCCGGCCTCCACCGCCACCCTCCAGCTGCCAGCTGGAGCAGACCCTCACAGCGACGGCTCTGTTCCCACGACACATCTCAACAAGAAGTTACAAAGGCTTTTCAAGCAAACACAAATTAATCTGAGGAGGTTAAAATGCTCATCTGAACATTTTTCCCCCCTTTTAACGTTTGACACAAGCATCAGAACGGTTTAGGCTCCTTTTTGTCAGGATTTCTTACAAAAGACGCTTTTCACATTAACAGCAGGAAGTGAAGTGCAAACCACTGCTCACAGTCTCAAAGTAGTTCATTATCTGTTTATTTTATTGCAAAAACCCAACACCTGCTAGGAAGATTCATCAGGTTCAGGCCTTCTCATATGTGCGAACCGCTGTCACGCCTTCAAAGGTCAACATCTGGACGGGGAAAACATAAATGTAGAGAAAGTCTTATGTTACATGGTTTTATGCTGAAGTGAACTTTGACATTAAGATTGTGTTCACCCATCTGGTTGTTGTTTAACAAAAAACAGAATATGCATTTATTCCTACCATCACCATCTTTCCATCCTTGATTTCTCTGACAAATCTGGTCTCTTTTCCATCCCACTTCTGCACATGCACAAATTTATCTCCCTCCATGGTGAAGGTGGACTGCAAGAAATTAAAACAAAAGCCCAGTTAAAACCAGAACGGGAGCCAGAGAACATTCCATCAGTTTAAACTCACTTTTACATGTCTGTCATCAGGTGTGGTCTCATCAAACTCCTCTCCCAGCTTGGCAGACAGCTCAGTGTTCCTGAACGTGCTCAGAGTTTTCACCACCACTTTGTCTCCATCTTGGCTGATCACTATGGTCGGTTTGGTTATGTTGCCCACTTGTCTCGTGGCAAAACCAACACCTGCCCAAAAAAATAAAAATAAAAAAATCACATTTTAGTGATGCTTTTATCTTCATTTAACAATAAAAAGAGTCATTTCCTCACCTAGTGCCTTCATATAATCATCAAAGTTCTGGCTGTCGATCAGTTTCCACGTGGCACAGAAAGCATCAACCATTTTTGCAGATGTTGCCAGTCCTCCTGAAGCTGTCACAAATGCTCTTTAGACAGCTCTGCATCCTGCCGAAGCTTCAAACTAATACCATGCTAGAGGGCAGGGACGTCAGCTGCAGCACAAGGAGCCGATTGGACGCTCCAGAAGCTGTGTAAGCTGTGACTGGTGGATGGAAATCATGTTATTAACCCATTGTAAATGCATAAAAGGGCATTATTACAAAAGGGTGGGACAGTTGCTTCACTTTATATCAGATAATCATGGAAGTGTGAGCAGATTTAGACTCATCTACAAGACAAAAGGGAATTCTTTGTAGTTTTATAACAGGATTTCCTTTGTTGAAGTTTGTTTCAGTAATCTGTGATGTTGACGTTAGTAGTAGGGAGGCTATAGTCAACATGTGTGAAGCTTTAATGTTTGACACAAACGTCATGGTAACTCCATATAAAAGTCAATCATTTCTATGTCTGTATGAATGTCTCTGTGTGTGTTTATTAGTAGTTGGGTTTTTATTGGTCTAATAACTAATATCTTGGTATCGTAACATGTTTGATTAGAAACTGTAAACCTATGCAGTACCCATGCTGTACATTTTTACCCAAATATATATTTTTAATATTACCTATTAATAACTTTACAGATTTTAAAAAAAGAATAAAATCTCTCCAATATACTCTGGATTTAGTTTTAGCATATGATCTGTTTATAGTGCTGTAGCTAGTGGCTGCTAGTCCAAATAGACAATTGATGTTAAAAAAAATGTTTTTTCCCATCTAAACTATTTAGATTGTAGATTTAGTTGTGTTTGGAGAACATAAACCATTGATATTTGGGACATTAATTTTGCTGCTAAACTTCGAAGTCCCCAATTGGGGGGTGTTACGGACCAAAGGGTTGGCGGGCCGGATGTGGCTCGTGACCCACCAGTTGAGGTTCAATGTTCTACATGGTCAAGCTCCTCCCTATATTACTGAACTGTTAAAGCAGTATCCTCCAACCCGAACACTTTGTGATTCTGTCTGTGCAGAGTGCTATATAAATAAAATTTCTTTACTTTCACCCCCAGCTTATAGCAGCTTGAGCAGGGGCAGGGGGGTCAGCTTCGGCTTTTCTTAAAGTGACAGCACCCTGAAATTGCTCACTTTGGAAGGTACTGAAAATGTCAATAAAACTGATGAAATTAAGTGAAGCCGTTTCATAGAATGTCATATTTCCCCTTTAACAGACATTTAGCACACAACAAAGGTCCCAACGTTTATCTTTATTGCTCATATGACTTTATGCAAAAGTAGTTTGAGAGTACAGATGTCCACTGCACCACTACATCACTTCCTTTTCAATATAACAAATGTGTCACCAGTAACATCAGCAATAAGTCCACTGAGTAGGCCGCTGATTTTTCAACCAGTAAAACTAATTTTGCACATTTGTTTGGCCACAGATAAAGGCCAAAACGATGAGAAGCAGCATCATAAAATAAAAATAACAATTCAAAGAATAAAGTAACTTTTGTCACTTTTTACTAAATAATCCATTTATTGTTTTACTTCCCTGAACTTCAGATCTAATACATGCAACTAAAACATTAAATATTCTTCAAAAGAAACCCTCGGGCTCTTCACTTACAGACGATCAAGTCAAACAGGGGTGAGCTAAAGACAGCCGTGCACCCACCTCTCAGTTCCCAGTCCCATTAAAGAGGTGCAGCATGGCACGCTCACTGTTAGTCTGTCAACACTATAGCAGTGATTTGCTTCATCCAAGCTGGGCAACAGTTCAGCGTTAGAGTAAAGGATGAAGAATAAAAGAGGTAGAAGAGGAGCGGGACAGTTTGAGTGAGGTAGGGAGGACAGAGCAGCGACGATGCTTCTCCACATTAAGGCAGATCTCTCACCCCCCTGGAAACACGTTACTGATCCAGAGAAACGCTTTGTTCCCAACACACACTGATGAGTTCATGGGAGGACTAGCGCTACGGCTGCATCTTATAGAGGTTTGTGGTTTATCTGAAGGCAGTTCTTCACTAAGTGTCAGTTTGTTGAGACAATGAAAAAAAACAATCTTTTAAAAGCCACAAGAAAATGTTTTTAACCGTTCGGTCGATAGAAAATCAGGTTAACACAGTAGATAACTGTTTATGAAAGGAAAGTAAAGTCTGGGCAGCATACAGTATAAAGATTTAAGTTCGCTACTGATCTGTTTAACTCAAAATCATCTTAAACCATTAAAAAAAAAAGTGTCAGAAAGTCACTTTACGTCTCTCATCCATCTCCAAAATCAGACTTAAAGATTAAAAGTTCTTTTTTTTTTTTTTTAAGTGGCACATGACTGACTGAGCTGGATTGCTCCCAAAGCAACACGGCGTCTCACTGTGTCCTCAGATCCTGATGATCTATTAACCCGCAGAAGGAGGAAGCTATCTAAAAACTCCAACGCTGATTGACAACGGCACCTCTGGCTTCCTCGGCCTAGTTTTCCCAGAACTATTCGACGTGGCAGAATTTTCTCTGGAGAAGAAAAACAAACAAACAAAAAAAGTCATTTTAGCAACAACCTCTGGAGTGACAGCTGCTTCTTTTGTTTATTTCAACACAAGCACACACCCTTTCCTGCGTTGCTCTGCCTGCTCCATGAGCCGCTGCTGGCCCTGCTCGTCCTCCGCCGTTAAAAAGTCTCTGTTGTTGTCGATCAATAGATTCTTGGGGATAAAAACATAAAGAACACATTCAGAACATCCTGTAGAACGAAACAGACTCTTCTAGAAGAGCTCATTTAATACCTTAACGCCAAGTACGTCGCCGTCTTTGAGGTGGAACGGAGGTCCGAGGAGCGATTCTGCCTTTTTCTTCCTCTTCTTCTTGGACACTTGCTGGGTCTGACAACACAAGACACAAAACACACTCACTCCTGTTCCCTGAATCGAGTTTGTTTTGTGAAAGACTCGGCCTTACCCAGTTGGAGATTTCTTCCCAAGTGTGTTTTTCCGGCTGGTGTTTGGCCAACAGCAGAGAATCAGAAGAGAGGCCGTAGCGTGCAGCCACACAAGAGCGTAGAGAGCGAGGAGAAGAATCATGGGATGCATCCCAAACCAGCTCCTCTGCAGGGTAGTAGCGCCTCTCCCCTGGAACGGCCATCCGAACGTTCAGCAGCACCTGCTTAGGCCTTGTAAATAACATAAATCACATCTTTTATGCGTAAAATAAAGAAGAGAAATAAACAAAATGCTTAAAAGACCAGGTGCTTTAAATCTTACCCAATGTCCTCTTCTTTCAGGAGCTGCTGCACACAAAGGTCAGCACCACTCGTCACCTTCAGCTTCCTGAGGAAGTGGTAAAGTAATAACAACACACCAGTGATGCAACGACTTAAAGGTCCAACGTCTGTCCTGGATCAGGTGTTCTGTAAGACCTGAGTGTGACTTGTTGTCCTCTAAGAATACGAGCCAGCTTCCATCCATCCATCTGCCAAACACGAAGGAACGCCAGGGTCGGCACGCACACACCCTGAAGCATCGGCAGCGTCAAGACCTGGGAGGAGAGGAAGAGCGCGTGACAGTGGCAGAAAAAAGTATGTGCACGCCATACAAAGTTCCTTTAAGCTCAAAGGCACCTGAGTTTTGAGCTCCTCCAGCGTAGCTTCGTCCGATATCTCCACCTGTCCCACACTTCTCAGCTCCGTCGTGGTTCCAGGCGACCGAGCCGTCGCCCCTTTGTTCATTTGCTCTTCAGCAGCCGTGTCATCCGTGTGATTAGAATCTGACCCCAAACTTCTCAGATCCACAAACAACCGAATAGATATTTTAAGAAATCCCTGAGAAGGAGAAGCAAAAATAATTAAAAGTAACAACTGAGCAATGATCAGAATAAAGCTGTCCACTTACCTTCGGAGGCAGAAGTCCCTCAGTGACGACCAGCGTCTCTCCGCTGGCGATCTTCAGAGCTGACAGAGGAGCATCCTGGGAACAGAAGTCTGAAGTTTACATGAGGCTATGAATTATTTAAATCTATAGTGATATTTTTATTTATAAGGCATGGATTTAGAAAAACACAACTCTCCTGTTTAAGACCATCAATTAAATATTTGTTGTTTATCCCAAATTCCTACAGTTGTTTAGAATCACCGGATCACTCACTACTTCTGATAAGTGTACAAAATGAAGGAAATCAGGCCTGAAGAGGAGCGGCTGTGTTAGAAAGAACAAAAGGAGCTGCTTTATTAGTGTTTAGTGATTCACCTCATCCATGAGTGGTTCTCCAACCTCCTCACACCAATCTAGCCTCCTCAAGTGCCAACAAGTACCTGAAATTTAAAAACACATCCTAATCAGTTGTAAATTCACAAAGGATGCATGTTTAGGACATTTATTTTGTTTTTTAAAAAAAGAAAAAATGCTTTTACCATCAAGCCCAACAGCGTCCAGCATCGCTTTAAGACACTACAGCAACAGGAAAGGTAATATTCTAATAACTGCGCATAAAATTTTTCGTAAATACATTGTGAGTATTTTGCAGAGCATTTTTCTCACTTCTTTGACAGTGCAGGTCTTCTCCACAATGATATCCATCTCCATGCCAGCAGAGGACGCAGAACCCACGGTGTAGAGCAAGAACAGCTGCAGCGTGCAGAGAAACACTCTAAACTTTAATCATCAACACACACCTCCTCGGTTTGATTTACAGGGTCAAACACTCTTTAGCTTCTAATCACTGCAGCTGCAAGTAGAGAAGAGCCGAGTGAGGAAATTAAAGGCACACCTGTGACTCCTTGGGGCTTTTTCCCGGACAGAGAGTCAGTGTGGTCATGAGTCGCACTCCCGCGTCCCGAACGCTCAGCTCCTCACACACTGTCAGAAAACAAGGATGAAGAATGAGAACAAGATCTATGGCTTCAAAGACGTGATTGGAAGGAAAATTACAAGCAGGAGGGGGAATACCTATTACACATGTGCAGTGTTAGGCAGTTTGCCAAAACGAGGGGGAATTCCAGCTCTTAAGTAATGTGCACCAGTGAAATCAAACCCCAGGTAACAAATGACACCATACCTGGAGGAAGGAGTTTCCCTGTGCAGTCCACCTGCCTCAGACAGTACGGCGCACCTGGCCACCAGTAGAGGAAAATACACACACACGCACATGCGCGCGCGCGCACACACACACACACACACACGTTTTTAGGAAGTTTCACTCATTTAAAGCCAGACGAATGAAAACACTAAAGAAAAACTTCCCAGTCACTTATAACTAATTCACAAAAATCATCTTTTTATAATTTTATTCATTCATTCATTCATCTGAAATTTTTTTTTCTTAACTGTGAAAATATTTAATGGGATAAGAAAGTTTTTAGTGTTTATGAGAATTTCTGAATTTTTGCAAAAAATTGAAGAGTCCTTATAAAAGGAACCCCCAGGCGGTCGTTCCACAAAGCTGGGTGTAGATTAATAACGAAATAATCAAAGCATCAAAACTCTCAACAGCAAATGTAAAAACATAGACAGAAACCCCTTTAAACTGGTTAAACAGCTTTTATGTCCTGGTTTTATGAGTTATCTGCAGCAGCAGCAGCAGCGCGGCTGTAATTATGGATAGTTGTGAGCATCTTGCCTGGAGGCTGCTCCTGCAGCTGCAGCTCCTCCACGGCTCTCCGTTTCACTTCACACAGCAGCTGTGCAAAGAGCAACGACACAGAATAAAAATGATTCTTGTAAGAATATAAATGTCTAAATCTGAAGATAGAAAAGGGAGGGACAAGAGGAAACAAGAGGAAAGACTCTAATTACTGACCATATTTCCTGTGGCTGGAACCTTGACTCTCTTCTTTTCCTCCTCACCTCCTTTTAATTGTGGTTGAAACTCCACCAGGAGCCAGCGGCAGTCAGACGGTGTGGTCACGGTGACAACGTCCCCATTTCGGGTGAACACGCTGATCACAGTGAAGGAAAACGTTAAATAGTCCCTCTAAACATCCGGCGCATCACTAGAGAGCTCACCTGCTGTCCAACGACTCCGGCTCCAGCACCAACAGCGCGTCTCCATCTTTCAGCGACAGATCTTTCAGAGTCCGATGCATATCATCTGGTGGGAATACTCTCCATCCGCTCGCGCCCCCTCCCTCTCCGGCCCCCTGCTCACCTCCCTTTCCTCCTCTCTGCCGCTGACACAGCAGACTCTCCTTGGGCTCCCCGAGTGCCTCCCTCACCTCCACAAGAGTTGCACCACCTGCAAACCCTCTTGCTTCCCTTTTGAGTCCCGGCCCGCCGTTCTCACACTCGCTTTGTTTACATTCGATTCCGTTTTGAGCTTCTTGCTCAAAGTCTTCACCCAGAAAGGGTCGGACGACAGTCAGCAAGACCGGTTCCCACTCGGCTCCCGTCTGGACCGTCGCACCACAAACCTGAAGGACATCCAGGATGTGAGGTTGAAATCAACCAAAGGAAAGAAAAACAAAAACCCTTTCCTCACCTCTCTACCGTTCCACACAAACAGGTCAGAGTTTGTGTGGATTCCTACACTGTACAAGGACACGTCATCAGCTGTGGAGAAAACACGATTATTAGCTCTAAATTTTATTAAAAAGGGACAAATTATGACATTTTTCTTAACTTATAAGAGTTCTATGTCAATAAAAAAGATGTTTAGGGCTGCAGCTATCAAATATTTTAGTATTCGAATTTTCTATTGAATCCTTCATCTAATATAATAATAAAAATAATATCCTATTCAAGTGAAACGAGATTACGGTCTGCTGATAAAAATATAAAAATAAAACAACAAACTCAGCTGCAAACATCCACATATAAACGGGATGGTGGGGATTTTTCTTCTGCTTGTAGAGTTTAGTCATTCACAACCATCACGTTTTTTCTGAACTCCACTTGATCATGAGCGTGATACATGCTAGCTTAGCATTTGCTAATCTGCCCGTAGTTTGAACTCTTGATCCCAAACTTTGGACCATTTCTGCCATTTTAAACGGTTCGTCTTTGCTGGTTTCTCTATTTTCCTCCACAGCACCTAGATCACCACATAGTGGGCCAGTAAAGTGTGTTCAGACTGTGGTGCGCACATTTAACGAAGCTTCCAATCAGTAAAAAATGAATCGAGGTATTTAATGAATCGAAGCATTCAAATCATTCGATGATTCGTTTCAGCCCTAAAAATGTTCATTAGGTATTTGCACTAAATCCCTCTCACATGAAGCTATTTGACCAGTTTTATTCTCGACAGTTTCAGAACCATCCAGAATGAGCCGTTTCAGGGTTCTACCGCTTGAACAAAACAAGCTGGACCTGCCCACACCCACCCCACTCAGGCTGCCATACGCTGAGATGCTCAGACAACCGGGAGGGGCTCAGAGTCTCTCTCTCTTGCACATGAGAGGTGGTTCTATGCTACTTTCCCCAGTTGTGACATCACAAACGGGGACATTTTGAAACAGCTTGTTTCAAGCTCATGATTCCTAAAACCAAACACTGACAGAAAACAGGTGGATTTTTTTTCTTGTTTGAAGTGCTTATATAAACAGTAGAGACCCATACGGCAGCACTAAAGGATGCAAAAGGTCAGTTTTGCATAAATATTGGTGAATATTTAACCTGTTAGAGTGTTGTAGAGGTGTAAACCTGCAGGAAGACTCTTTGCCACGGTCAGAGCCATGTCTCCTTCCCAGAGTTCCTGCATCTACAGTCAAGGAGAAAAAAATAAAACTCAGGATTTTAAAAACACGGGACTAGCTATTGTTCAAAACAAAATACCTGATAAATAGTGAGGCGTAAATCCCCCACGGTCTTCCTCCGGTCGAAGCTCAGGGCGGTGATCCCACTTGGTTCTGTGCTGATGGGCTGCAGGGCTCCATTATCCAGCCTATAGAAGGGTGCCAGGTGCAGCTGCAGCTCCACAGTGTTGTTACTGGCTTCAAACTGCTCACTGAAATAAAGAAAACATTGAAGTTTTGTAATTCCTGACTAAACTGAATTACCACTAGTGAGTTGGGTTGTAATTAGCAGCTGGACATCCGATAACAGCATGATAAAAATAAAAGAGCGAGCTTGTTCTGTACCGCTTCTGCTGAAGTTGGATGTTCTCATCCTGAGCCATCTGGATGAGCTGAGAGGGGACTTTATACAGGGGATTGTTCAGAGCTAAACGAACACAGTCATCAACAAAGCAGACGTAGAGAAAAATAAATAACTTACAACAAAATTATGTATTCATTTGACTGAAACTAAAGCTAGCAGGTTTTTCCAGTCAGTTTGTCCTTCAGTTTTTTCCATCTGAGGTAATATTTAAAAAACAAATAAAAACAAAGTATTTGTTACCTTTGCTCGGTCTGAACAGCTGTGTTTTTCTGTAGAACAGCATGTAGGCACTCTCTTTGCCCTGGAACTGCTTCTCAATGTCCGACTCCCTGATGGAAGTCACAGTGGAGTCGTTGAGGTCAAACCAGTGGCTACCCTGCTGACAGACAGGAGGATGCACCGTGAGAAAAAAAAAAGAGACGTAAAAGTCCCAAACTTCTAAAAGATCTTGCAAAGAAAATCAAAGACATTTAGAATCTGTTGCTTTTGGACCTCTGGTTTGATTTCCTGCTCTCGATCGGAGGTTGCTGAGCCAGCAGCTGTCGGCTCTGTGGCTTTATCTGCTGGAGCGGGGCACTCGGTCGCTGGACTCGGAGGGTTAGCCTTCAGCGCTACTCGAGTACCATTAGACACGAGCATGAAAACATCACTGTGAGACTGCAGAAACTGAACAAGAAAAGGAAAAATGTGTTAACTTGGTGATATTTGTAGGAAGTTTAGACAATTTAAGAAAGATCACAAATCAGCTTTACCTTTCCGATGGGACCATACTGTCTCCTGAACTTCTTGCTCCAGGATGAGCCGATCTTATCCATGAGTTTCTGACCCAGCTGATCAATCAGAACACTCTTTGGTGACTCCTGGTGGACAGCAAAGGTACTGCAGGTTATTGATGCTAGTTTTATCCTTTTATCCAAGGGGCCATTTTAGTCTGAATTTTTTGAAGCCAACACAGAAGTGACAAAAATTGCAGTTCTACCCTCATCCACTAGGGGCTGGCACCAGAAGTGAGCAAATCCTCATTGACTCCCATGTAAAAACTGCCATTTTCACAGCAGAAATAAACATGTTTACAGCCTGGTTCAAAAAACCATTTTAGGTTTAACAGACCTAGTTTACATTCATGACAACTCTGAGGGGGTTGAGTTTTTGTAACTCTTCTGTTTAAGTGTATTGCTTAAAATTCTGACTAGTTATGAGCATCAGAGCCACGTGACTTCAGAGCTAGCGGTGGGAGCTAGCTTCGGGGAAGGCCTCAGCCTGGGCCTCACGTTAATAGATGTTCAGCTATTTCGACTCTCTGAACTTTAGTTGTGTCCTCTGTGTGTTTGTGTTTGGATGATGATGTTAATCATGAAATTATTTGAACAAATTAGGGCAAGCTGTGGTTATTGACTGCACTAACAGATCATCCAAGCAGTGTCTTCTTTTTTATCAGTAAGTAAAACTTTATTTCTGTACTTGACTTTGCTGGTTGAATGGGGGAAATGCTGTGCCATTTAACTGCTTGGTCAAACATGCTAGTGGGAATGCATAAGAAACTTGAGTGGGTGCCCGGCTTCTCCCGTCTCCTGCCCGGGAACAGTTGAGCAGGCGGCTGGCTGTTCCTGTTTCCCGGTTCTGGGAGTGTCAACGTGGCTCCAGGCTCCATTCCGCGCTCCCGACTGAAGATGGGAGTGTCGACTCTCCATGTTGACACTCTCAGAGCTGGAAAAGTCGACAAAGGCGGACTCACGGATCTTTCGGTGGACCAGCGAAGCCCATTATTCTCTGGCCTAGTGATGATTTTGGGCAGGCCGGAGGTGCTTCACTTTGAAGTTGCTCTACTGTGTTTTTCTTGTAAAAACTCCATTCGCTTCGGGTTAGCACTTAGCTAATGTCCTGCTGATCTCCGACCATGGAGCATGAGCTGATGTAAAAGGCCAGGGCGCCCAGCTACAGTTGCAGTGGTCTGAGGCTCTGCTTGTAGTTTAACAGTCCCGGTCCACATTAGATCTCCACAGGCGACCAGCATTGCCCTGGAGCCAGACGGCCGTAAGGGTGGGCTACCCCGGAGCCTCTTCTTAGCTTCTAAGGTTAGCTAAGTTAGCTAATAGCTACACTGATTCATTTGTTCCAATCCACCGGTAACAGCCCCACCCTCAGCTCCCCTCTTTTCCCATTTTGGATTGTCTGGGCATGATGAGCCGTGCAACACGACCCAAAATGTCAGTGATGGGAACCTCCCATTTGGCTTCCACCCTGCCCAACAATGGGAGGGCCGTGTCTATCCTTTTTATGTTGATGGTTTTATCAGAGAAAACAACAGAAGTAGAAACAGATTTTATACCTGGGAAATGATTGTGGTGAGGACAGAAAGGGGGTCATCTTCCTGCAGTTTTGGTTCACACACTTCCTTGACCTCCTTGATTTTAATCTGAGTTTTGGGTTTGCAGTCCTCATCCTAAACACAAGAAGTAGCTTTCAGCAGAGCAGCAATACAACCAGTTAAAGGGCACGGCATTCTAAAAAACGATTCTTGTTTTTTCTCACAGGTGGCTCCCATCGGCCGAGTTCATCAATATCCTTAATGTACACGTGGTAGTGGCCACCGTAGCAGCCTCCTTTGTGGATGATCACAGAGAACAGATCATAGGTGAAATCCGTGTCATCTCCATCAGTCTGAGGGAAGACAAGGGTTAGGGTTGATCTGAGATGAAACTGTAGTCTGACAACAATGTAAAACGCTTCAGTAGTACCTGTTCACAGAAGGGTCTCAGGTTGATGGTGAGCGGGAAGCTGTAGCGTCCCGTCTCCTTGTATCGCTCAAGTTTAGAAAAGTCAAAGCTGAATCTCAGCAGGGACATCGTCATGAAAGGAGGAAGCTTCTTCAACTTGGCGGACTGAAATGAAATTTCAAGTTTTCATAGAATTTTTATGCTTTAAAAAAAAAGGCCTATTTTATTCTCTAGTCCGTTGTAATAAAACATGTCTAACTGTGGAAACACAGAATGAACAATGTCACGAACCTTAGCAGCAGTGACCAGTCTGTCACACCGAGCACAGCAATAAAGATTAGTGCCCTCAAACATCTCTTCCTCCACAAACATGTTCCATAAAGCCTCCTCCAGACTAGATACACCGCACACACACACCGTCAGGTCCAGGAAGTCCTCCTACACACGACATGAGCAAAAAGTTACAACGTCCTAAAAGGTTAACTAGTGATGCATCGAAAACGGGCACACCAGGACACACCTGTCTCTGGCTGATGTTCCCACACTCCTTACAGACGATGCTGTTGACGATGGTGCCGTGATAGAGGCGGTGGATAAATGTACTGCCACTGGTGCCCACAAGAGAGTGCTCCAAGGCACTGAACAGGATCCGGTTAAGCTCCTGAACATCCTGCTGATTCGTCCCCTTAAAAAATGTTGACCAAAAAAATGAAAAGTTCAGACAAAGGAAACTTGTTTTTACAAATCTAAAGAATTTGCACTACGTCTGATCTATTGACCAACAATAAAATCATGACTACTTAAGTTTAGCAACGCACTGCATTAATTTCTCTGCTTTAGTAAAAACTCATGGGAAACGATCTTGTGCCTCGCCAAAATAAGAGAGCGGTAAGTGACGTCCAATTCAGGAACACACAAGACTATATCAGTGTTCACTTTACCAAAGTTTTTCTATCTTTATCAGCTATAGTTGCATATTTTGAGCAGTCTATTTAAAAATAAACATTTGCATCACCAAGATGTGTTTTTGAAAGCATAAAGTTGTTATAGCAGAGGTTTTCTGATCATTTACAGCAACAAATCCTCAGAGTTCACATTTTAAAGAAAGTACCAAATTGTGCCAGCAGGTGGCAGAGTTGCACGGTTTAGACTTAAAAAGTTGCATTAATTTAATACATAAAACTACTTTTTTCATACAAGCAATATAGGCTAACATAAAAATTCAAACCATCAAATCATCTATTGTTATCAACCAAATATATAATTTCAGTTTTTATTTTCCGTGTAAACATTTAGAAATGATGGAAATGTTTCATTTGCATCAGCACTTGAAAATAGAACTGGATGGAAAAAGTTTGATAGATGCAGAAAGTGTGAAAATAATGAGGTTCTTTTTTTTTTTTTTTTTTTTTTTTTACAAGCGTCAAACACTGCTGGTGTGTTTTGCTCTTGTTCTGCCTCCTTTACTTGCAGTGATTTATTTTTAAAAGTCAACATGCTCTCTCTGAATGCTCTGGCTTTATTAGTTATTATAGACAAAATTTAGGGAGCTGTAATTTTATAAAAACGATGCATATCATGCAATAATGAATGTCGATCATTTATAAACCACAGCAGAATGACACGTAGGGTATCTCCTCCATCCAGCAGCAACACAACACCGCTTCATGTCACTGCATTTTTGGGCATTCTTTTCCAACATCAGGTTTGCAGACGGTGTGGAAAACTTTGTATCTGTTTCTTTCTGCTCTCTGACTCCAGGCGATAGTTTTGCATGAACACAGCTGGACGGCTTCCAGACACGGAGGGAAAAAAGTGAAATTCCAGTCAGGTTGCTGTGCTGGGACTTCTATATGGTAGGCATGCAGATCCTGACATTACCCGGGGGTAAATCAATCACTGAACTGAAAAGTGTAATGTGAGCCTCTCAGACCTGGCTGCTGTTCCAGCCAAAGCTGTCAGTGAGGTCAGTGGTGGAGGCGCACTGCTGATCCACCAGCAGCAGACGGGTGAACAGCCTCTGGAGCTGCAGTGGGATCACTCTGACCTGGGTGAAAGAAAAGGACAAACTTTAGTTTCACACCACAAACAAATGTCTGACTCAGTCAGGCATCTTGTTTCACTTACTTTAGCCTCTGGTTTGTCTTTGTCCTCAAGACACCCCAACTCTTGTGGTCCCAAACGGAACAGCTCCTCTGCAAATACACACCAAAACATAAAATAAGAATTAAAAAGTGTAAATTATTCTGCTGGAGGCTGTGTGATCAGTCCTCACCTCTGAACTCAGGGGTGAACAGCAGAGTCTGGAGCAGAGAGTTCAGGTAGCACGTCCCTCCCTGGTTCTTAATGCCGCACAAATGACTCCTTCCTCGGGGTGGAGGAGGCTCATCCGTCCCTTTGGCAGCTCGTTCCTTGGGGGAGGCTAAAGAGAAGCCTTCGCTCTCCTCTTCTTCAAAAAGGTTTCCAAACATGCTGAGTGAGTGGAGTTTCTTCAGTTTCGTTTCTCTGGGTTAAGCAGTAAGACGCGTTAGCACTCCGACGTGCCCTCTTGCTATCTCATCTTGGTCTTACCGAGTTCTCGGTCAACAGCGGCTGGACTGACTCTGAGGTAAGAGGAGTTCACGGGGCTGAACATTGCGACCATGACCGTGTTTGAGTTGTGTCTCCGCTCGATAAGGCCAGTCAACCGCTGAGCTGAATGAACGCCGAGCGACAAAAGAAATCTGACAGTCGGTGTTACAACTACTGGAAAAACAGCGTCGTAAAACCGAAACAGTGGCTAATATTTTAATCGATTTTTTTACTCGAATTGGCTTCGAACACAAGCTCCTTCTTCCCGTGACTGCCTTAAAAAGGAAAATAAACGAAACGTAAATAAAGACACCATAGCTGGACAGTAAGCCGCCATGTTTTAAACGTCGCGAATGCAATGATGCATTGTGGGATTTGTAGTACGTAAATCGGTCCAGGAGAAAACTTGAAGCAAACTGATTTCTTTGTTTTGTTTTTTTACCAAATGTCTTAAATACGTTTTATTTTTCTTATCTGATATGAGTCTTTCAATCAGAAATACGTTCCTTACAATAACTGTTATTCTACTTAAAACTTAATTTTTGGGTATTTAATCGTTTGAGTGTTCGATAACATTATGGGAGTTGTAGTTTTAGAAGTAACGTGAACATGAACAGATTTGTAATTTTTATCTAAAGGTCCAAACTTTATTTTGACTGCTGACATACAAAAATATCCTTTTTAAAATTATGAATAAGGAAGTTATCTGTATTGGCAAATGAATGTTATTTATTCAAGTTGTCCTCCTTCTCAGTTTTCGGTTTAAACTTTTCAATTTCACCCTTTTTTAAAAGTTTTAAAATATTTTTTACACTATTTAAATCATATTTTTGTTGTTGGTCTGTGACACGCCTCATGTCCTGAGAGGCACTCTATAAAAATGTTTCTTCTTCTTCTGAACTCAATGTTAAATAAAAATAAAACAATAAAAATGAAAACTTTTTTCTTTCTTTTTTTTTAGTTGGAGGTGTATTATGGACTCGGTTTTTAATGACTAAAAACAACTAAACAAACAATATCAATTACATTAATTCAAATTTTAATTCATTGTCACTTTTCAGATTTAAGTTTGTTCATGCAGCAAACTTAACAGTCTAATTGAGAGAGAAACCTATTCAGTCAAAACATATGTTAAATATATTTTAATAGTAAATATTCTTACAGACAGATTGTAGATTTAAAGAGGCTTGAGTATTAATTCTCCTCAAATTACCCCCACAAAGACATCTGCCATGGCATATTATTAATTAATTAATGTATTTCTATGTGACTTATATGAGGTCTATACTAACCAAAACCATTGGGAAATGTCTGAGTAACCTACAGGTGAAACTTGAACATTTTGAATATGGTGCAAAAGTCAATTTATTTCAGCAATTCTACTTTGACTGAGAGACCATATAAATGCTCAGGAACCTTTTGTTGGATTCATTAGCTGATCGGAGTGGGCCACTTTGAGTCTAGAATATTGAACCATTTCACAATATTCTAATTGTCTGAGCTTTTGAATGTGGGATTGTCCTAAGCTGTAAACTTTAATCATCACAATTACAACAAAGGCTTGAAATATCTGGCTTTGTATCTAATGAGTCTATCTCATATTAGTTTCACCGTTAAAGTTGAAGTAGTGCTTCAAATGAACGTTAGCACCATATTCAAAATTTTCCCATCACACACACACACACACACACACACACACACACACACACACACACACACACACACACACACACACACACACACACACACACACACACACACACAATGCTTTTCATTTCGATAAATTGCATTGGACTATTAAATAAAATTATTGTAAATGTTTTTCTCCATGATAATTTCCAAAAATCTACAAAAATATACACAGGAATAAACCTCTCACAGATACAGTACAAAAAGCTACACACACAATTTCTTCTCTAGTAAGTTTTCAGTTTAAATACTTTTGAGAGAGGTTCTTTGGCACTAGAGTAGATCAGATAAGACTCTCCATTAGAGCTGAAAAACTCCCAATCACTGCATCCGATCGTTGGGAGCCAGTGAACGGGAACAAATCCTTCATATCCCTGCCACCTGTAGAAGACACGGGAAACAGAAATAAATCTAAAGAATGAAAATTTGTTTCATTAGTTGCAAGGTGATGCTTTCTTATAAAGAAAATACACCACTACCGAGGCATTTGGTTGCTTTATAGGTACTGCATTTTTAAAAGCAACTGATGAAAGAATTCACAAGGGGAGAGGAAACAGTTGACAAGTTAAATACCTGTAGAGAATGCTGTTGAGAGAGTAGGATTCTCCGTTATAGGAATTAGCAACAACCAGAAAATGTTCCTCCCCAAGGCTGAAGAATTCCCAGTCCACAGCACTGGGAGGAAAGAGAACGTTTAAGTGGAATATGACAACTGAGTGAAGTGACAGCAAACATCTTTAAAGATGATCTCATCATCTGGATTTGCACATGCATCTGGTTCATCTTATCTGAAAATTACACATCGATACCTGTGGGTGACTATATCCTGGAAACGGACAAACAGTTGTCCACTCATGTCCAACTCGTAGATTGTTGAGTTGATGGTGTATTGACTCGGCCCGTTACCGTGGAGTCTGTGTCCATTGGCAACGACCAGAAACACTCGGCTGCCAATCCGGAACATTTCCCAATCCGTGGCGCAAAATGTCTACAATTCCATGGGGGTGGGGGGTGGGGGGTGTTAATGATGACACATTCAGTCAAGTGTTTTCTATCCCTCAAGGAGAAAATTCATTACATATTTGGGGAGTGAAGGTGTGGACAAGAGCAAACATGAGCAGAGAGAGAACAGATAAACAACAACAGATGGTTCAAAGGATCAAAACTCAATTGTGTTTTTGAACAAGTTTAAAAATGTTAGGAAGGCCCAGTTTGTGTTTGTATCAAGCTGACAAAAATAAGCTTTCCATAACTTTTCATGGTCAGAATGCTAATACTAGGATACTCTTACAAATACTTTTTCTTTGTATGGTGTTTAAATTAGTTTTACTCTGAAAAATCCACTAAAGCACCAGAAAACTGTGCAAAACCTGTGCAGGAAGTCATCATAGCAATCATATGTTGCACTTCAGAAAGCTCTGTGGTGAAAAAAGGGAGTGGGAATTGAAACATACTGGAGATCGTCCACAACAACCTTTGAATCAACTTGTCCTGTTACTGCCAAGAGCCAATAAATCACTGTGTTTATTTCATAATTATCTCCTTTCTGCAGCGATCAAACACTCATCTGAATGCTAGAATCATTAATTAGCAGTTAAAATGTTCATTACAGTCTCAATCATTTTATAACAATTATCAGTTAAAGGTGGATGCGTCTTGCATGGTAAAGACAATTTAAATATATAGCTGTTATATTTATGAAGTAACTGTGAAACAGGGCTGCATGGTGATGCAATTTGTAGCAATTTTGCAATGCAGCAAGAAGGTTGCTAGTTGGAATCCCAGCTGCCGCCTTTCTGCACCGTTTGAGTGTTCTCTCTATGCATGTGTGGGGGTTCTCCAGGTATTTTACCGATTTTAGGGAAATTAATTGAAAAACTGGTTTTTGATCAAATAACTCTATATTTTGAGGAAAATGAGTTGAATTCTAAATTTCAGCATGCATATAAAAAGGGGTACTCAACAACAACGGCACTAGCACAGATGACTAACGATTGGATGACTTATATGGATAATAGAAAACTAACTGGGATGGTATTATTGGACATGAGTGCGGCATTTGATCTAGTGGATCATAATCTATTACTGATTAAATTAGGGTTATATGGTTTTCATGAATCAGCTATTAAATGGGTGGAAAGTTACTTAACTTGAAGGGGGTTTATGGTATTGTTTAATGGCAGTTATTCTCGAAGGAAGAATCTTTTATGTGGGGTTCCGCAGGGAAGTTGTCTTGGACCATTGTTGTTTTCAATTTTGACTAATGACCTTTCATTTATGTTAGAATGTGCTACGATTGTATTATATGCGGATGATTTGACTTTATATGTAGCGGAAAAGAATCTGGAGGAATTAAATTCTATTTTGGAAAAGGAATTGAGGTTAGTAGAAGGGTGGATTAATGAAAATAAGTTAGCTATTAATGTGGAGAAGACTAAATGTATGGTGATGGGATCACCTCATTTGTTGAGAGAACCTGTAATGAATTTATGTATAAGAGAAATGCCATTTGAGCAGGTTAGAGAAGTTAGGTTACTGGGTTTAACAATTGATAAAACTCTAAGTTGGAATAGTCAAGTGAAACAGATTTTAAATAAAATGGGAAAGAACATGGCAATGGTGAGGAATGGTAGAAAATTTATTCCATATTTAAGTAGAAAAATATTAGTTGAAGCTATTGTTTTGTGTCACTTTGACTATTGTGCAGTAATTTGGGCTGCTACTATGGAAGCGAATTTAAATAAGTTAGGTCGCATAAAATAAGGCTGCTAGATTAGTCTTAAGTTGTTTTTTAGAAAGAGTTGTGAGAACATGCATACTGCTCTAGCATGGATGGGTGTAAAGAGTAGAATAAAGTATTTACTTATAAAATGTATTAGGAATGTTATAAATACATAGACACTAGACATTTTTTCAAATCAGTTGACATTTTTTAGAGATGTTCACCAACATGCTACGCGTCAAGCTGACGGCTGCTTGTCGTTGCCAGTTAGTCGAACAAATTTTCTTCATAGGTCAGTATTGTATAGAGCTATGGTGGAATGGAATAGTTTACCACAATTGTTGAGGGCTCAGCTACAAAGGAGTGATTTTTGTAGGAGGTTGCAGATATTTATTAATACTCTTTTTACACGAGTTTGAGGAAGATGAGTTTTATGTTTTATTAATTTTATGATTTGTTGTCCAGTATCATGTATGGAGTAATTTGCGTTTTATGTTACGGGAAATGTATGTTATTTTGGTGCTGTATTGGGTGGAATGTGGTGTGCTCTTATAGTGGAGATTTATGTTGTATAGTGAAATGGATTGTTTGTTTGTGAGCCCAGTGTTGATGCATGAATAATGTTTTGGTTTTTTTGGATGATTTTATGACCCCAGGAAGAATAGCAACTGTTTTAACAGTGGCCATTGGGGATCTTAATAAACAAACAAACAAACAAACAAACAAACAAAAACTCTGGAGTGGGTGTGGTTGTCTCTGTGTGTCCCTGTGATCGATTGGAGACCTGTCCAGGGTGTCCCCTGTCTCTCAAACATATGACTGCTGGAGATAGACACCAACTCCCCATGACTCTATAGAGGAGTGAGCAGGTAAAGGTTGAATATGGAACAATTGAATAAAAAGCTTTATATTTTTTAAAGGGATGTTGTATATTTTCCCAGGTGATAGGGGGCAATATGTACCTAAATCATTGCAGGCAAGCTGTGTTTTTGTGTTTGAGTAAGACCTTACCAATGGATGGCCATTAGAGTAAAAAATCCCTGGGTGTCAGATCAATCAACCTCTAGGAAAATGATAAGTACATCAGACTCCCTTTCATCAGTGGCAACAAGCGAAGAGGGAAATGCATAAAACAACAACAGCGAAAATTTTGTAACCATTTTTTACAAATCAGTAAAAGCATTTTGTCCTCACGGGCTCCTGTAGAAGGAAACATTGTGTATACGGTGTCGCCAAGAGACACATGCTCCAAAGTATTTTAGACCCAATTTTAATGGTTATATGTTATGTGGGCATCATTTAATTCATTTTCATCAACATTTTGATGGATAGTTCCAGAAGTAAAAACTACACAAGCTCACTTTAAATAATACCTCCATGGGTTTTTATATGTGTGCAGAATGAAAGCACAGTTTCCTTTAAAAGCTATATTTTAATTTTAAAAATGTTCAAATATATTTTGTTGCGCACTGCACTGGGTTAATGTTTACATCTACTAGCCAGTAGAGGGCACCATTGTGGGTTGCCAAACTGTCCGCTTGGCTCAGCGAGGCTGGCACTGTGGAAAATGGCGGACTTTGCAAGTCAAGCAGCTGCTTTTGAGTCCAGAAGAGGTTATCCTTCTCAGAAGAGGAGCGACCATAAAACATCTAAAACAAGAGCGAGTTTAGGTGAAGCCTACAACAGATGGAACCAAGTAAATAATTTCATGTCTCGGCAGAGAACCTGGTATCACAACGGCTGGAAACCTTGTTCTACGGTTGCAACTACAACCTCCACACACTAGATGTCGCTTTGGTGTTTGTATTCCATATTCTACTTTTAAGATAATGAGTGAGTTGAGATAACTATAAAACAACATTATAAATACGTAATAAAATTGGCACTTGCCAACTGCAGTACTTGGATCCCCCAGTAGAGGGCACAGCATGCACAGGACTTTACTGTATGTTTTGAGAAAAATTACTAATCTTGTTAAAGAGATTTATGGCAGCGAAAAGGTTTTTTAAATCATCAAAATTAATGTTTTTGTTATTAGTCATTTCAAACTGATATTGCATCACAGAGACTCCGTTTGTGCAGCAAAGAGCTTTCTGCCGTTTCATCACCTCCCCCCCCTTTCTCTGATGATTTTAGCCTCAAGGTGTTCTGACTCCTCCCATCCACCTGCGGAGTTCCCCTTAATTACACTTCTCCCCGTGTTTTCTCACGTGGCTATCAATGTGTCAGCACACTCACATCCACTGTAGCTAGATCCAACTAAATTGTTCACCATCAGTTACACGTCACAGCCATCGCACAAGCAAATCGTGCCAAACCACAGAGTCAATTCTTGGCTGTGTCTTAAATGTGGTTTTTCCTTCCTCCCGACCTATTTTCATTTTATCTGTGTGTTCACTTCGTTCTGTCTGCACAGATAAGATCGTTTTTCATCTCAGAGATATACATCTCAGCAGAGGGAATCAAAGCCCAGCTGATGAATGGAAGGGAAATCATCTAGCAAGCCATCAAGTGCTTTCGAGTCCAACTCCTACTCGTGCTCGAAGAGAATTGTAATGATAGATGGAGATAATTTGCACCATTTTTATGCCATTGAGCTCTCACTGACCTTGATTGTCTGAAACACCTGGAATTTTCCATTGATCCAGACGTAGATGATAGAGTCCACAGAAGTGGTCACTCCATCAAAAGCATTTGCAACAACCAGGAAATGGTATGGTCCCACAGTGAAGAACTCCCAGTCGTAGGCTCCTGAAGTGAGTAGCATCTGGTGAACCTCAAAAGACTTTATTGACCTGTTCCACCTGTATATCACACTGTTTATCGTGTGGTTGTTGTCACCTACAGTTAGCGGGAGAAAAAAGTTGTTAATTACAGCTTCTGCAAAATCTGAGCAAGCCAAAAGGGAGAAGTTTCATCATTAATTCATATTACCCTGCCTGTGATTGGCTACAGCAAGGTATGAATGTTGTTCAATGTTAAAGGCCTCCCAGTCTCGTGCACAGAAGGTCTGCAGGGTCTGAAGGTGCACAAAACGTTTTCTTCTGTTGCTCCACTTGTAAACCACAGAAAAGTCTGCTCCAGCGCCGGAATTAGACACCACAAGGAATACCTGCAAGAAAACAACAAATGCAGCAAGGCCTGAGGGTTCAATCAAAGTGTGATCGCACCGATAACTTGCCATACTTTTTTCCCCATTCTGAAATGTCTCCAAGCCAGAGCACCATGCGTGCTGATGTTCTGGTAGAGCTGGAAACCAGATTGGGTCCACAGATACAAAGCTGAGCCAGAGGCTGGGGACCGGTGGGCCATAGCAGCCATCAAACCTACGCCAGGGACCTGAAACACCTGAAAATGTTGCATTGCAAGACAGTAAAGTGCAAAAATTAAATTATTCACATTTTATGACCATAGTAACTGCTTCTTATGTTGAAGTTATGAAATAATTGAGACGTCACATTAAAGCCCTCCACCTCTACATTTATTACATATTAAAAATGCACATTTTTGTGGCCTATGATGGCTTTTAAGTATCTTGAGGTCTTGTTCATGAGTGAGGGAAAGATGGAGCATGAGATCAACAGGCGGATTGGTGCTGCGTCTGCAGTGATGCGGGCGTAGCACCAATCTGTTATGGTGAAGAGAGAGAGCTGAGCCGGGAGGCGAAGCTCTTGATTTACTGGCCAATCTACGTTGCAACCCTCACCTATGTTCACGAGCTTTGGGTAGTGACCGAAAAAATGAGATCGCGGGTACAAGCGGCCGAAATGAGTTTTCTCCGCAGGGTGTCTGGGCTTTCCCTTAGAGACAGGGTGAGAAGCTTGGTAATTTGTGAGGGGCTCGGAGTAGACCCGCTGCTCCTCCACATCGAAATAAGCCAGTTGAGGTGGCTCGGGCATCTAGTTAGGATGCCTCCTTGGAAGACTCAAGACACGCTGGAGAGACTACGTTCCCGAGGAGCTGGCCCAAGTGGACGAGGAGAGGGAAGTCTGGGCCTCCCTGCTTAAGCTACTGCCCCCATGACTCAACCCTGAAAATGGATGGATGGTCATGTAAAATCAAAGGATCTCATGCGATGTGATTGCAAGCAGGTTGTAAGTTATGGACGATTCTCTGCTTTCACCGCTTGAAATTGACGAAGCTATGGCTAGTTTTATGCTTGTAAGAGAAAAAAGTGTTTGATAAATCTTGAATGTACGACCGCATAGAGCCACATACAATAAATTAGGGCAAATACATGTTACAACACAATAAATTGTATTGTGTTAACAATACATTTTTTATGTTTGACACTTTCATACAATATGATGTAACACCTACAAACCTGATATATGTGTATATTGTGACATTTTATTGGTTGGACAAGACCACGTAACAACACGGTTTTGCTCTAATTTTTTTATTTACTCGGGTGACAGCTCTATGTTTCCATATGACTTGGATTCAAGTTTCTAAGAACTTTACTTCTTTAACAGGATTGGTACTTTCCTCTATTTTCTGAATCCTCAAAATGTCTCCTGCCCTCTGGTGGAAGATCCAAGCACTACAGCTGGCAGGGGCCTATTTGATTTCTGTATATTATTGTTGTGTTGTTACATAAAGACATAATAAACATTATATAATATCATTAGCAAATAAATACTTGAATTTGTCTGAAATTTGTAATCATTATTTCATGCTTCAAGCTTTAATACAGGCATGTCCAAAGTGCGGCCCAAGGGCCATCTGCAGCCCTCAGAGTGATTTTAGGCGGTCCTCATTAGCATTTCTATATTTTTAAATTCTGTCTCTCCAACACTCTGTTGATCTACATTGACCCTTTTGTGTAAATTAGAAGTTTAGATTTTTACAAATATGTATAGTTCAGGCCTCTTTTTTTGTGAAAAGTACAAATAAAAATTTGCCGTAACATAATTTCTACACTTTTGAGACCTGTGATGGCTTTTAACGCGATGGTTTTTGCCTTTGTCTTGAAACGTTTGGACACCCCTGCTTTAAAGGGTCTTTAGAGGAAACACTTTTATTTAAAAATGAGAATTATATGAAGAAAAAAAAAACAATTAAAAGCTCAAAGATTGATGAATACCTCTACATCATGTGTCTCTGAGCTGGTGGTAAGGACCTGATGTTCCAACACGTAGTCCAGTCTTTCACGCTCTGCATGAAAGGATAATGTCACTAGCAGTGAAAACAGAAATAGAACCTGCTCATGCATGGATCTTGAACCCCTACCCTCCAACACTGTGATCCATACTGAACCGTTACAGACGTAGAGGCCCTTCCTGAGCGGATTAAACCACATCTGGCCTTGTTGCAGCTCTGAACACGACCTCTCCAAAGCCACTGACACTCGCTGTGCAGCTTCTAAAGGAGCAATCAAGGAGCTCATTTCCTTGTTAACACTCATCACATTCCTCATGGACTGGATGTCATTTACCAGAGGAAACCTTGGGTCTATCGCTCTGCTTTCTTCTGACAGGCCGGTCCAAGAGCAGCGGAGGAATCGACAGAGCAGCCAGCTGGGGGTCAAGCGAGGGGCAGATCTGATGGGTGGCATCTGAGTTTGGCACAAGAACCAGCTGTCGCAGCAGACCCTGAATATGGAACGATCAGTGAGATGTTCATTACCATCCAAACTGTTATGAATTATCGCACAAACTGTAAATAACTCACTGAAAACAAGCCCTTCCATCTCCCCCGGCTGCCAATGTGGAATCTGGATCTCTGAATGTTGAGGTCTGAGGGGAAAGGCCTGGAGGAAGTGCTATTTGCCATGAAAAGACCATAATTACAAATAGCTGGATTAAGTTGTTTTTCTTCTGTAACTGATCTAAATCCTCTGTGACTGAAGATGCTTCCCTCATGTCTGTTTTTTAGGACTAGAACACGAGATGTGAACTGTATTACATCTGTAAGTTCTACAGAGGTTGCTCCCTTCTGTGCGCCAGAGGGAGTTTCCTCTAAAAAAAACCATCCATCATGTTCTGTCAGGACACGGTGATGTGGCTGCAGGCTGCGAGCAGATTTAAAGCAGTAGCGGGTTGTTCTTATGAAGAACGTCTTGAGTAAACAGGAAGAGACGGTGCTGGAAGGCAGACCGAGATCAGGCAAATAAAATAAGCTTACATTTCTAGCGGTGATTTGCAGTCCACTGTGAGCCTGGTGTGATGACGGCCGATGGCTAAAACGAGAGTGTGCCACTCGTTATCCGCCAACCGGGCATCTCGAAACACCCTGGGCTCTGCAGCCTCCCCTTGACCTTTGAAGAGGAAGTGCAGACGGCCGTTTTGGGATAATTTCAGTCCAAGGATGAGCCGTCCAGGCTCCTCGTGGCTCCTAGTTTTCTTCTTTGCCTGTTGCGCTTCTCCGGAAAAGTTCCTCATCATCTCCATTCCTAAAGTGTCTTCTACCACTTCCTCTGCACTTTTTACAGTTTTAGCTTCCAGCAAGGAGAAGATATATTCATTCCTCTATCAGACAGAAAGGAAATAACTTCAAGACAACTGATGCATGACTGATATATAATAAAACATTTCAACTAAAAGATAAATCAGTGACATAGCTCCTACATGAAAACATGTTTCTGTATATTATTCCCTTTATTTTGGAATAAAAACCTGCTTTTTTTTGCAGCAGAGGATCTCTTCGTACCTCCGGAGATGGAGGTTTTAACAGATGCTCACCTTTGGTGTGCTGTGATTCACTTTAAAAGTAGAAATGATGGAGAACTCCTTGGGGAAAAGGTCACAATTCACCAGAATCTGGGAGGAGGAAAAGCTCAAGGGGGCATCAGGGCTCAGAAAGTGAACGCCCCTCACCCCGAGGGCCTGCTTCATGTGCACCCCGGGCACCAGTTTGGAGGTGTCCCTCTCAAGAACAAAGGACAGAAGATCCAATGGAAGCAAATCTGGGGATAGTAAGAGGATAACGTAGCTCAAATGACTGTAAACAGGTTAAATTGCTCACCTGAGGGCTGGAAACGGAACAACAGGCAGCAAAATAAATGAGGCGGTTTTGAAAGCTGCTACTTTATTTATTATTGAATAACTAAGAAGATAAATTCATCGTAATTTAAATTTAATTCTACTTTTCTACCTGTTAATTGATCAACTTTAGATCTATAATAATAAATTAGCACCCACCCTTCATACGTGCATAATTAAATATATTTTTTAACAACTTTGTGTGTTTTCCCAACGTGGAAAAAAATCACTTTTAGTTAAATAAAAGCTCTGAATACATTCTTCATCACCGTCTAAAGAGGAGCTTTGACCAAAAATGTTGGGAACAGAAGCAATAAACGAATAAATACTCTGATGTCTCCACCCGTTTGTGAGAAACAGCCCCAGGAGATGGTCGAACCTAATGTGGGTTGGGTTGGGTTGTTTTGGAATACAACAAGATATTGGATGAAAAGTGAGATGGATGAAGAAACACTCTGGTGATAAATCCGGTAAACATCTCCCCCTGAATGCCCCGGTGTTGTGTATGGGATTGTTACCCCTGTTCAACGTCTACTTGTTTATGGATGTTAATTGAAGTCATTATGTCAAACACACACACACAGATCCACAACAGTTAAGAGCTCCTGGTGCGCAGACATGGAATTATCCAAAGGAATTTTAGCTGGAGGAGCTTCCCAGGAACCATCAACTATCACTAACTGTACAAATGAAGCAATAAAGCTGAGAATAAAAGAATTACAGGTGAGTAAAATGCTTCGGTACCTGCACACTGTCTCCATGTGCCTGTCGTTGTGTCAGTGACCCTCAAACTCCAGAGAAGCAGCAGTAGAAACATCTGCACTGACATCAGGGAAAGCTTTCTTCAGTTCCAGGCTGGTGAGAACGTCTCCATGATGCACAAAAGAAAACTGGTATCCTTCATAACTGACCCAAGTGCTAACTTTACAAACAGGATTGGAAATGGTTTCTTCCTGATCCAATCACTCAGTTGCACATCTATGAGGAAAATCTTCCACCTGCAGCCCCTTTTAAAAGCTGGAGCCATGCAAATCACTAACCGTGGTGTCACTCATCCTCCCTCAACCACACAGACCTGCCAGAGGGAAGGGCTGCTCGGCTTCGCGTGCATGCTTCTGTTTGCAGCTTGCAGACGGACAGATAAAAGTGTTAAATGCAACCACAGTGGAAACAACAACACAAGTTTTGCTTTAGACTTTTTATTAAGGGTTGCAAAAAATAAATGATTTAGAACATTTTTAAGTGAGTTTAATAAAAGTGTATGAATACTAATTTGAAATTAGTTTGGCAGAGAATTCTGCAAATTTACAGAATGATTAAAGGTGTTTTTTTTTGTTTGTTTGTTTGTTTGTTTTTTTAGAAAGGTTCCAGTTGAGAGTTGGGGGTGTTTGTTTGTTCCTTCTCCGAGAAACCATCAACCAGCATATTTACAAGGCAAATGGATGTCATTTATCTTCATCATATTACAATCTGTGTCCCAAACTCAGCACTGCTCCACCTTCTCTTATAGCCCTGAATTCATCCTTCCTCCTGCCAGACCAGACGGGTGGTAAACACGTTAAGATGCAGAACAGTGGAAATTGACACAGCTCAAATGCATTGGGGGGTGGGGGTATTCCAAATTAGCTTGGTTGTAAACGTGTGAAACTTTTCCTGTTAGGTTAATTTTCTCAATTCCTGTTAGTCGTTTCTACTTTGCAACTTTCTCATATTTTTAAATCATTTTCATGAGCCAGTATGAGCTAAAGTGACCCTTTACAGGGTTAATGAAAGGTCACCTAGCCTCTAGTGCCCCCTGTGGCCAGAATATTCCACTTGCAACTTCAAACCTGCGTCCGCTTTGTTGGGACTTGGAAAAATTGAGCTGGCATACCTGGCACTGCAGTCTGCTTCCAGAGCGTTTCCTGCATGTTTTAGATGATGAACACATCTGATTTGTTTGATTTAGTGATGAACCGCTCCTGTAGACACTAAGGAAGGCCGAGGAGACATTCCAGTTGTTAGATTATGGTGTTAAAAAGACAAAACTCACAGCAAGGAAATTGTTTGTAGAACCAAAAGCAAAACCTAACACCAGGGGGTGCTAAAAGCAAGCCAAAACTGCCTAGTTCCCCTTTAAAGATACTTTGCAGTTTTGGCTTGCTTTTACCGCCCCCTAGTGTTCCATTAGTGAAAGCAAAAGAAAAACAGCTCCTCGCTGTGCATTTGTTTTTAACACCTTAATAGTTTAACAGCAGAAATGTCTCCTCACCCTTCAATAGTGTCTGTGTGAGTGGTTCATCACTAAATTAAACAAATCATCTGTGTTCATGATCTAGAGCAGGTAGGAAACATGCTGGAAGCTGCTATGTCTGCTTCGCTTTAAGTTAAACAAAGACTGGATTGTAAACTCTGAACTTGCAATATTCTGGCCACAAAGGGTGGTGGTGGTCTGAGTAACATTTCATAACCCTTTAAGGTTATTTTACTGGCTCAAGAAAATTATTTTACAATGTCAAAAATTTGCCTAGTTTTGAGAAACCTTTTTTGTACACCTGCTTGAATTTGTTGTTCTAGCCACTTCTGTTTATTACAATCTTGTTTAATTGTAGAAAATTTCGATTAAAAAAGTCAATACCTATAAAAAAAAGTATTTGATCAAATTGGTTTTATTCCATTTAGTGAGGCCAAAGTGCTTTTGACACCCTTTAAAATATTTTTTAATCCTGGGGGATTTTGCTTTCCATTTTTCATGTTAAACATCAAACAAGAGTTGCTGACCTGAATCTCATTTATTAACCTGGGGAGATGCAGGAACCAGGTTGCCATGGTTCAATAATGACACCTAGTGGCTCATTTTGTGGCACAATACCACACCTGTCCCTCATTTGCACGTGGGCCTGGCAGACACTTCAAAACCAATGTATATGTTAATATTACGCATCCAAACGAGCTTGACAGAAAATCTGAGTACCAAACTATATTTATTGTATACAGTAGTAAAAGACAACAAATAATGTACAATTCAGTAGAGAAACATGACAAGACCTGGACCCTGTTCTTCATACATAACAGTGAAGTTGATCTGAACGCCCCTCTGTCCTGATTACTCTTGCTAAAATGAAAGAACGTGGAAGGCTAATTTGTAGGCATAATGATGAATGTGCTCTTATTTTAGCGAGGAAAGCTGAAATCACTTCTTGTAACTAGTTTGTGCACAAAGATCTACCACGCTTCTGTGCCACTAAAGTGTGCCAGATGCTTTTGAACTAAGACTGAGCTGGGTTCTGAACAGTAAAACGAGTATTTTAAATAGTTAACTGCGGGTATTAAATATTCATTTAAAAACTGGACACTGGATTCAATGTTTGATAAAGAATATGTAAAACCAGAGCTCAGGTAGATGAAGACAGAACAGAAAATTCATTTTCTTATACGAGTGATTAAACAGAGGATTTTTTTTTTTTGACGTTGTGTTAATATTCATGTTAGAAGTGCAGCCTTGAACCCGTCCACGACACAGAGCCTTACTGGACAACCGTTAAGCTCAAAACAGTTCTACACTTCAATTCATATTTTTGCAAGCTTTGAGCTCAGGGAGATCAGACGAATTTCAAAACCAAAAGAAAAAGAACTTTTGTTTCCAACCCAAAAAAGGATAAACTGAAGCTAACTTCGAGACCCTTGTAGGAAAAAAATGGGCCATGTGAGCACAGAACACACGACTCCCAGAGGTTTACCGGCTGACCAAACAGCATTTGAGATATCTCCACTGTAACACTGCAGCAAAGCAAGTAGAATTAGATACACACACCACAAGGTGTTATTCTCAGCAGTACAGCATGAAAAACGATAACGATGGAAGCGGTTTGTCTGCAGAGCACATCTAGTATCAGCCGTCCTGTCGCTCCGCGTGTCCCGACAACACAGATGTGACAAAGCTGCTCCCAGAGGCAGAGCCACTCACTAAAATCATCACAAGGAGAAGAAGCGGCCTGCTTCTTGGTCAAAAGTTGCACGCATCCTTGTGGGGATGAATCCGACACAGCTAAACCCCAGTTTGGTCCAACTAAGGACGCAGCTCAGTAGCAGTTACTTTATCCCCTGAACAAGCATCATGCCTGAGCCAACAACCTCCCGTACTGCAGATACACCTAAAACAAGCTTAAATAAAAGCAAAAGACATGAGTTTGAACCTTGATAATAGGGACACGTTAAATATGAAGCTAATGTTTCGTCTTTGGATTGTTGGTTTAAACCCCACTACAATAATCTAACATCTGTTCTATTTCTGTACAGAAGGAAACATATTACAAGCTCCGAGGGTGTTCGGTTTTTAAAACGGGAGTCAAAAATACAAAATAATAATAATGCAGAAGCTCCTGAAATACAATTAAAGACAATTAAAGTTCAATTTTGACAGAAAAGCAGTGAAATGGCGAGCACATGTCTACGCATTGCAGACATGTTTTTAATGCCCACCAGGAAAAAAAATACAAAAAAAAAAAAAAAAACACCAATCGATAACAACCAAAGTACTGGATACTGAGCTTTCACTGAACCACCAGAAGCAACTCTGAGAAGCTGCTGGTCCAATCACAGCCCGCTTCACCAGAAGGGAAATCTAGTCCCATTTGGCCAGCAGAGGGACCGTGAACACGAAGGTTCAGTCCTGACTTTAACAGCTGAGGAGTCATGGGCACTGTGAAGCAGAGGAAATAACAACAATAATAGTAATCAATAATGATATAATAAAGTTGTGAGGAGAAGCGGGGAAAGAGACGGTGAAGATGGTTGAGGGCATGGTCGACAATGAGGTGGGTGGGGCTTAGCAGCGCCCGCCTGTCTGCTGCTGGAAAACATCTATGGTGTCTTCATCTTCCATCTCCAGCTGCAGAAAGCACAGTGAAACATCTGATGAGGAATATCATTCGCATTTATGACTTCAAGTGAGACTTTATCAAAACTGCAGAAAAAATATTTTAGTCACCAAGTTAAAGTGAATATTTAGTTATCGTGATCATACCTGTGCAGGTGTATCCGTCTCATTAATGGGCTGGCCATCAAACCTGAACCTGATCTGTCTTATTGAGAGACCCTGCAGCGGGAGACCAAGGCAGCAAATGTGATTTAGTGTGTGCAGCATGAGGAATCTAACCAGCAGCCAGGCTTTCAGCTCACCTGCCGTTCACAGTACGCCTTCATTAGTTTGCTGAGCGGTGTGTGTCTTTTGATTTTGAACTGGACAACGGACCCATCCTGCCCTGCAACCTTGAGATTGATGTGATCGTTCTCCGTCTTGACTCCCTCCTGCAAAAACAGACATGGTGAACAAGCAGGTTATCATAACGATCACTATTATGCACAACAGCTAGTGTTCGTTAGCAGCACTGCTAGGTTATTAAAAAGTGCACAACTATTTTAGGAAGCATACGACACATTGAGGGCTTCTAATAACACTTTTCAAATGTTTTTTTTTAATTATAAGTAGGTATGATCTTACATTTGATCAAATACTGTCACGATATTCAGACAAGTGTTTTGGTAGCCATCAAAACAATTTTATTTTCACTGTAGTAAATACGTTTATAACTAAAAATTACCATTTCGGTGCCACGTTAGCCATTAAACGTTCTTTAGTTTGTGTCACAACACTAGATGAGCATGCATGAGACCTGATGGGGGATGACATAACAGTGTTACAGTTTTAGCCGCTAGTGTTAGCATGCTTAGCTTTAGGCTAGGTGATACACCGGTGTTTCTGCAGCTTTAGCTACCGGCTAATAAGCTTTGTTTTAAAGCATTGTGGGATCACAAGAATCAACATAACCGTAAACACTTATGTATACTTAAACCCGCTTTAAGTTATAAATTGATGCGTCATATCCTATTTGCGCTCTTTTGCCGCTCCTGCAGCTGCGGAATTTGCGGCGTTGCGGACATATCCTGCGCACCGTTTCGACAAAGAAAAAAGCGCACATGTGACAATCAGATAAGATATTTTTGTTTAGAAGTGTAGTCTACGTCAAAAGACTGGGTGGTGTTTTGTTTTAGCAACAAGACTGGCCAGTCTAGGCGCTGTACGCGTACATAGGTTTGCGGGTATTCATTCATTTGCGAAACAAACACTGCGCCGCTTCAGAAAAACGTGCAAACCAGGCCATTTTTCAGACTGCACATGTAAGAAACGCTCGCCCGTGCACCAGAGTCATAATGCCGCTGCATTTAGACCGCTGCGTGAGCCCGAGAAGCTTACCTTTGGCTTTTCCTCCGACATCTCTGTTGGATTTTTGGGGATTTCTGAGCACTTTGTCACCGGCCTTTATCCGTCTTCCTGCCGCCTCCGGTGTCCTATCTTCTCTCCACTAACGGACGCGCGCTCGGCCTGATGTTACCGGTCAGTGATTGGTCGGAATAAATCACGTGGTGTGTCCATCGCGGGACTGCAGACGCGGGAGCGCGCATATGAGAATAAAAGAACTCACAAGACGCGCGTTCTCGTACAAGCTCGTGCCCGACGCGCTACTGCAGCTCAAAACAGTCAGCTTCAAAAGTGCAGGCAATAGGCTGCTCTGTACATCAACTTTACCTGCACAAATCAGCACAAACGAAGCACTAACAGAGCAGCCTATTTGCCTGCACTTTTGAAGCTGACGGGGCATGGACGTAATTTTTACTTTAGAAGTGTGTGTGTGTGTGTGTGTGTGGGGGGGGGGGGGGGGGGGCGACACAGGGGTGTCTTTACAGTATGCTCTAATGGGAAACAGGCTTCAACACAAATGGTTCTTTTCCGCTTGGTCCTAGAGCTCAACCAGTGTCAATTTAATATAGCGTAATATTGTTTTTGGATGGTAAAAAGTGCAGGGGTCAAAACATGACTTTGGAAAAAGTGGGGGGGACATGTCCCCCCCCCCCCCCCCCCAAAAAAAAAATTATGTCCATGTGACATAAAGTGTTCCTAAATTTGTTAATCTGAGTGTGTCCCTGTCATGAACGTAATTTTTACTTTAGAAGTGGGGGGGACACAGGGGTATCTTTACAGTATGTTCTAATGGGAAACAGGCTTCAACACAAACAGTTTTTTTTCCGCTTGGTCCTAGAGCTCAACCAGAGTCAGTTTATAGCATAATATTGTTTTTGGATGGTAAAAAGTGCAGGGTTCAAAACCTGACTTTGGAAAAAGTGTGTGTGGGGGTGGTGGTGGTGGGGGGGGGTGTCCTCCCTGCCCCCCCCCCCCCCCCCCCCCCCCCCAAATTACGTTGATGGTCCCTGTAATGAGCAGACTTGGAGACCTGCCCAGGTGTAGCCCCGCCTCTCATCTGGACATATTTTTATTTTTTCCACTGTTATGTAGTTTTTTTTATGTAAAACTATAACTAAAAATAATAAAACTAAACTGAACAAAGCACTTTCAAAAATGAAATGCTAAACTAAATCAAACAAATGATAATGCTAACTGAAACTAATAGAATTTAAAGTCTGAAATCAAAATCTAGTAAAAATAAAAACTAAGAAAAAATGCTAAACTAAACTCCGTAAGTCCTCCTTTTTTGCAGGAGAGGCGAGTCTAGCCTTACAAGCATTGTCAGTCTAGATTATCGGCTAGGATCTGGTCTGAGTGGTTGAAATCAACCTGATCACTAGTGTGACGTCCTCAATGAGATGAACTACGTTTCAGCTAATTTTATTAAATGGATTGTCCATACAATGTCCATACAATGTCAGCAGGTGTCTCCTCACAACGTTCCCCAACCCAAAGAACCACCCCAAGAAGGTTCAGCAACACTCTATTGGTATTGCACGACAACTTTAAAAACAAACCGACGCCCTTGCTTGTGGCTTTTGGTGATGGGGCCTAATATGATATTTAATATTTGAGAATGTGGGTTACTTTATATTGACAGAATGTAAAAAACAACATGAAATAAGCAGTCCAGCACAAATCCAGAGCCAACGATTGACCTTTTATTAAGTTTATGTCTTAGGGAATACATAAAAAGCACCAAAATTAGGCTAGAGAAGTCAACAACACAAAGCAGACTTCAAAGGTCTAAAATAGGTCTAAATACATAAAAATTAAATTAAATCTCTACAATGAGTTTAAAATCAGCAGCAATTAAAAAAAAAATGTAAAATTTTAAGAAAAACAATCAGCATCCAACCTTACATTTTTCTATTATGTACACATAAACTGAAGAATAATAAATAGCATAGATAGACTGATGCTATGGAAGCCACAGGAAAATGTTAAAGTTTAAAGTAAACAGCAGCTGAGCAAGTTGGTTTTAGCAGATTGATGTCAGAGGATCTCCTTACAAAACTCATCTTTTTTGTTGATTAAAACATTATTTTCCATTAAATGGTGGATTGTTTATGTCAGAGTGGATCTCAGCTGTGTTCAGTTTAAAACTCCCAGCTTGATGGTTTCATGAAAATTTGGAGTACGGGTTTGGTCCACTTAGACCTACGAAAACATGAAAACAAGTCATTAAAAAGTGCAAAAAATGTTTTTGTAGTTGAGCAAATTTTACATTTTGGTTTCATTGCTAAGAATCTGACTAATAGAGTTAAGCCCATAATCCCCGTCTGAATTAGTCAAGTTTAAAACCTCCATCTCAAACCAACCTGGCTTTATCTAAAACAGTAATCGACTCCTCATGTCCATAACTGGTGACAACTGCAGTCATGCATGTGGGGTATCTGATAACATGTTTCTTTCATCGCTGTGGAGAAATTTTGTCCCATTTTCTTTACAGAAATGCATTAATTCAGCCACATTGGATGGTTGTCCATTCTGTTTAAGGTCAAAGATCAGACATTCTTCTTCAGGATTTACTGGTATGAATTCATGGTTCCATCAATTACAGAAAGTGGTCCACATCCTGAAGCAGCCCCAGAACATCACACTACCACCACCATGTTGGACTGTTTGTATGCCGTTTTACTGAAATCCTGAGTTAGTTTTAATCTACATGGAATGGAAAGCACCACGTTATTCTTATTGTTGAGTCACGACCTCTGACCTTAACCCCTTGCAATTGTGGCCTGCAGGGCTTAAAGCCTAATTTATAATTCTCCGTCTGTGTCGATACAGAGACATGCAACGGCATTATGCTCCCAGAAGTTGACAGAGACATGCCCAACTTTTGAAATATCCGTCGAAAGTGACGGAGATTTCAAGCTTGTGTTAGTTATGGACGCTGCTTTCTTTAAATTCATCAACAGCATCGCCATTGCTCGCTCAAATAGGGAGTGCAGAATTATTAGGCAAATGAGTATTTTGTCCACATCATCCTCTTCATGCATGTTGTCTTACTCCAAGCTGTATAGGCTCGAAAGCCTACTACCAATTAAACATATTAGGTGATGTGCATCTCGGGGCGTGGTCTAATGACATCAACACCCTATATCAGGTGTGCATAATTATTAGGCAACTTCCTTTCCTTTGGCAAAATGGGTCAAAAGAAGGACTTGACAGGCTCAGAAAGGTCAAAAATAGTGAGATATCTTGCAGAGGGATGCAGCAGTCTTAAAATTGCAAAGCTTCTGAAGCGTGATCATCGAACAATCAAGCGTTTCATTCAAAATAGTCAACAGGGTTACAAGAAGCGTGTGGACAAACCAAGGCGCAAAATAACTGCCCATGAACTGAGAAAAGTCAAGGGTGCAGCTGCCAAGATGCCACCTGCCACCAGCGTTGGGAGTAACGCGGTACAAAAGTAATTAATTACTGTAATGCATTGCTTTTTGCTGTAATGTGGTAATGTAAGGCATTACAGGGAAAGAAAATGGTAATATTTACTCTGTACAATTGTCAGTAATGCGGTAATTACAATGCATTTTTAAACCCAGAATCAAGATGTGGGTTTCCTAAAAATTCAAACTGCGGGAAGCCTGAAAAAAGATCCAGTATCTACATATATGACGTCATTTATGGACTCAGCTTTGCGGGCATTCTATGAGCAGAGAGGACGCAGCGGTAATGGCTCAAATACTCCAGCTGCGTCCTGCGCACGGCCGCTGTTATATTCACAAAATCGCTCCACCAAAACAAAGTAATTTGTTTGTGATCGTTTATATCAGCCCATATTCTCTGGTACTTCATGTACTTTTCAGCTGAGTTCATAATCTGCGCCGGTGATTTCAACTCATTGCTGCAGGAGCGCAGCGCGAAGCTTTTTTATTTTTTGCGTTCGGTAGATCCCCTTGGCTGATTAGTTGGAAAGTAGGAAATCTAGGAAACAGTTTTTCTGGAAGACGGAGAAAACATGCAGCATGCAGGAAGGTTAGAGAGAGAAAGGGCAGAAAATTATTCAAATAAAACCAAGAAAACAAAACAAAGTGCTTGAAAAGAAAAAAAGTAGGTAGATTTATTCCCAATGCACATTTTTACCAGTGAAAAGCAATAATATACAATCATTTAATATTTATACATGTGATAGAATCAGATCACCCCAGAAGTCAGTCCCACATCCAGGGCCGTGTCAAGGCATTTGGGGACCAAGGCAAATATAGGCTTGGAGCCCCCACCACCTCACTCCCTGCTCAGATGGCCCTATAAGATGGCAGCGTGCTGAGAGTACAGATTGTTGTTGCTATTTAATAAACAATCATTTTAAAGCATATCTGACTGTTTTTAACAGCAACCCTAGCTCAGACACCACATCACTTTCCACATATATGTCATGAGCTCACTGAGCGTCAGATTACCAGATTCATACTGAAGTTGTTTTGGTGAAACTAACTTAAAGTAATGCCAAAGTAGTGTAATGCCTTACATTTTAAAATCAGTAATATTGTAATGTAACAAATTACTTTAAAATGAGGGTAACAAGTAATAAATAATGCATTACAGTTTTGAAGTAACTTGCCCAACACTGCCTGCCACCAGTTTGGCCATATTTCAGAGCTGCAACATCACTGGAGTGCCCAAAAGCACAAGGTGTGCAATACTCAGAGACATGGCCAAAGTAAGAAAGGCTGAAAGACGGCCACCACTGAACAAGACACACAAGCTGAAACATCAAGCCTGGGCCAAGAAATATCTCAAGACTGATTTTTCTAAGGTTTTATGGACTGATGAAATGAGAGTGAGTCTTGATGGGCCAGATGGATGGGCCCATGGCTGGATTGGTAAAGGGCAGAGAGCTCCAGTCTGACTCAGACGACAGCAAGGTGGAGGTGGAGTACTGGTTTGGGCTGGTATCATCAAAGATGAGCTTGTGGGGCCATTTCGGGTTGAGGATGGAGTCAAGCTCAACTCCCAGTCCTACTGCCAGTTTCTGGAAGACACCTTCTTCAAGCAGTGGTACAGGAAGAAGTCTGCATCCTTCAAGATAAACATGATTTTCATGCAGGACAATGCTCCATCACACGCGTCCAAGTACTCCACAGCATAGCTGGCAAGAAAGGGTATAAAAGAAGAAAAACTAATGACATGGCCTCCTTGTTCACCTGATCTGAACCCCACTGAGAACCTGTGGTCCATCATCAAATGTGAGATTTACAAGAAGGGAAAACAGTACACCTCTCTGAACAGTGTCTGGGAGGCTGTGGTTGCTGCTGCACGCAATGTTGATGGTGAACAGATCAAAACACCGACAGAATCCATGGATGGCAGGCTTTTGAGTGTCCTTGCAAAGAAAGGTGGCTAAATTGGTCGCTGATTTGTTTTTGTATTGTTTTTGAATGTCAGAAATGTATATTTGGGAATGTGGAGATGTTTTATTGGTTTCACTGGTAAAAATAAAATAATTGAAATGGGTATATATTTGTTTTTTGTTAAGTCGCCTAATAATTACGCACAGTAATAGTCACCTGCACACACAGATATCCCCCTAAAATAGCTAAAACTAAAAACAAACTAAAAACTACTTCCAAAAACATTCAGCTTTGATATTAATGAGTTGTTTGGGTTCATTGAAAACATGGTTGTTGTTCAATAATAAAATTATTCCTCAAAAATACAACTTGCCTAATAATTCTGCACTCCCTGTAATAAAAAGATATTTAGTGGCAGACATAGAACAGATTGAGGAATGCCTTGCGGAAAAAGTCTGAAAATATGAACGTTTATTCACTTGTGACTGAAGGAGTAAAAAGTAACGCAGCAAGCGTTTTATTCGTGGACAGAAATGACAAGAAACGTAGGTTTAATGGTGGCAATTGCATTAGGAGGTGGAAGAAAATTATGGACAATTTTGTTTTGTTTTTTTAACAAAAGTCTCTGCAATAAATGAAAGCAATTTAAACACAATAGTAAATACATTATCGTGAACCGGATAAGTGACTATACTGATGGCAGGAAAGAGCTACGCCCTCTGTTGTCATGGCAGGGAATTGCTTTGCAACACCCCAGGTGTCGGAGAAGTTAAGGGAAAACATCTCCGTCAATGAACCTGCACGAGGGAGCTGACAGAGAAGTATAAATTAAACATGGGGCACACTGAAGTCAGACTCGCCACGGAAACACCACAGTTTGGGGAAATCAAATGGTCACACAGGAAGTGCCGTGCCGCTGAGCATCTCTTGGAAAGTTGTGCGATAATAACAACATCACGCAGGACGTGGGAACAGGAAGCAGAAAGTGACTTTCCTTTTTATGTGATCAGACTTGCCATCATGTTTTGTGAGACTCAAATTCATTAGAAATGGGGAAGCACGCTATTTATTAGAATATTTTAAGATCAATAGTACTTTACCCTACAAACGGTCAGCGTCACATGGATGTGTAGATCATGTCTATATTAATCTGTCGGTCCGGACAACGTCTGTAGGACGTCCAAACTAGGTCTTTGCACAGTGGGTAAAGTTATCATTGCTGGGGTTGGGATTATGCCAGCAGTTGGGTTTAAATAAATAAATAAATAAATAAAGAAAGAAAGAAAGAAAGAGATCGTAATGTCTGTTGTAAAGTACTCAATAATGTTGTTAACAGCCGCTCCGCGGCAGCGCCACCACGCTTCAAATAGAACTGGTGACCAGCTTCAGCGCCATGGCGCTGCGCTTCTGGGAGGTGGCGCAGCGCTGCCTGTGTAGCCACTCTCAGCAACTATAATAGCTTCTTTTCAAAAAGACGGCACGGCGCTGAAGCGTCTTTCTTCAGTGTAACCCAGGCTTTAGATGTTTTTCTGTGTTCTTTTGTTCTTGAATTTTGTTAGAAACGTGTTGCTTTTTGAGATCTTTTAACTTCATGTTATCAGACATGTTCTGTTGAGTGGTTTCTAAAGTCCCATAAAACAAGGCTGGCTCAGACGGCTTTTATTGGTTAAATGAAAAACATTCTCATTTGAAACTGCATTTTATTTTATTCAAATTTTCTTTAAAATTCACGTTTGTTTGAGCTGAAACTGAAGAAATATGCGACGGGGTAAATACTTTTCAAATCGTTATCCCAAACTAAGTAACTACAAATGTCTTTATCCTACAAACCCAGTCATGTTTTGTCATATTACTCTCAGGAATAAAGCATGTAAGCAGATCTTACACTGGGACCGTTTTTTCTAAGGGTGAAATGCATAATGCATCATTGATTTATTCCCTCACTAAAGGTTTCGAAACCATAAATATAATAAAAAGGAAAGAGGCTCACCGTATTTACTCCTGATTTCCTGATGTCTTTGCTTCATCTCAGCCCTCCTGCAAACACAACGAATTTCCTGTGATCCAAACAGACTAAATAACATTAACATTTTGTAGACCCAAAAACCAGTTTGGCCAGTTTTACAACCCACTCCGCTTTTGGGTTGCACAAGGAAACTGATACCAGTCATGCTAATAATGCCACAGGGGTGGTCGGTGCAGAACAACCAGAAACTGCAGAAATTTAGATGACTAGTTACATTTTCTAAAAGAAAAACAGCATTATGGAATCTAGTAATTTCATAAATTTCTATAAACCTCTTTTAAATATTAAGTCCTTGTTCATTTAGGGAAACACCGAATAGTCCCAAAAAAAAGTATGAACTGCATCGCATTCTTAACATTCTTAATATTATTTCTCACCTTTCTTCCTGCTTGGTTTTTGTTTTGTTGGCCCGCCGTTGCATCTTTGCCTCAAATCGTTTGGATCTGACAAACACACACACACACACACACACACACACACACACACACACACACACACACACACACACACACACACACACACACACACACGAGGTTTATTGAATGGCCCTAATAAACACCAAAACGCACACAAACAGGATGCTGCCCTAGGTGTCAACAGAACTTCATAAAATTTACGGAAACTGGTTCAACAATGAATTTAGCACAAATGCTGACAAACAGGTGAGCCTAAGTATAGTTGATTTTACTTTTTGTGAAAACGAGAAAGAATGCAACAAAATTGAATATCTGGACTTCTCTTAAATACCATTTCTTGTAATTAAAGTGTCACACACACACACACACACACACACACACACACACACACACACACACACACACACACACACACACACACACACACACACACACACACACACACACACACACACAGTACACTTACCCAGCGTTTTCACATTTGCAGCAGCAGAACATGCAGATCACAAGGCCGATGATGATCGCACCACAGAACACTGATATGGTGATTATCAGAATCCGGAAGTTCACTGCAGACATGACGAGTGTTAGAAAGTGCCCACCACAGACCAGCATCACAATTTTTATACGTTACACCATTTTTGATAATTCTTTAAAGGTGCATGATGTAAAAATGAAGTAAGAATGCCGTCCTGTGGTCAAATTTAGGTACTGCATTCCATTTTCAAAACACACAAGTGACTCTCTTAAGGATCTGCACCAGACAGTTGTTGATGACGAGTCATGATAACTGACCCGCACTTGTATAGCGCTCGTCAGAGTCAGAAGACTCCAAAGCGCTTTACACTAGAAAGAAAGAAAACCATCTTTTATATAATGCCTCTCAAGATAAAAATCACAACGTGCTCCACAAGAACAAAACATTTACTATACAAAATATTGTTTTTGATTATTAAAAAATATGGTTAAAATAAAGGCAAAAAAGTGTGAATAAAAAGTGTAAGGAAAGGGAGAGAGAAAATGAATAGAAAAAAGGTAAATCAGTGGATCCCAGGAAAGGCAGAATAGGAAGAAAGAGCAGAGAGGGTGGAGATGAAGGTCACGCAAAAGCCAGTGTGACCAAATGAGTTTTCAGCTGCTTTTAAAGGAGACCACTGAGTCCAGTGATCTCAGGCTCAGAGAGGTCCAGAGTCTGGGGGCCACAGCAGCAAATGATCTGTCACCTTTGGTCTTTAGCCTGTTGCGCTGCACAACCAGTAGGCTTTGATCACTGGACCTCAGGGACCTGCTGGGGGTGTAGGGACTGAGAAGATCACCAATGTATGATGGTGCTTGTCCATGTAAGGCCCTATAGACCAGAACCAGGATCTTGAAATGAACCCTTAAGTTGACAGACCACCTGTAGACGGTTCAGGGAGGTTTTGCTCAGACACGTGAAAAGAGAGTTACAGTAGTCTAAGCGTGAGGAGATGAAGGTGTGGATAACTGTCTCAAGTTCAGAGCGGGACAGAATAGGACTCAGCTTAGCAATGTTCCTGAGATGGAAGAAGGAAGAGCAAACAAGAGAAGAGACATGAGGATCCAGGGTTAGAGCTGGGACAAAGGTCACACCAAGATTCCTGACTGAAGGTTTTGGTGTGAGAAGCAAGCTGACCAAGAGAGTCTCTGACTTTGGGAACCAGCTTGTCTGGGGCACGGATGAGGATCTCAGTCTCATCTTCATTCAGCTGAAGAAAGTTCCCAGCCATCCAGGTTTTGATAGAGTCTAAGCAGGTGTGTAACATCTGCAACTTAGACATCTCAAGGGGCTTAAAGGAGATGTACAGTTGGATGTCATCTGCATTAAGATGGTAGGAGATTATTTTAAAAGAGCTCAGGATCTGATGAAGAGGCAGCAGATAGAGGAGGAAGAGCAGAGGCCCCAGCACAGAACCTTGTGGGACATCATGGGTAAGGGAGGTGGTGGAGGACCTAAACGTGGAGATGGCCACAGAAAAGGAACGCTCAGAGCGATAAGAGGAGAACCACTTCACAGCAGTTCCTGATAGGCCTACCCAGTCTCTCAGCCTGTCCAGCAACAGGTGATGGTCAACAGTGTCAAAGGCTGCAGTCAGGTCCAGCAGGACCAGAACAGAACAGAACAGTTCCCTGCATCACTGTGAGTCAGAAGGTCATTAGAGACCCTAAGAAGAGCTGTTTCAGTGAAAAGAACTCTACAGAAACTCACATAGATGAATTAACAACTCCTTTGCTGTCATTTATGCAGTATTTCTGTGAAACGATTCATTGTCGTGTGGTTTAAAGCAATTTGTTACAAATAAAAAGCAGATCAAAGAAGACCAGTGTGTGTGTGTTTCTTACTCCAACAGAGCCCCCAGCGGGCATCATTCAGTGGACAGAGTGAATGAGGTGGGAGGATGGTCTTTGCTGGGTAAGTTAAACATGATTTGGTTGTTGTGCACCACAAGCACTGCGAAGGAATAAAAACAATAATATAAGTTTAAAAAAGAACAAGCCCAAAGTATTCAGGCTAACAGACCAGTTTCTCTTCAAACCAGCCTAGCAGGTTTAACGGTGGAGGACGAGCCACCACGTCCTGTGTTTAGTCACAACATAACACCAGCTGAGCAGAAATCAGAGGCCCTTTCGCTTACAGACACGTTGAACAGACATTCCTCACAGCTCGTCCCATTCCTGCTCTCACACACTGCTGGGAACAAGAAAAAAGGAGACGTCATTAAACCAAAATTCCAGAGAGTTTTAAGCAGCAGATTAAACTCAAAGGGAAGCCTGTGGGTTTGTTTGGTGTAACCACTGCTAATCCTCCAGGGCTATTTCTACTCTATACCAGATCTGAAACACACAAGCTTTGGATCAAGTGTTTCAGACCACAAACAAAACAATAAATCTCTAACAAGTTTTTTGGGGGATGTTTTTATCCAGATAAATATGCTGAGGATTACATTAGATTAATTCTTTACATATCAATATTTGGCTTTTAGAAACAAAAATAAGGAATATTCGATAATTTCTGTTATAATTTTCATAACTGAAAAAACTGTTTTCATTTTTCACGACTATTTATGAATCAACAAGCCTTTTAATTAAACCATTTCTGATTAATGGCCTAAAATTCGTCACGTTTTTTCTGATAATCTATAAAGAGAATTTACGCACCATAATGCAACAAAAAGGAAAAGAACAATGAGCTTGTGCTTTTTGAAACAGAATGACCTTCATACATTATCAGGTTAGGTTTCTTCGTTCCTACCTTGGTCAGGTGTGGACTGAGCTGACGCTGCTGCTAAACCCAAAACAAGAAGGAGGAAAACCCGCAACTCCATCATCCTCATCCAGGCGCGTCGACGCAGTAGATATTGCGTTGCTTTTGTGTTTAAGTAGAAGTACGGAGCGCTTTCCGTCCGCTCAAGCCGAGAAAAACTCCAAAAGTGAAGTTGTCGTGAAAGAAACAAGCCGTGACGCGCCCTCGTGACGCAACAGCGCAGACAAAAGACAGGAATGCGTTCAAACAGTAAATGCATTTTTGTGTTTATTCAAAAATGCTGAGATGTTTTTCAGTCAAACTGGTTCTTTTAAAAAAAGAGTATAGATTTAGGAAAAAAATATCAGATCGGGCTATTTATTTTCTAATTTCAGATAAACTGTGTGCGTGTGTGTGTGTGTGTGTGTGTGTGTGTGGGGGGGGGGGGGGGGGGGCTTAGATCTCTGTCACTACAATCAGTTTCAGCCAAATAAAACAAGAAGACAAAAGAATTTCCAATAATTTATTAAAGCATAATTTTGTAAAGCCAGTTACAGATAAAAAAAAGAACACGTCTCTCTCCCTCTATTTTGTCCCCTAACAAACACAATGGTTTACTGTTACTGAAGAATAAGCAGAACATAAGAACGGGCCCCACTTTGGCCGCCTGCGGCTGATAACAGGAGCCCTCATGATGAAAACAGATAAGTGATCAGATACTTCAGGGTCCTAAATCACTTCCAGCCTGATCACCTTCCAGCAGCTACGGGGGATTCTTCAGACATAAAATAATGTACATACCCGTCCAGACCGCCCAGTTTTCATGGCTTTTTGTTAACTTTTATTAGCCACAATTTCTAACCTGAATTTTGAGCGAAATTGGATTATTCAGGATCACAGTGGGCTGTGTGTGTGAGTCAAGGCTTTTATGGTTAGAATACTGAGGTTATAGGAGTGCTTTCTCTCTAGAATTGTAAAAGCACATACACACGGCAAATAGTTTAGACTAAATTCTGTAGTTTTAGATGACACATCTGTAATTTAATTCAGGTCTGGCATAATAAATGTATGTAAAATGTGTGTGTGTGTGTGTGTGTGTATGCGTGCGTGCATGCACTTTTGATTTACAACCTCAGTATCTCTAAAATCTACAGCCCTTTACAATCTGTCATACTTAAATAAAACAGTAAAATGTTCCTTAAATACTTATACTTCTCTTAAATATCTAAAATCAAATATGTTATTGCCATAGAGCTTAAGAACATATGTTAAATCAAAACCATAAAGCATTTTTTCACGTCACAATGAATGTTCCTGTGTTGTCTCACCATCTCCAGTGGATTTAAAACATAAAGTCTTTGTTTAAACTCTGTAGAGGTGCTGTCTGTGTGATATTCATATGGTGCTCTTTACTCCAGTATAGATTTATTCTCATTTTTCTTTTTCTTCACATTTAAAGGTTTCAGATCAGCAAAATAAATAAATAAATAAATATGTCAGACAACAATAACCAGAGTAAATACCAAATTTAAGAGTATTGAAAGTAAAATATTTTTACCAAACTAATCACATCTCATTCTTCAACCATGAATTACTTGTGATTAAACACAATCTTTAGTAATTTCTTTCAAATTTCTGCCATTATTTTCTGCTTATCGGGGGTCATGACGCTGGCGTGCACGGAAAACCTCATCAGGGAGGGTTCCAGGAGGCATCCTGACTAGATGCCTGAGCCACCTCAACTGGCTCGTCTCAATGTGGAAGAGCAGTGGATCTACTCCAAGCCCCTCCCGGATGATCGAGCTTCTCACTCAATCTCTAAGGGAGAGCCAAGACACCTGTGGAGGAAACTCATTTCGGCCGCTTGTAGCCGTGATCTTGTTCTTTCGGTCACTGCCCAAAGCGCGTGACCACAGGAGAGGGTTGGAACGTAGATCCACCTTTGCCTTCCTGCTCATCTCTCTCTTCACCACAACAAACCGGTACAACGCCCGCATCACTGCAGACGCAGCACCAATCCGCCTGTTGCTCTCTTGGTTCGTGTCTCACTTTACCAAAGAACATCTTGATGAATCAAAAGACTCCTGGGAAATTATTCTTTGGACCAATGAAACGAAAGGGTGACTTTCTAGAAGGTGTGTGTCCCGTAACATCAGGCACAAAGTTAACACTAAAACATTTTTATCAACAGTTAAGCATGGTGGCGGAAGTGTGATGGTCTGGGACTGTTATTGCTGCTTTAATGGTTATTTGTTTCAGGTAATTTCACTTGTCTCTCATTACTCTTTCACAAAGGGCCAGGGTTGGATTGATATCTTTTTCAAATCAGTGAAAAACTGTACTTTAGGTTTACTCAGGCCATGTTTGTCTGATATTGGTATTTGCTTGCTGATCTGAGACATTTAAGCATGACCTCACAAAGAAAAGCAGAAACAAGAAAACTGTACGAGGACAGAACTTTGTCTCGAGTCCACTGGAGTCAGTGAGAGGGGTTTCTCTCTGATCCAAAAACCTTCATATCCACACAATATCCTTTAAACAGTTCCTCTTCCACTGAAACAGTAATAATCCCGTATATTCTTAATCCAGCCGAATATTTAAACATACAGTACAATTAGTAATAAACCACCCACAGCCCTCCCTTGAATACCATGCGTTTCCTTTGTAACTCACAACTACAACACCGTTCCTTGCAACACATACTCATAAATACATCTTATTTCCAACGAATACACTCAGTAAATCCACATTAAACTCTTTTCCATTTTCCAACTGTTTGCATAAAACCATGAATACACTCACACACACATCCAACATCACATTTAAGGACAGCTAAAATAGTGGGGCGTGGGGGAGGGCATACAGTAATTATCAGTAAAGTTCATAAACAGGCTGGAAACAGATGAACCACAGCTTGTGTGTGTGTGTGTGTGTGTGTGTGTGTGTGTGTGTGTGTGTGTTTTCTCCATGTCTTCTGATCTTCTGGAGTAGAATGAATAAAATAAAATAAGCAGACAAAGATCTACAACGTTTCATGGCTCCGAGTAGCGCTGGAGCGTGGCTCCTAAAGTCTTAAAACACAGTGAAAACATGACCACGACAGCAGTGAGTCTGTGAGTCACACACCTTCAACACAATTCAGCTGTGTGTTAGCCACATGACAGGTGTCACATTGTGTTAAATATGGCATTTATAGGCTTTACAGTGCAGCGACAACCTAAAACAAATGAAAAGTTTTCCTGTTGTGTTCGTAATACAGTACATGTTTGTGTACATATTTATGACTGTACAGATTTATGCTCTATTTAGACATAAACAAGACTACTTCTTTCTTTTCCATCCTCATTTATTATCAAGGAATACCAAAATTAACTTAATTTGTCTGTGTTTCTTTCTTTTGGCCACACGGTGGCACTGAGACGAGTGAGCAAGTGAACACTGTGGTTCAGGGGAGACGGTGACACTAGAAGAACAGTTGCTGTGTGGACTCCTTTTGATGTTACAGACGGGAAGTTGAGAACAACATCAAGACAGTGTGTAACTTTAGAACTTAACAGCAACAGAAATGAGATGCAACCAGAAATGAAGAGATGTGAAGAGAATGAGTGAAATGAGAGGTTAAACAAAGTGTGGCTCACTTCTGTCTGGCAGTGCACAGGGGTCGTACAGGAGCCATCCGGGATGGGCCGAGAGCCGGAGCTTGGGTTGTGCTTGGTATTATTGAAAACAGAGAAATTTGGAGTGTGCTTCATCTACATGCATTACTACAACTGGTGGGCGGGGCCAAGAGGAGGGGTGTATTTGTTTCAAAAGCCCTAAAATACATGTTGGTTTCTGTATCATGCTCGTTTTAAATCCCCAGTGAACCCGGTTTAGTTTCGGTTTGGCATCAGTGTCCACATCTCCTCCTTTTGCTTATTTACCCTTCTGGATTGGGTTGGAGGATTAGCTAGTTCAATGCTCTTATCAACATCAGCCAACATGGCTGGCTGAGAGGTCTGCTGCTGCTGGATGGATGGATGGATGGAGCATTTAGCAATCACCTGATCCAGGAGCTAGCCACGCTAGTCACAGACATGATGCTGCAACGTTTCTTCACCATCATGTTGATGTAGGCCTTCATGATTTTGGCAATCTCTCCAACCTGTGGAGAAAAGGCATTAGTTTGCGCAAAGTTGCCTTAAGGGAGTAATTATTAGAGAACAAGTTCACATTTCTTTCAATACATTTGAGAAAAAAGCTCTGGCACTCCTGTTTCAGGGACAAGAAGTTAGCCAGAGGAGTGGGAAGCAGAACATGGCAGGATCTGGGGTCTTACTTCCTGGTATTCAGACATCTCTCCTCTGATAACAGCAACACAACTCTCTAACACTGACTTCGTTTGCTCTGCAATGTTGATGTTTTATCTCCACAATTGACACAAGCCTGAAGGAGTTCTGCCGTGTTATGGAGTTGCTAATGCTAACAGTTAGCTTCTACTATGCTCTGGTTTCTCCTGGATGCTAAATCAACAAAGGCCTCCCCCGTCACAAGCCAAGGTAGGTGAGTTCATGAATGCTAATATTTGAAAATATTCAGACCTCCATCAAGTTTTCACTTTTTGCTGTATTGCAGCCATTTGCTAAAATCAATTAAATTCATTTGTTTCCTCATTAATGTACACACAGCACCGCATAATGACAGAAAAACACAGAATTTTAGAAATTGATGCAGATTTATTAAAAAAGAAAACCTGAAATATCAGATGGTCCTAAGTATTCAGACCCTTTGCTCAGTATTTAGTAGAATCATCCTTTTGAGCGGATAGAGCCACAATTCTTCTTGGTAAAGATGCAACAAATGTCTTACGCCTGGATTTGGGGACCCTCTCCAGTTCTGTCAGGTTGAATGGTGAACGGTGGTGGACAGCTATTTTAAGTCTCTCGAGAGATGCTCATTTAGTAAGTCAGGGCTTACTAGAGAACAGTCCCAAAGTTGCCGTGAAGCCACTCTTTCATTATTTTAGCTGTGTGCTTAGAGTCATTGTCATGTTGGAAGGTAAACCTTCTGCCCAGTCTGAGGTCCTGATCACTCTGGGGAAGGTTCTTGTCCAGGATATCCCTGTACACGGCTGCATTCATTGTTCCCAGGATTGCAACCAGTCGTCCTGCCCCTGCAGCTGAGAAACACCCCCATAGCATGATGCTGCCACTGCCATGCTTCAATATGGGACTGTATTGGACAAGTTTTGAGCAGTGCCTGGTTTTCTCCACACATACCGCTTTGAATTAAGCCCAACATGTACTATCTTGGTCTCATCAGACCAGAGAATCTAATTTCTCACCATCTCAGGGTCCTTCAGGTGTCTTTTAACAAACTCCATGATGGATTTCATGCGTCTTGCACTGAGGAGGGGCTTCTGACGGGCCACTCTGCCATAAAGCCCTGACTGGTGGAAGGCTGCAGTGATGGCTGACTTTTTAACAACCTTCTCCCATCTCCTGACTGTACAACCACAATGATCTTTGGGTTCTTCTTAACTTCTCTCACCAAGGCTCTTCTTCCCCCTCCTGTTTAGCCAGAGGGCCTATTCTAGGAAGGGTTCTGGTCATCCCAAACATCTTCCATGTAAGGATTATGGAGGTCACAGTGCTCTCAGGAACCTCAAGTGCAGCAGAGATTTTTTTTAATAACCATGACCATATCGTTGCCTTGCCACAATTCTGTCTCTGAGCTCTTCTGGCAGTTCCTTTGACCTCATGATTCTCATCTGCTCTGACATGCATTCTTCTTCTTCTTGTTGTTGTTTAATGGCGGGTGGCAATCAACTTTCAGGTGCATTTCCGCCACCTACTGAATGGGAGTGTGAGTCCAAGTGGGGAGTATCCTACTTAAAAAAAAAAGAAAAAAAACTAAATCCTATCAAGTAAACCACTGTCCCTTAAAAAGCCTATGACTAACCTATACACCACTAGTCCCCCATTTAACAGAATACCCAACTCAAATTCCCTATATCCCTTAACTTTTAATTTTTCAACCAACAATTTCCCATTACCCACATATTTCCTACAAGCACATAATACATGTTCTACCGTTTCCCTATCAAGTCCACAGTCACACATACCGGTATGATGCCGTCCAAGAATAAAAAGGGTCTGACATGCATTGTGAGCTTTAAGGTCTTGATAGACAGGTGTGTGGCTTTCCTAATCAAGTCCAATCAGTACAATCAAACACAGCTGGACTCCAATGAAGATATAGGACCATCTCAAGGATGATCAGAAGAACTGGAAAGCACCTGAGTTGAATAAGAGTGTCACACCAAAGGGTCTGAATTCTTAGGACCATGTGATATTTCAGTTAGTCTTTTTTAATAAATTGACTGAAACTTCTAAAATTCTGTGTTTTTTCTGTCAATATGCAGTGCCGTGTGTACATTAATGAGTGGAAACAGGAATTTAATTGGTTTTAGCAAATGGCTGCAATAAAACAAAGAGTGAAAAATTGATGGGGGTCTGAATACTTTCTGTACACACTGTACATCTAACCCGATTGTCTCCCTGTCTATTTCTATGGGTGGCTAATTCAGGAATCAGGGGTAGAAGACTATTTTCACGTTCAGTCTGTATGTGTGTTTTAATGGTTTCTCTGAGCTCAACATAACTCACCTGTGGGGTTTCAAAGAACATGTCCCTCTCATCCACGATGATCTTATAGGTGCAGGGTTGGGAAGCACCAAAGAAGGTGATGTGTTCGTACTGGAAGGTCTCCAGCGGTTTGGGTTCGCCTCGTTTGTAGACTGAAACATTGTCGGCACTCACACCCAGCCACAGATCATGAGGGAAGCCTCCTTCTTTACACTATCAAAGAAAAACAAAAGCCATCATTTTCCAACCGATTCTTTACAATCCATTGTTTCCATTTGCTTTGGTATTTCTCTCACCTCTACATCGAACAGAGTAGATCCATATCCAGGCCACTCCTTGATGATGCTCATGTACTTGAGCATGGCCTGGTGCTGCGGCACGCCCTGCAGACGGGCCCACTTCTCCAGAATGCTAGTACGAGTCGCAGATGTCTCCTCCTTCACCCACATCTCAAGCCTCTGCTCCCCCTCCACCTGAAATAATCCAGTGTTAAATCAGACCATAATCCAGACAGGAAGTGGGTCAAACCCTCAGTGGGATTAGCTGGATTTTTAATGCCATTAAATTTGCCGTTTGTCATTTTCTGTCACTGACCTTCTGCTTTTTTAGTGAACCCGTTTTTGTCCTCTTGAGTGAGGAATCCCTGAACGTGGGAGTCTTTCGTTTCTCCGAGCCCGTCCCGACACCACCCTGCCCTCCTATTGAGCTGATCACATCTCCTATTCCCCCACTTCCCCTGGATCCAGCTCCACCTGCTGCGCCCACGCCTGGCTTGGTGGACTGCATGATGCGACTGCGAAGTCGTCCAATGGGATAGACGCTTCCCAGGCTCCACCCAGCCCGACCTGCTCCATCACCGTGGAGGTACTGGAGTCGTAAAGCTGCTAGGTGCTGCAAAGTCTCCTCAGAAGCTGGGAAGTGACCACTTATCAAAGATTCATGGGCCTAAGTCATAAAAGGCATCACATTTTCATGAATTAACCTTCAATTTTTAGTGGCTATGACTAAATAATTGTAAATTATAAGAAGGTGCTTGCTGAATTTAACCAATCATTTAGTTTGAATTTAAATCATGTAGTTGTGTTTAACATCCCACCTGTTCAAACATGAATGCAAACTCCACTCCCTCTTTAGGCATGCTCTCTACATCCAAGAAGCAGTACAGCTTGAAATACAGTTTCCACTCTCCCTCCTCTTCCTCCTCTTCACTTCCTGCCAGTCTGGGCCAAGAAAACAGACAGAAGAAGTTCTCAAGAAGGTCAAATCGACTCCAATGTGCTGTTAACCGTTAAGCTGTGGTCAAATAAAATTAATGAGTGGGGTAAGAATGTCCAGAAAGACTGACATACCTCTCGAACTTGGCCAGAACATCAGCAACAATCACCCTGCTCTCAAGAGCTCGGTCTGTAAAGCCGTTGTGTTCAAACAGAGAAAACAGATTCTTGCTGTCCTCCATGGCCAGACCTCGGATCAGTTTCTCTACAACCTGCAGCAACAATTAAAAAAATAAAAGCTGACTGGTTAGGCTCCAATCACATGAAACACAATCAACCCAAAATATACTTATATGCATGTTTGGTGCTTTTTAATGTTTTTTTCTTCTGTCCTTAAAACTCTTAGTGATCCTGTTCTCAGAGTTTCTATAGCTTTATTGCTTCTAATCTATGTTTTTTGTCTTCGACTGTGTTTCTGGTTCTTTTAGCTTATTCCTAAATTGGTGTTTACTGGTGGTTAGCAAACAGCTGTTAGGTGACCCACCTTTTATCCTTGAATGAAGGTTAGAATGTCTCTCATCCTGCAGACTCTACTGAGAGTTTGTTTTCTTCCAAAAATGTAAAAATAAATGTAATATTTACGCCACAGGAACATCTTTTTAATGTTATCCCGTTTCTTAAGAGAACATTTATCTTCTTGAGTGACATTTTTAGCTTAATTACAATTTTAATTTCAGATTTATATTCATATTTGCTATAATTTGCCTTGTTCTACACAGCCATTTTCATTCACACCAACATGTGCATTCGTTAACCTCTGTTATGTTCCTCTTAAAAACCGAACGAGCCAATTCTACAATATCTTGTCCTGCGTTTGATTACATCAGTATCAATAAAAAATTTCATCTAAGTTAGGGCTAGGCGATGAATTGAAAATTGATCGTTATCGAAATTTCTGTCTCTAAACTATATTCTTCAAATGACAATAAATTTGATAATAAAAGAAATGAAAAGATACGTGGAGGTTGTTGACATTCATGTTCCTTCAAAAATCTGTACCACCTTGAGACACATGGCTCAACGTAGGGCTGGGCAATAAATCGAGAATTTATCGTTACAAAAATTTCTGACTAACCAATGTAACTTTTCCCATGTCAATAAATGCAGTAAGAACAAATGGAAAGATGTGTGTCCCTTTACAAAGCTGTTCCACCTCAAGTCACATGACAACCTAATAACGTAATAAACGTGACATCCCCATCTAGTGGACAACTTGTTTTTACGCACACATGTAGTTATCCATTTATCAATATCGAGGTGAACTCCTCAATATACCATGATATTGATTGTAGGCCATATCGCCCAGCCCTAATTTAAGTAAAATAAAGGCAATTCATTAATTTGTTTGATTAAAATTTGTTCAATAGTTCTTCAATAGTTTCCCTCAATCTAGTAGTTGTCTGTGTTTCCTTTTCTCTTACGCTTTTTTGTATTTCTTGTCTTTTTGGCCTTTCCTTTTTCTGTTTTCACCATGTTCAGTACTCTTTAATCCTTCTTCTAATTTAGTTTCTGTAATAAAGTGCTTCAAGCCTCCCCATTCTGCATTTAGGTTCCAATTTACTATGAATACTTATCTTGGCCTCATTTATAATATATTTTACTTAAAGGGGACAAATGCCTTTTATCTTAAGTTATAATAGTTCCATGTATATGAAGCTCTTTGCACTAAGTCCCTGTAAAAAAATAAAAAATAAAAATAAATAGCTATTTCAGCTGTTTTATTCTTGACATTTTCAGTACCTTTCAGAATGAGCCATGTCAGGGTTCTGTTGCTTTAAGAAAACAAACTGGAGTTGGCCACACCCATCCACCCCCGATTGGCTACTGTGAGCTTTGAAGCTCTGATATTTGGGAGGGGCTCATAGTAGAGCCACTGCTCCTCCAGCAGCAGCTCATATGAGAGGTATTTTAAGCTAATTTCCCAGTTTGTGACCTCACAAACAGGGACTTTTTGAAACGGATTGTTTAGTCTCATAATTCGTCGTCGTCGTCGTCTTCCTCCGCTTATCCGGGTCCGGGTCGCGGGGGCAGCATCCCAACTAGGGAGCTCCAGACCGTCCTCTCCCCAGCCTTCTCCACCAGCTCCTCCGGCAGGACCCCAAGGCGTTCCCGGACTAGATTGGAGATGTAACCTCTCCAGCGTGTCCTGGGTCAACCCGAGGGCCTCCTGCCGGCAGGACATGCCCAAAACACCTCCCCGGGGAGACGTCCAGGAGGCATCCTGACCAGATGCCCAAACCACCTCACTGGCTCCTTTCGATCCGGAGGAGCAGCGGTTCTACTCCGAGTCCCTCCCGAATGCCTGAGCTCCTCACCCTATCTCTAAGGCTGAGCCCAGCCACCCTACGGAGAAACTCATTTTGGCCGCTTGTATCCGCGATCTCGTTCTTTCGGTCATTACCCAAAGCTCATGACCATAGGTGAGGATTGGGACGTAGATCGACCGGTAAATCGAGAGCCTGGCTTTCTGGCTCAGCTCCCTCTTCACCACGACAGATCGGCTCAACGTCCGCATCACTGCAGACGCTGAACCAATCCGCCTGTCGATCTTCCGATCCCTCCTACCCTCACTCGTGAACAAGACCCTGAGATACTTAAACTCCTCCACTTGAGGTAGGACCTCTCCCCCGACCCGGAGTTGGCAAGCCACCCTTTTCCGGTCGAGAACCATGGTCTCAGATTTGGAGGTGCTGATCCTCATCCCAGCCGCTTCACACTCGGCCGTGAACCTACCCAGCAAGAGCTGAAGGTCAGAGCTGGATGAAGCTAGGAGGACCACATCATCTGCAAAAAAGCAGAGACGAGATTCTCCTGCCACCAAACTCGACACACTCCACACCACGGCTGCACCTAGAAATTCTGTCCATAAAGGTAATAAACAGAACCGGTGACAAAGGGCAGCCCTGGCGGAGTCCAACCCTCACCGGGAACAGGTCCGACTTACTACCGGCTATGCGGACCAAACTCATGCTTCTCTGGTAAAGGGACTGAATGGCCCTAAACAGAAAGCCACCCACCCCATACTCCTGGAGCGTCCCCCACAGGGTGTCCCTGGGGACACGGTCATAAGCCTTCTCCAAATCCACAAAACACATGTGGATTGGTTGGGCAAACTCCCATGCCACCTGGAGTGTTGACAGAAGCAGCAGAGGCCCACATGGAGGCAGACAAGGATGCAAAGGGTGAGTTTTGCACAACAAGTCCCCTTTAACCAAGATAACTCAGGTAGAAATGGAAAAACAAAACAAAAGTATGTGAGGGTGCACTACTTGCCTGGAATGGTTTTAAACCTGTGTTAATGTGTTTTGGCGCTAAAGCCATGAAGACAAAGAAATGTCAGTGTGTTTGTGTGCATGCACCTCTCCAGCTGTGGTGTGTGAGTTGATGGAGATCTTGCAGGAACCTCCTCCGTGGCAATACACAGTGGTGCTCATTTCCTGTCTCAGCAGCAGGGCAGCAATCTCCTCCTGAGATGGGACAAACTCACGAGTCTTGGTCTTCTTCAGGGATTCCCCAATGAAACTTGCGTACCGCTCGATCTCTGTGCTGGGATAGCGCTCTCGTATCCTACAGTAAACCACAATTATGAGTAAATGAGTTTTGAGCATCATTCATTAAAAATATGCCGTTCATGTTGCAGGCCGAACGGGCACCTTTTGAGGTGGAAGCGGAGGTATCTGAGGATGGCTCGACTTGGTAGGAAAGTGCAGCTCATGCAGGTGAGCAGGTGCCAGTGGGCTCGATTGGCTGGGCTGTTTGGCTGAGGCACGTGATTGGTCTGCTTGATCACCTGACAATACACCTGAAAAGAACAAAAAATCCAAGTGTGTGTAACCCCGGTTTCACACTGCAAGCATCAGCGGAACGGAACATCAGCAGAGCGGCACCGCTTCAAATAGAATCCAATTATAGTCTATGGAGTGTTTCAAACCAGCCGTGACGCGGCAATTTCCAGGCACGTCCCAGAAGCAGCATAGGATCGAGTTCCATTTTTTCCGTGAGCCGCTTCTTGGACACGTCAATTTCCGCAGTTCACATAGAGCGAGACAGGAAACCACATGATTTCAGTGTAAAATCAGTACGTGTGACCGAACGGCTTTGTTTACCACCAGTTACTTTTGAGAAGTGCAACGGTGTGATTCCTCGTGGGGGTTGTGATCTCTCGATGAGTAAGGTGTCAGAGGTCTCCAGGGATTTTAGAATCTCGCGGGTACAGCGAGGCGCAGCGAGTAAGCCGTGCCGCGGCCAAGACTCTCCCGGTGTGAAAAGGACCGCTTTGAAGTTCGCGAGTGAGCCGCTCCGCTGCTCTTCCATTCCGCTGATGCTTGCAGTGTGAAACCGGGGTAAGTCAAGCCAAGCCAAGCCAAGTCAAGTCAAGTCAAGTCAAGTCAAGCACATAGTCCAATTCACAGAAGTAGAAGTCATTGTACAAGTAAGCCAGGAAGAAATGAGCACAGTATGACACATTAAAGCATATAAAGCATGTAAAATAGTGATTAGTAATAATAACATCTAACCTTAGAACAAGAAATAAGTCCATAAAATGTGGGAATAAACTTGATTGGGAAGTTTCTGAAAATGAAATGTACCTCATCCCTGAGAGGACGTAGGTCCTGGCAGGTCTGCAGGATGCCCTGAATGATGGGAACTGTGTCAGCCAGCGTCTCCATCTCCTGCAGGGAGTTGAAAACTCTCACCGCTTCATCCTGCAGGCTTGCATATCCCTGCTGCCTTTGCACTGCTTCCAGGAAAAATGATGGAGAAAAGGTCAATGAGGACAAAGGAAACAGCCACTGATGAGGAGGATAAAAGACAACAGTTTTACTCACAGCTGGTGACCTCTCCATAAGGAAGCGGCAGCAGAGGGGCGTGTAGAGGATGCTGAGTGTATCTGAGGATGGGGTTCCTCCTGTACATCTGCTCCACTATTTCTGGGTTCACGCTATGCTCCTGAGGGCGCACAGGGGATGGAAACTCATCTAAAGTACACCAATCTGCTTCATTTACCAGCTTACACTCCTAATGTGACTTTGTTTTAACCTTGATGTCTCTGATGAGCTGCAGAGTTGGAGTTTCGATCGGTGTTTTGCTTTCTACCACTCCCAGTATTGCAGCTGTCCATCTCATGGCTTCATTCAGCATCTTAGTATACAGGCGATAGGAATGCTTCCTTCCATACACAATGATGTTCCAGTAGCCTGTATATACATACCATAATTAGTATTTACTGCATTAAAGTGAATGTAGAACATCATAATAGAAGGTACTGGTCCATTTTTAATTAGCTTCAAAGTGAAGAAATCTGGTATTCAAATCCACTTATATCTGATCTCTGACTTTCAACATTCTCCTTTGATTTCTCCGTCCTCACCTGTCTCTCTGTGCACCCGTTCATCGGGCTGGATGACCGAGCAGAGGGAGTTGAGTACCAGGGTTCCCATCTTGGAGGAGTTTTTCTCTGAGTTCTTGTAGTAATCCAGGGAGTTGTTGGTCAAAACAAACCAGCGTTTCTTCAGCTTTAGGGAGGTGCTCTTTGAGTTTGTCTTCATTTCTTTGTGCAGCCATCCTGAAGACGAGACAGCGAGGAGAGTCAGGCAGCATATAAAGAATGTAATGACTATCACACATGCCCTAGGATAAAAGCAAAACAGACCACTGGACAAAGGTAAATGGCTTCAAAATATAAGTATGTAGGAGGTTTTTACTAGGCAATACTGGGTAATCATTGGGTTACATACAGGGTAAATACTGGGTGCTTACAGGAATGTGTACAGTTTAAGTACTGAATATGTCCAGGGTCTGTGGAGGGTAGCTATTGGTATTATTGAGGCTATACAGGGTAAGTACTGGGTACTTAGAGGCACAGTGGCAGTAAGGTTAAGTGCCTGCCCCCGTAACCAGGAGAACCCTGCAGGAGTTGCAGGATCAATCCCGTCTGTTGCATTAATGTTTAGAGCAGCAGGAGAGGCTGCAGGCGCATCAGTGAGTTTGCGGCTGCTGCGCAGGGGGAGGGGGGAGAGGGCTGAAGTAGGATGCAGAAACTACCGTTGTTAAAAGAGATGTTTAACTTAGAAAATCTGGGCGCAATTTTAATTGTCAAAAACTCCAGCGAACCTACCGACCGACCCCCCCCCCCCCCCCCCCCCCGCTTCCGGCGTATGACGTCATCGACGACTAGTCGAAGTCGACTCGACTTTCATTACTTGACTGTCGACTTTAAAAAAAATAAAGTCGTGCAGGCCCTACTGGTTACCAGTAAACTACAAAATAGATTTCAAAGTTCTCCTACTAGCTTATAAATCACTCAATGGCATGGGACCAAAACACATGTCCAATCTCATTCCTGTATATGCACCAACAGGGCTCAGAGATCCCTTGGAAACAATCAGCTGGTAGAACCACGGGTCAGAACAAAACATGGTGGAGATGCATTTAGTTACTATGTGTGGCAGTGTGAGCATCCTGCCACAGTGTCCTGATTGATCATGCGCCCTGGCTACTTGGCCAAGTGGATGTCCCTTTGGCTGACTGGTTAGCGCGCGTGACTCTCACCCGGGAGTCTGGGGATCGAATCCCGCCCGGGCCCTTGTTTATCCACCTTGCCACAAATGCTGCTCACATGTGGAATCAGCTTCCCCATGACCTCAGATGTGCCCCAACCCTAGTGTTGTTTAAAACAAAACTAAAAACCCTAATGTACTCATCAGTCTTTAAACGAATAGTTTCTTATCGTGCACCATCTCCACTTTAATCTGCGCTGTAACTTTGTCTTCTCCTTTAGCTCTTAACTGTAATTTCATTTGTGTGTATTTTAATTTGTGTTTTTATGTTTTCACGTCATGTCCTGATAATTGTAAAGCACATTGAGTTGCCTCTGTGTTTGAAATGTGCTCTCTAAATAAAGCTGCCTTGCCTTTCATGAATGTATGAACTCTTGTTAGAACCCCAAACTGTCCCCATACAATTACCTACAACTGTCCCCATACTTACCCTGTATGTACCCAGGACTTACACTGTTCATACACCTAAAGTGCATGATACTTACACAGTACATACCCACATAAGGGTCCAGTAAATATCCTGTATGTATGACCTTGAATGCGTGGACCTAACCTGCATGTACTCCAGTAAGTACCTTGTACATAACCAGCTGTATGATTAATTTCTATCGTAAATGCTCATCGTTTTCCTCCTGAATCTCTCACCTCTGGCCAGAAACTCCTGTCCATCTATCCTGGCATCTCCTTTGGGTTTCTGCAGCAGACTGATCCAGTGATGCATCTCCTCCGGCGTGTCACTGTTGCAGTGGATCACTCGGTTCGCCGTAATGATGACAAAAGAGTTTGGGCTACAAAGTTAAAAAGCACACGAACAAAAAGAAAATTCAGTAAGAACCGCAACGCTGAAGAATTGCAATCTACTGGCTTTTTCACAAGAGAGAACATCAATCTACCAGAGAATGCATATTAAGCCCTCTTATACAAACTAACTTCGGACTTACCGATCAGGGTTGTCTGACGCACAAACAGAGTCAATCAATCCCACATCAAGAGTCCCCTGAACAAAAGATGTAGTAAAAACAGCAAACAGTTAGCAAAGTGACATCACAGCAGGTAAACAAAATGTGCAATTGTGATTCAGAAACCACTTAAACAATCACTAAAAACTTACAACAGCATTTTTGGGGTTGGCCTGCTCATGAGACATGTCGAGCAGCTGCTCAGGAGTGCACACTCTCACTTTACTGAGCACATTGAACCAGCCACTACGCAGGGAGAAAAGATGCTCTCACATGTTGCTAAACTCCTTAAAAAAACGGTGTCTGTTTTCTGCACAGTCAGATCTCCATCATACCTTGCATCTTCTGGTGACTCAGCAAACACCTGGTAAGTCTTCTCATCTGTCACAATGTTTAGAGCATTCTCTTTTTCGTGATTATCCACTATCTCCCTGCAGAATGCCAAATAGGACGGATGAACAGTGCAGCTGGTTGCCATGAAACATGTTTATTTTCTCCATTCCTGGAAATGAGGAGTCTTACTTGGCTGCTTTGATGTCGATGGTTCCCTTCAGCTTCTCCTCGCTGTCGTTATCGTAGTACATCAGCTTGCTGTCTCTCAGAACAAACCAGCGCATCTTCCAGTTCCTGAGGCGAAAACAAAAAGGTGTCAGTAGGAATCTAAAGAAACATGAAGCAGAGTGGAATTAGTTTAGATCGTAGCAGCTACAACAACCTCCGTGAGAGAGTAGAAAGGCCTCCTCCTTTCTTGTACAGCCATCCGGACTTTAGAGACTCTTGTTTGGACCGGAACCACATGAAGGTCTCATCTTTCAGCACACACCACCGTCTCCTCCACGGGATCATCAGACCAGCTGGAATATCGTTTAGGCCTTAGTGGTGTACGTGACTCAGACTTGAAAACAGCAGATTTGTATCCATCTCTCCTTTTGTTTATCTTGCATGCAGCTAATTAAGCAGAAAGTTTTTAATTCTAATTAAATTATACAACACCTTTAACTCGAGACTATTCATGTGAATTAATATCAAACCACTTCTGGTCGCAACGGTGTAGTATCAGGATTAGCACTTTCATCAACGTCCTGCCATTTCAGTCTAATACACATCTACTGCCCTCTGGTGGATGATCTACAGAAGGCAATGGCCGATTTTATTTATTTATTTATCCATTTATTACTGTTATTTTGGAATAAAATAATAAACATTATATAGTATTATATAATTTCCCTCTGGGGTTAATAAAGTATATTTGATTTGATTGATTATGATAATATCTTGTAATACTTTAATATACGGAAGTTTTTATTATATTATATTAATTTAAAGGAATAAATACTTGAGCTTTTAATTTAATTTTTATTAGTACATAATTCAAGCTTTAAAAGGTCTAAATGTTTGAACCTTTTCATGTTTTGGTAAACCATTTGGTAGAACACGTTCTAGTGTTTATATTTTAAACGAATAATAACAAAAACAATTCTCAAAAATATTATAGGGGTTAGAAATGTATTATTATTCATTACTTTATTATCATCTTATTTTAAGTTAAAGCATTTCCTTTTCCAAATAAATAAAAAAAATTCAAGGAGGCAAGAGATTTTTTCTACTTTTAGAAAATTATTTGTAACAAAATCTAGCTGACATTTAATTCTATTATTTTTAAATGAACAGTATTAATAATGATGTTTTGAAATTATTACGTCTCTCAGCTTGTCATTTTTGTTGCTCTTTTTCTGTGAAATCGTTTGTTGATTTGGAAGTTAATGTTTTAAATGTGAATTTATTGTTTTTTTAGTCACAGATAAAGTTTGGTTTAAACATTTTTATATGCAATTTTTTAAACCAAAAGCCTTTTTCATGAGAAAGAGCCACTCACCTTTCATGTAGAGGTAGCCATGGAAGTACGGTGGAGCGTTTCCGTTAAGTAACGTCACTCTACCGTTCGTCACCTCTTCATCAGTGTCCATCATACCATTGTGTTCATCATCGCTGTCTGCGTACTGCAACACCACACAGCAATGATCACTTATAGCCAATAAACCATGAAAACAAATGTACAATGAATGTATAATGAGCTGATGAGAAGAGTGAGAACAGTGTCTGTGGTCACTGTGAAGCTGCTCCTACATGTCTGCGTGCACGCATGTGAGGCTGCGAGTAAGTGTGGTTCCTCACAGAGTCAGAGCTGCCTCTGTAGGACTCGATGCTGGCGTTGGTGCAAGTCGACTTCCTCGGATGCTCCTCATCTGTCACAGCGGTGCTCCCACGGTTGCTTCCAGACACGGAGCTGTCATCTCCGGCGGTGACGGACCCGTCCTCCTCTTCCTGGTCGTAGTCTGACTCCGTGTCGGCCGGCATGCTGTAGATGGGCTCCTCCCCATCCACCAGGCTCTCCACCATGCTCACTTTCCTCTCTGACTCTGCTTTGGCTTGCTCATTCTTCACTCCCTCGCCTGGGGGAGGTGGAGGTGGTGGTGGAGGAGGAGGTGGGGGGACACCGGTCCCATCTCCAGGTGGAGGAAGAGGAGGAGGCGGAGGAATTCCGTCAGCAAGAGTCCCGTCGACGGGCAGGGGTGGAGGAGGTGGCGGCGGGGGGACTGTTCCCTCTGCAAAAGCAGGTGGAGGAGGAGGGAGCTGAGCAAATATATCCTGATCAATGGGAGCATCTGACTCCGCAGGAGGAGGGAAGTCTGGCAGAGGGATGCACTCCTCCTCAGCGTGGAAGCCTTCGTCTACGTCGTCCTCTTTAGACGCTCCTCTGGTGGTGCTCGCCCCTTTTGCGGCTTTTACCTCTACTGCAGCTTCCAGAGAGGGATCCACTCCCCTAAAGTTCAGGAGGTCGATCAGCTCGGTTGCCTTGCGGGACGCCTCCTTTTTCATCCTCTTGAGTTCAGCATCCCGGCGCAGCTGCAGCTCCTGCTTAGACGACTCACAGAGCTGGGACACCTCATCTTCTCGTTTCTTTTGCAAGCGTTCAATCTCCCTTTCAAGCTCTAGGATCTCCTCCATTTGGCGAGCTTCCTCCTATAGAGAACATCAGGACAGAGACGTTTTGTAAATTCTGTGTATTTCTTGATTTTATTTGCAGTTTTGATACTAAAACTTACCTCTGAAGATTTCCCTTTCTTCTCATCCTCATTTGACTCCTCTTTCTCCTCTTCACCCGACTTTTCCTTCTCTTCTTCCTCCTTTCTTCTTTGCTCATCCTCCCTTTTCTTCTTCTCTTCTTTGAGTTTGCGAACGTGGGTGCGGGCGACCTGACCTCGTCTGTGTCTCTGGAGCACCAGCGTGGCTCTGCGTTGCTTCACGAAGCGTTTGCGTTGGATGTGCCTCCGGAGGTGTTTCTGCAGGGTGACGACGCTGGTGCGAACCAGCTTGAAATGCTTCCTGCAGGCAAAATAATGCACAAGCTAAATCAGAACCAACACACTTCCTAAATGTTTTACGGTAAACTTTCAAACTTCAATTTTACTTTGCAGAGAAAGTCAGTAGGTGGGCTCGGATTATCATGGCAGCTTGGCGGCGGACCTCATCCCTGTCCTTCTCCAATCGCTGCTCCAAAGACTCTTTCATAAACACCTACAGAGGTAGCTGGGAGTCACGGAATGACATCAGATTTATCTGTGTTTTGTTAGGTCTGGTGTCTTACCTTGGTCTTACCCAACTGCCACTCCTTCTTGGTTTTATCATATTTGAGCAAGAGATCTGTAGTTTTCTTCTTGTCATCGCCTGCTGTTGGTATTTTATCTTTCAAAATGATCTTATATCTGACAAATACCACATAAAAAAGCTTAGTAGTGCTGTTAGAAATACAGAAATCACAACAGAATAGATAGTGCATTGAACCTATATAGTGCTTTTTAGGACACTCAAAGATGCTTTCACACACTCACATTCACACACTGCCCTCCGATCATGGGGCAACCCGCTCTACCTCCTGAGCTACTGCTGCCCCATAAAGATAAACTTAAATATAAAGATGCTTACCGTGAAAAGAAATCTTTAAACGTTCTGCGAACGGGGAACCCAGCACGTCGGATCTTCACTGTCTCCAACATCCCTGAATATCTCAGCTGGTTCAGGACGATATCTGGGGCAAACACATGTGGATTCTGCAAGGATAAAAAAAAGATTTAACATTTAGAGATAAGAAAATGTGAAAGAAGACATCAAAGGGATCAGTCAGTCACCTTTTCCATGTTTGGCTTGATGCAACGGATAAAGAACGGATTGGAAACACTGAGAGTGGCCATAAGAGCATGGAGGGAGTCCTGAGGAGACAAAGAACATTAATACATGTAACATAACTAATTTATATTTAATCAAATCAAAGTTCTTAAATGAAGCAACTTCATTTCATTTTAAGTCTTCACTAATGATTAAGTATAAAATACCTTTAATGTGAATATCAGAGTTTTCCCTTGTTACAGCACAGAGGGCCTACATTAAATCATTTTCTCATTTAAATATCAATAGTATTTCTAAAGCTACTGGAAAGGTGGTGACTATTTTATTGTTAAGAGATCATCATCATAAAATTAGATTATCATGACAAAGTTGATTTATTTCAGTAATTCTATTCAAAAAGTGAAACTTGTATATTCAATTCATTTTTTACACACAGACTGATATATTTCAAATGCTTTTTCTTTTAATGTTGATGATTATAACTGACAACTAATGAAAATTATTTATTCAGTGTCTCAGAATATTAGAATATTGTGAAATGTTTCAATATTGAAGACCCCCTGGTGCCACATTCTAATCAGCTAATGAACTCAGAACACCTGCAAAAGCCTTTAAATGGTTTCTTAGTGTAGTGTAGGCTACACAATCATGGGGTAGACTTCTGACTTGACAGCTGTCTAAGAAACAACCACTGACAGCTTGCACTAGGAGGGCAAAACACAAAAGGTCATTGCTAAAGAGGCTGGCTGTTGTCAGAGCTACGTGTTCAAACACATTGTTACGGCCGCCGCTGTTTTGGAGTCCCAGTGTGTGTGCAGCGCTTCCTTGGCCCAGGGTGTGCCGTTTCCCTATTCAGCAGTGCAGTACCTTGGACAGCTGCCTCTGGGAATGTCGATGGAAACAACCAGCTTTCATCCAGGACCATGGACAGCACCAGGACAGCAGTCATGGCCCGCTGGGCCGTTTTACCTCATCAGCTGTCCCTTCAAAAGCAGCCAGCTGGAGCTCATCAGGGAAGAGAAATTGTTTGTGGGTTGCAGCAGCAACTGGTGTTCTCTTCCCTTGCGGTTCTTGGCTTGGTAAACTTTTTGCAGTTTTGTCCTTACTGCTCGAGAGAGAGTATTTTAGGATTTTTGGTGTTTGGATAATTTCAGTTAGTTGGTAATCCTAGTTTGTCTGTTAGATAAACCTCGGTTAATTACCAGGTGGGGTTTTGCCCTTTTTGGATTTCCTGTCCCGTTTTAATAAAGGAGAGTAGTTTTAGGAATTTTGGTGCCCAGACATTGTCAGTTAATTTGGTAATTTTAGTTTGGTTTGTCTTTTAGACAGACCGTGGTTAATTTCCAGGTGGGGGTTTGCCCCTTTTGGATTTTACAGCCCCTTTTACTAAAGAAACCATTAAAGACAAGGGCAATTTGAGTTTGGTTTTGCTTTGTCATGCCTTTTCACCCCCTTTAGGGTAACCTTACATTAGACCTTTCCATTTTATGTTGCCCCCTCCTCACCTTCCTAGCTGAGCCCACTGTAGGTGTGTAACACACATTAATAGAGAGGTGAAGGGAAGGACGAGATGTTGTAGAAAAAAAGTGTACAAGCAGTAGGGATAACCCTACCATGGAGAGAGGATTGGGGAACAAACCCATTCAAAAATGTGGAGGAGGTTCACAAAGAGTGGACTGCAGCTGGAGTCAGTATTTCAAGAACCACCATGCACGGACGTATGTAAGACGTAGTTTCAGCTGTCGCATTCCTTGTGTCCAGCCACCCCTGAACCTGGGACAGCATCAGAAGCATCTCACCTGGGCTAAAGACTAAACGGACTGGACTGCTGCTGAGTGGCTAAAGTTATGTTCTCTAATGAAAGTAAGTTTTGTATTTCCTTTGTCTGTAGGTCCCAGGGTCTGGAGGAAGAGAGGAGATGAACAGAATCCATGTTGCTTGAGGTCCAGTGTAAAGTTTCCACAGTCAGTGATGGTGTGGGGTGCCTTGTCATCTGCTGGTGTTGTCCATTGTATTTTCTGAGGTCCAAGGTCAATGTGGCCGTCTACCAGGAAGTTTTAGAGCACTTAATGCCTTTTTTGGATTATTTAGGTTTTATTTGTCCACATCTTCTTTTTAAGAATCCCTCCTGATCTTTCAAGTCCCTTCTTCATTGTTAGAGGTCTGCAAAAATTAGCTCTCTCTACTGCATTTACGAGTCTATCGCAGTACACGTCTCTGAATGTAGAAGTTTTACTTTTATTAGGGTTCCAAGCCTAAATGGCAGGGAACCCTATTGTTTTTGTGCAGATTTTTCATTATTATTTTTCTTCTCCGCAAAATCCATGTGGGCGCAAGAGCCAGAAAATGCCAGGAAAAATCTAACATGGCAGTCTGATAGAAAATCCTGACTGCTACTCAGATTCAAAAATTCACACCTAGAAAACCCTAGGTAGCGCCATTGTGAAGGTCAACATGTTTTCGCTAACAACTCCCAAACCATAGGTCTTACCTTCAAAAACTATTTAATGTGCTTGATCCTTGAATGATTCTGCATATTTTTTGTATTGACCACGCCCATTTCCGCCTACCTAGATTTTTTGCTAAATCGCAAAAAACACAAAATCTAGTTTTAATCACTAATCTGTCGTTTTTCATCTAATCAACCTGAACCTTTGTACATATGATCTATTGATGAAGAGAAGTCGTTGTTATCAAGAAAATTGCGGAAAAATTGGGCTAATGACACAATGTCAAATTCAGTGCATTAGCTAGCACATGTCTTAAATTATGATATCGCCACCAATTTTCAAGATCAAATGATGAGAATCTAGAGTCTTACAAAGTATGATCTGTAAGCCATATGCACCTAATTTTGGTCTGATTCACCAATACGAGGAGCTAAGGAATCAAAAAGTTTGTTCCAGCTAAAAGGCTTGATGGATTTTCACAAAACTTGGCAAAGATGTTTTTCATCGGACCCTTAAGCCATTTATTGAAAACTATTACAAAGTGGGCGTGGCTTATAGGCTTTAAAATTTGTTGCCCTTTGACTCATGAAAAATATATATTCTATACAGAAATTTACAGTTCATATCCGTAATAGTGTCACCTACAAACACAGAATTTGGGCTTTTGGCAGTTTTCTCCAAAAGTCTTCAGTATAGAAACAAATTTTGTTATCCTGGGAGTTACATTTATTTCTGCTAGGATCATTTTTGGTTGAAGAAAAAAAGAAACAATCAGGTCCCCATTAATGAACTGATAATAAAAATAATATTTGTTGCTTCTTTCACACATGGTCTTGTCTGTAAATTGTGTTTTTCCATTTATTTATTTTTTGTTACGATAGAAGGGTCTTCAGTTGAAGTGTAAATCTCTCACCCTGAACTGGGAGCTGACTGTGGGTTTGCGCCTGGCTGTTCCCATTTTCTCCTCGTTATTTCTGCTGCCGACCTTCTCAAACAAGTCATAGATAAAGTCCAGTCTGTGTAGAAAATGGAAATAAATAATTAAATTTTAATTGTTTCACTGGGATAAAAGCAGTGTGTGCCAGCTGATGATTATCATAGGAAATAAAACACAACATAAACAAAAAGGTTAGAAAAGATATATGGATATTGAAAAGCCTTTTGAAATATGGTTACAAGCATGTCTTTATTTTTAATTTTATATTAATAAATAAACTGGTTCAAGCCAAAATGGAAAAATTGTGAATTAAATCACAGATTTGCATAATCCAGTATTTAGTGAAACTGAAAGTTTTTATTGACTTAAGTTGACCAATCTAACTTCATACCTGCTGTCTTTAAGCATGTTCAGGATGTCATCTCTGAAAGTGTCTCGGTTCTTCTCCAGGATTCCTCTGGCATCATACAAGACCTGTTCAAAAATGACACATTTCCCAAATTTAAAACGATCATTAAAGGTGCAGGAAGTATCCATGACATCCTGTGGTGAGATATGGGTACTGCAGTCCATGTATCAAAACAACCAAGTCTGCTCTCGGTGTAGATGTTAGTGCTAGCTTCTTTCTGCCGGCTTGCTCCAGGGAAGGCCTCGGCCTCGGCCTCATGTTAAAAGTGTTACAGCCGAGAGGGCAGAGGGTAGCAGAGTCACTTAATCACAGTTTTCTGGCTTACAGCACCCAGAAAACTCTGTTAGATTTGGTCAGCTCGTAGCTACACTGGCTCAGAGTTTGAAGTGTTTCAATCATCTGCTCCCACTCTTACAAGCCACTCTCAGCTCCATTTTGTATTTTCAGCGAGTGAAGAGAATCGTGACGCAGCCAAGGTTGCAGTGGTGGGAACCGCCCACTGGGCTACGCGTGGAGAGTTTCTCCATTATAAATACAATCAATATATATACACTCGACATTGGGCTAAGGCAAAAAGGATGCAGTGGCTTCTTAAGAATAAAAGAAATGACTTCTAGGCCACTCCTTTTACTGGGTTCCATAATTTCCACAACACTGCTGCTGTTAGTGCGCCAGTGTCGAATTACAAATGCAGGTGTAGCCTTGGCAACCCTATGGATTCACACATGATTGGCTCTGGAACAAGCAAGTACGGAGGCAGGACAGATTGTAAACAATGACTCTTCTGCTGTTTCAGTGTAACCTTCCTTTCAACATGAATGAGACATTAGGCTGTTTTGTGATTATTTCACTTTAAAATGATTATGCATTGTACCTTTAGTTTGTTCACAAAGTTGCTCGTTTATCCTGGACTCACCTCTCCAGCATAGTGCTTGATCCCAAACTGGTGGTCTACAACTCTGGGCTTCACGTAGTAAGGGTTTGTCTGTGGAAAGCCAACAAAATGCACAAAAATTCAAACAAAACAAAAGCACACAATTTTAAAATTTAAGGATTTGCCTGAAAAACAAATCCAGAACAACTCACAGAATGTCTGCTGTGCAGCTTTTCTAGCAGAGTGAAATCTGTCCCTTTGGGGAACCGGCTCTCTTCATTCACTAGCGCCAACAAACCTAGTTTCTAAAAGAAGGAAAACAGAAACACGATCAGATCAAAGAGAATGAACCATGATGTCTGCCGACAGAAGACATTTCCCACCTTCTCTATGAGGTCAAGACACTCTGCGTTGTCCATCCAGTCGATGGCATCCCACTGGACACCTTCCCTGTGAATAAAAACTCCAAAAGTTACAGATCATCATCTTCAGCACTGCTGAAACACTTCGTCATTCTTCCATATTTTAGCCACCTGTTGTACTCCAGCTGCTCCAGAGAGAAGATGTGCTTGTTAAAATACTCCTGAAGCTTCTCGTTGGCATAGTTAATGTTGAACTGCTCGAATCGATTCACCTGCAGGCAAAGAGACACATTCTGCATCTTCAATTCGTGATTGTTATCAATATACAAAAGACAATAAGATTCTGACCTCAAAGTTCTCAAAACCAAATATATCGAGGATGCCTATGGATTTAAAATTTTCTTTTCCTTTGATCTTCTGATTAATCTTGAGGATAATCCAGGAGAAGCACTGGGAATATAACGCCATGGCAACTGAGTCCCGGGAATCAACAGCCTACAACGCAGAAAAGATAACCAAAGGGAGTGTAAGGGCAGGTGTGTGTGTGTAGGGGGAAAGAGAGCTGAGAGTGTGCATATCTATGCTGACCTGCTCGATAGTGAGAGGAGAACAGATTTCCTCTCCTCTGAGGATTATGGAGCGCTGAGTCAGGACCTCAGATAGCTGGAAGGCATCCAGACCCAACAGCTCACTGGCATCAGTGACCACTGGAAACACAAGCAGAGAGGTCTTAAACTCTGAAATCCCTCCATCTTAGTTTCATGTTTTCTCTCATTTTACACGAGCGTCAGTCTGACCTTGCTTAGTAGTGATCTGGGCTCCCCCCGCAGTCATGAACTCAAGGTTGCCGAGCTGTAAAACCCCTGACAGCAGCTTAAACATGTCTCTGATCTCCTCATCCGTAAACTCTAAAACCTTCAGCGCCTCCTGCACCAAAACAAGACCGGTCAACAGATTAGGATCAAAGATTTTACTAAGTTACTTTAGTGAAACACTTTCATCAAACATACCATAACACTGTTATAGAGCTCTTTGTCATTCAGGCTCTTGTCCTTCAGGCATCCTGATTGGCTGAGGTAGTGGTAGGATTCAACATGATCCTCCAGGAAGTAAAGGCCTGTAGGAAGACATGCATCTGAAAATAAGTCATGGAGCAAATTTTATTGTGAAAGCTGCTTCAAACTATAGTTAGTAACTATAATAGCTTGCCTCATGACATACTATGCAACTTTTTCATATTTTAAATACTTTTTTGATCCAGTATGTGCTAAAGCGACTCTTTAGGGGGTTAATGAAATGTCACTTAGATCCCCCACCACCCTCTGTGGCCAGAATATGGCACTTGCAACTTCAGAGTGGTCTCGTCCCTGTTGGACAATGGCGCTGACATGCCTGGCGCTGGAGGCTGCTTCCAGCATGTTTACTTCATGTTTTAGATTGTAAACACAGCTGATTTGTTTATTTTAGTGGTGAAACTAATGAAGGCTGAGGAGACATTTCATCAGTTGCATTATGGCAGGGGTGTCAAACTCAAATTCACACAAGGTCAAAATGAACAACTGGGACGAAATCACAGGCCAAACTCAATATATATTTTTTAAGTTACAGCAAATGTGCACATTTTCCGTCATCTACAGATAAGTACTGTTGACATTTTTCATTTGGAAACAAATTTCTTTTTGCAGTAACACTGATTGTGGAAAAACCAAACTACGCACAATCAAGTCAGTTTTAAAGGAAAGACAATTCAGTGGTATTTGTTACTCATATCTCAAATTTTGTACTCTTTTTATTCCTTAAAATGTGCATATATTCAGCATTTTTTAATATTTTGAATCTTTAAAGTATTTCTATTTTATATGTTCTTGTTGTTTACTCTTTATTCTTATTTTTTTACCCTCCTTTTTTGCTCCTGCAATGACTGTAATTGCTGCTGTGACACCAAGGCATTTTCTTTTGCATTTCTAGTTATCTATCTGTAATCTTTCAAGTTCCTGTTTTAAAGTAGGCTAATTCTTTTTTCACAGACCAACAACAAAAACCAAAACATTTTAATTATTTTAAATGAAAATGCAATATTTCACCTATTAACCTTCATGTTTTGGAGCAGAAAAAGTGCATAAAACCAAAAGCTCAGTCTGCTCCACTCTGATTTTCTGTGACGCTCACCTGTTCAAACCAGATACCTGCATCTCCGGGTTTGGTTCTGAGCTGAGGTAGAAGTTCATCAGTGGGACTCCTGTGTTGTTCTATTTCTTTTCATCACTGACAACAGTTCCTCAAATAGGTATGTGCTGCTGAACATGGAGAGCATTTGAGCAGCTTGACCACGCAGTTGGGTCAGTGTGTCAGGGAGGGCGAGGTAAAACTGCAGTAGCCACAGAGACATACTGACTTGAGCGTGTTGCTACACTGGAGTTAAACCATCTCAGTCTGGAAGTTGGTTGGTAAGCTTTCTCTGTCAGCCACAAACAGACTACTGAGCAGTTTAAAATTTACATTTCTGGACTCAAAGTCGGCAAATAGCTGAGTGAACTCGGCGCTGAGTAAGAGGAGAGTTTTCAGTTTGTCCGAGACCGAGGAGGGTAACGCTGATGAAGCCGATACTAGTAGCATGGATGCTAATGACTGTAAACAGAAAGGAGCGGGAGCTTCAACTGACATGCTAACACCACAAAGCGCTATAGTATTTGTAGTCTTTGCGGTAAAATTGGCCGGCGGGCCAGTTTTAATATATATTTGATCTTGCAGGCCAAATGAAAATAGACTGTGGGCCTGAGTTTGTCACCTGTGAATTAAGGTGTTAAAAAGACGAACGCACAGCGACGAGATAAGTTTCACTTTAGCTTTCAATAACGGACACCAGGGGGTGCTAAAAGCAAGCGAAAACTGCATAGTATCCTTTTAAAATTGTTTTTTATCAACTGACTCTGGGAGCTTTGTAGTTTTAGCTCCTTTAGATCTGAAAGCAGCATTTGTGGACCAAAGCATCTCATCTCATGTCTTGAGCATCAAGTAGGGATTAGGGGTGTCTTTAAAATGTGAACTCTTCATAGTTATTCCAAACTTGGTGAGTAATCATGTTAAATAATCATAATTTGGATTTGCTTTGCATTAGTGATGTGACGTTCACGAATGAATCAAATCTTTTGAACGGGTTTTCAAAGTGAACGATGAGAGCCGAGTCCCTGTAGAGAGCCGTTCATCTTGTCTTCCAGTAACAAATCTCCCTGGAAGTCGGTAAAGCGCACTCGCTCAAACCCCACCCACCGCTGTGACAAACATAGGAGGAACCCCAACCAACCACATGCGCCCTCATGGACACCACAGCAACATGTTGCACCCCCACATCCCCACTCTGTTGGCTTCACTTCGTTCAAAGGAGCCAGTCTTTTGAACGGCTCATTGAGGTAAACGATTGACTAATGAACGGCTCCCATGAAAGAGCCATAAATCCCATCACTTCTTTCCATAATCAAGCATCCTTTGATCTAATTTTCATCATGAAGGTTTTATTTGTACTAAAATAAAAAACTAATTAGATGAATGTGTGAAGAACACGTGTCTTTCACACATGTGGTACCTGGTACCAACATGTAAAAACATGTTATCCCCATGGCCCAACGGATTCGGTGGGGAACCCCAAGGCTCTGTTTTGGGTCCTCTCCTGTTTTCCCCAACCTAAGCCCTGAGATCCAGAAACTAGAATCTTCTAGAAGTTCCAAAGGCCCGATATAAAAGTCGAGGGGATCTCTGTTTCTAGTTTGTTGCACCTCGATTTTGAAATGAAATTCCTTTATTCTTTATTCTTACATTGTATTAATTATTTTATGTGATTGGTGATATATAAAGAAACCTTACTTCTTACTTTATTGCATGTTATTTTGCATATATCTTTTCTGTAAAGCCACATATGGTGACTGTGGCTTCTCAAGCCATAATATTTATTTTTTATTTCAGGCTTGTTATTATTATTATTATTATTATTATTATTATTATTATTATTATTATTATTATTCAGGGTAACTTTCTTATTATCTAATTTAGGAAAGCTTTTTTGACATTTAAAATTTATTTTAATTTCATTAAAAGGATATTTTCAGAATATCTTACTTTGTTTTATCTCACTGTAAAAAAGGGATGAAATTCAAAATATGCAAAAAAATATATATCTTGAATTTCATGAAAATATGAGGTGTTCGGCCAAAAAGGAAACCAACAGTTGCTATTTTAAACAAATGAAAGCAGCATTTACTTTTATTTTCTTTACTGGCTCCTGCCAGCAGAGCATAGAAGATGTGATAGTTTCTCTCTCCGGGGTTTTGTCGAACCACACGATTCTGCAGAAAAATCAATTAAATTAAAAATAAAACAGATAAATCACCTAAACTAAATTGAAACAATATACAGACACCAGAAAAAATTTACCTTCTCCAGTAGGTCTGAGAATTAAAGTGTTAGGGGAAACAACCATAACATCTTTAAATTATTCAGGTATTTACACAAAGGTGACTCAGATGTACTGAACCTAAATGAGGATACAATCAACGACGCAGCCTCCTTGGATATTTCCACACTCAGAAAAGTGAAGCTGGATAAATTTCCCAAAACGACTGGAGTTGTTGTTGTAAACCGTTTTGGCGTTGCCAAACGCCTCCATGATCGGACTGCAAAGAAGCTCCAGTTTAGTTTTGTCATATAAAAACACATTTGTAAACCAAATGAAATATTAGCAAGGTTCATATCTGACATGCGTTTAAACAGACTGAAACACGTCTGTTTGTACCTGCTCTGCACAATGGCCTGCTCCACCCGTGTGCTCCTCTCTGATGGAGGAGTCCCGACTGAGCTCTGGCTCATCACCGACAGAAACTGCAACAGCAGCTTGGTGCTCTCCGTCTTTCCTGCCCCTGATTCCCCGCTGGAGTACACACACACACACACACACACACACACACACACACACACACACACACACACACACACACACACACACACACACACACACACACACACACACACACACACACACACACACACACACACACACACACACACACACACAAAACCCAGATGGATTATAAACACGCTGACTTTCTCTGACATTCTGATTTCTCAGACCAGTCTGGTTTTCTACTGAGCTTCAGAGATATTTCATTATGAGGATGAGACAGAGGTTGAGTGGAATTGAACACATGATGAAATGCTGGAAACAAGAACACAGTAGATACGCCAGCACCATTTAGATTTCAAATAGAGGCTAAATCATCAGGATTTGGTGAATAATTATGGTGCAGCCATTTCTTTTTCACACATAAGTATCATTTCTTTTAATGATACCCTGATTTTTCTGTGATTCGCCATTTGTCATATTAGTTTTAACGTCTGTCTGACCTATAAGAGCTATCTGATAAGATCTGAGGTGATAGAGACATGAAGATGCTGTGTTTAACATTTGATTGAGAATCACCATTATCAAATCTTGCTTTTTTACAAATGCTGAAGTGTGGAGAATTAATTTACAAGCTGTTTTATGCAAGTATCTGGTTTTCTGGCAGATCAAACTTCCAACTACTTTCTGACTTGGGTTGTTAAGGATAAGGATGGATGAAGCTTCCCCTCAGGGCCGGCCCAAGGCACACTCTTGTTAAGCGCACCACCGGGGGGGGGGGGGTCTCAAGAGCACCAAGACAGCATGAAAATTTCTTTCAATAACTTTAAATTATACAAACACAGTTATGTCACACATGGAAAATGAATGATAGATCATCTTTTATAGTGTAATTTGGTTGTATTTTTTAGTAATTACTTGTTTTATATTTTTGTTCCAACTTTTAAGAACAAATGAATTAATGTGTTTACTGTGAATTTATTGTTTTCCTTTATTCAGATGCTACTTTCAAATATTAGAATTATTTTACCACTCTTAAATAACACAGCATTTTGAAATGCTAATTAATTAAAGGGGCATTATGGAATTTTGACAGCCAAAACATGTATATAAATAATAAATTTCTTCTTCATACATTCTCCTGCAATGCCTTGGTCCTGTAGAATGAGCCCTGGCATTTTTACTGTGATTGCCTGTTTTTCTGTAAATCACAGAAAAAGAGAGCTGCTCGGGTCGAGCAGGCTGCTTCATGCGCGTTCACGCATAGCCCGTAGCATTTGCTATCAGTAGTTTTAGCAGCAGAGAGAGAGTGCCAACTCAGTGACTTTGTCGCTGTTCCTAACGCCTAGTGACGAACCTAGCTACATTTCTGAGGACCCACTTTGGTCAGCTTTTATGCTGTTGTAAAGTGCTATATAAAAATGTTGACTTGACTTGACCCTTAGCTACTTTCTGTAAAACTTTCTTCTAGATATTTCCTGAAAAATTAGCAACAAAATAGCCATTTTCGATGTTGTTTCAGCTGTCATCAAGGATATAAAAGTTACAGATACTGAGAATGCTACTAGAGTGTAGCTCACCTTGTAAGATGCCTGACTCATGTGCAGAAGACCTGGGTACGATTCTGGATGTGAACATAGTTTATTTAGAGTTTCTGTTTTATATTAATGGTATATTTTTTACAGTAAGATGCCCAATTTTTATTTGAGACTCGCCGAACGGCATTGAATTCACAGATAAAAAAGATGTGGGTTCAACTTTCATTTTGGAACAACTTTTCAAGCAAGGGAATGGAATGATCTGAGCATGCAGGAGGACTGACCCATCATAAACCTTTGTCGGCTGTGCTGAAGAGAAAGGTACAGAACCAAATTATTTAATTAATTAGCTGCACGTTCTCCTGTACTGTGTCCTCCGGGCCACACACACAAACACGGGACTGTCTCAGCTGTTATTTTCATTAAGGAGTGTGCACGTACAGCATGCGCGCCTCATGCACGAGCCTACTATTAAAGTTGCCATTACGCTTTTGGCCTGAGGGGGCAATTGCGAGCATAAAAATTCAAAACGCCGTAAAGTCCCTTTAAAGTATTTCTGTTTATTTGATACTATGTAAGCATATTAGCCTTTATAAAACTAGTATGATGTATGCTAATTACAAAAGATGTTAATGAAAGTGGGTATGCCAAACACATAGTTAAGCCTAAGAATTATGAATTGTCTGGTGTTGACTGGTTGGTATGGGAGGCACCAAAGGAAAACCTGCATTGGGTTTCACAAAAGCTTGGGCAGGCCCTGCTTCCCCTTTACTTACATTTTTTCAAAAGTGAAGGCATAACATCCCCATGTTGTATTTTTGGTCTTTGGGATCTAAACTAGGGATGCAATGACACTTTTTTCCAAACCGATACAATACCGATACTTGGGTATGAGTACTCGTCGATACCGATACTTCTACCACACAAAAAAAAATGCAAATGACAAGTTACAGTGAAGCCACTTTCAAGCAACGACATTGGTATCGGTAAACTTTTACCTATCGGCACCAATGCTGGTATCAGTATCGTTATCGGAACCGACACCAGTCTCGTTATCGGTGCATCCTCAGTCTCAACTGACAAATGTGTGTTCTGAGCTGTGAACTGACCTGATGAGGACACACTGGCTGTCGTGGCGTTTCCAGATGCAGCGATAACACTCATTGGCTACAGCAAAAATGTGTGGCGGGAGTTCCCCTAGATGGTGCTTAGAGTACAGGTCCACCCTCTCCAGGTCATACAGACCTGAGATCTGCTTGTAGGGGTTGACAGCTGCCAAGATGCTCCCGATGTTGGTCTGGAAAATAAACACAGTAGATACGCGAACATCATTTAGATTTCAATCAGAGGCTAAAGAATCACAGGGGGATCCGTTTTTTATTTGTGCATGTAAAGACAACAGAAATCGGAACTGAATACATTATAGCATGATCTCGCTGTATCACATGTGGGAAATCCTTATGATCAGCGTAAAAAGAAATCCAGATCTGGACATTTCATCTTCTAGATTAGATCAAAGAGGGTGGCAGTAATCTCCTAGAATTCCAGGATTTTCCAAATGTCATCTAACAAAAGATTAATGAATTAATAAATTAATCCCTTTTTTTAACTGCAGACAGATTCTCATCCATCAATGGGAAGTGATGAATTGATGCAACAAAACGCATCACTTCCATTTATTAGATTAGTCTCTTGTGGGTTTTAAACAAATTCTAAGTACAGTTTCTATAGTTGATTTTATAATAAATAAAAGAAAAAAGTATTCATATTCATGCCACAAGGCATTTATTATAAATTTTTTAAATTTAAGTCATTAACTACATTTCACACTTACATAAATGTTGTCGTTCTGGTAGCGCTGGTAAAGATTGTGCATGATAGCAGCCTCGTGCAGATCTGCCAGCGCTGACATATCCTCCACCCCATCGATACTGGACTGGTGCATGACGCTCACTCGCTCCCTGGTGACCTCGGCCTGCTGCAGGTACAACACCTGAGCACAACCAGATGAAACAAATGTCACTTTAAGATGTTTCCAGAACTCCATCATACCCTCCTTGTGTTTGCCTAAGCCTGAAACTGCTGTTCATAATTATTATTGTGACAAGTTGGTGTGTTCACACCAGATACACTGTTGAAAATCCAACTTGCAATTTGTTTGGAGAGTTTAAAGTTTTAAGTCAGTTGAACGTTTTAACTTGCAAAATGTTAAGTTAATACAGAAAAAACAAGCACCTAAAAAGTTGACTGAACTTAAAATTGTATTGCAACTAGTTGCTTTACTTTTTTAAGTTCACTGGACTTTTTTTACAGTGTAGGAAAAGATAGAAAGTTACTCAAGTTTGAATAACTGTGATGAGAAAACTGAGTATTACATCTCCTTTTTTCATCATTCATCGCCATAGTAACACAAGAGTTTTTGCAGGACAAAGAAGGAGAGACAGCAAGATGGAGGGCAAAAACAGAAAAGAGGTGTTAAGGGTCTGATATGGCACGACCTGACAGGTGAAAGCAGCTTGGTGTGTATTCAGGTCAAGCGCGCACGCACGCACACACGCACGCACACACACACACACTCACAGCACACGCACGCGCGCGCGCGCGCACACACACACACACACACACACACACACACACACACACACACACACACACACACACACACAAACACAGATTACACGCTGCTGCTATGATACTGATGTACTGGTGTGCAGGAAAGAATTGTCATTCTGTCATTCAGTGAACAGAAACCTGTTATTTAGGGTAGTTGTTAATATCTCAAAGTTGATGTGTGTGTGTGTGTGTGTGTGTGTGTGTGTGTGTGTGTGTGTGTGTGTGTGTGTGTGTGTGTGTTACTGCAACAGATGTGGTAGAAGTCTACAGAGAAAGACAGAAGGGTGTGCTGCAGGCTCTAAAACTGTTCTAAAGTTAATCTATCTGACTCCAGTTTTGTTGCTCAGAGCTGCTGCATGCAGACGGCATGGAAACCCAAAACGGAGTAATCTCCAGCCAGCTGTCTACCAGTGGGATGTTATTTACGCCCCATGAGTGCAATATGCTGCCGTTTGCTCACACTTTTCCTTCTCCTAAATGTCCAAGTATCTTGGGTACAGATGATGCTGTAGCCCATGACATCATTTACCTTGATCACTCAGCTGTGATGAAACGACCTAATTATCTCCCTGTCTTCCATCAGAAGGACATAACTCATAGAGGCTTACATCAGCACCTAACAGCTCAGTATCTCTGTGAACTCTGCCCCTCGACCATCACATCACTGAAACACATCAATATTACCAAAGTGGGCGTCACATGCAGGCGTGTTGCAAGATTTTCAAAAGTGTGGGGGATGTTGTCTGTGCCTAAAATAATTTCATGGTATTCATCTTGTTAGTTTAATTTCCATAATAGCGGAGCAGGTGTGAATTTTAGACGTGTCACGCATGTCTCTGTTTTAAACATTTTTAAAGTGTTCAGAATACAAATCCAGGCTCTGTCTCGTTAGATTGGTGTAACTAAAGTTTGTACTGAATGAAACTTTACATTAAACCATGTTGAAAAGAAAAGGATCCGATTAAATCGTTTCCCCCTCATTTACAGTCAGGAGTACAGCGCAGTGCGCACGGCTCTGGGGTTAATCAAGTTTAATTGTTTCTCTTTGCAACAATCTTCACAAGAAGGCAAAACAGTTAAATGGCAGGTTACAGATATTTCCATTTGACTGTTTATTTTGACAGATAAACTCAAGGATGTTGGTTGTTTTGAAAGAATTACCCCGACGCGCACTGATGCACACACAGATGAGCTGACATTTTAATCGTTACGCACATCGCCGAGGTAACTAAATCAATCCAGAAAAGATTCCCATCAGAACATCAGAGCTTTATACTGGACACTGTGCTCAGTGCGGATCGGAGCGCACACGGTGGACAGTGAGCTGAAGATCTGTAGAGGGGTTCGCAGCGCAGAACCACGGCGCATGCGGTAAGATTTCCTCCCACTGAAGCGGTCTGGAAAGCCGGTCTCTCTGAGGGATGTGTCACTTGGAAAAATGTTCGCTGATTATGAAACTTTGGCTGAACAGCGCTTGTTCCCGTCTCCAATATGGAGACGCATGACGCATCCAGTCTGAGGCAGAACAGCCTCTTCAGCTCAGAAAGCTCCTGTAGAGACATTTGATCACGCACAAGTTTATGTGGAGCAGAAGTGGTCGGGCCACGGCAGGTGAAATGATCCTTTAGCCTACATGAGTGAAACTGTTTAATTGTAACATCAATATGTTACTGGACACACTGGTCTGGTTGGTTAGACCAGTGTTTGAAGTGGAAAACACACACACACACACACACACACACACACACACACACACACACACACACACACACACACACACACACACACACTGTGGATCAGATCAGCAAATTATTTAAAAACTAAAAAGGATCCACATGGCAGGGGTGAGGAGTGAGCACCACCTCACCCCTGCCATGTGGACCTCAAGGGATGAACCATCAATCCTGCTCAACGGTCAACGTTCCTCGTGGGGTCACACCCATTAGGACAGTGGGAGGGTTAAATTACAATCAAAGGAAAAATAAGTCATATTAAAATTATTATATTAATTTCAGACTAGATGCTTAAATATTTCCATATTTTTCTGATCTTTCCACATTTTTTATGCAGTTAATATCTGGTGAAGAGAAGCAACTCGTGGCAAATTTCTCCTCAGCATTGAAAGCAGCTTTTTCTTACCATTTATTTTTCATAAGTCTGAAAGATGCCTAAGGTGATGTTAAGCTTCTAAACTAAAAACTAAAGTTATTTACAAAAACACACATTTTGGATTAATCCAATTGAAAATCCTGCCCGTGCTGGGTCTCAGCTAATTCTGTATAGCTTCAAAGTTCTCGTTAACACAGTTTTGCATCTTTCTCTGAGTCAAACACACACACAGATGTTCAAACTCACACACGGGGAGTCTAAAGTAGAATACTTCATATTTAATAATTCATCATCCAAGAGAGAAACAGAAGAAATACATCAAACTGGTGAAGAGAGAAATTCAACATGGTGAAATAAGCACATGTTCCTCAGATGTGCATCACTTATAATTAACTTACCTCTACAAGCAACACTAAAAACCAGTGTTGTGCTAGTCTCACTATGTTCATATGTGTTTTATTTGACAGAGATGAGTACGACATTAGAAACTAGCATTAAATATTAAAGATGTAGTCATTATAAATCAGTCAGATCACAAAATAATTTATTTTATTAAAGATTTATGGTGTTTCTTTTGCAATAATAAGTGTCCCCCCCTTAAAATAGCTGCTTAAAAGGTTAAAAGACAGTTGTTCTCAACACACACACACACACACACACACACACACACACACACACACACACACACACACACACACTCTCTCTCTCTCTCTCTCTTTCTGTAAAGCTCTCTGATATCTGAAGCTGCTGTGAATGAGCAGGACCAGAATCAGAGAGGCATGCCTCCTCGCTTGACTTCACTTATTGGCTGCGGCGAACGTGAGGAGGGAGTGAGAGAGAGAGAGAGAGAGAGAGAGAGAGAGAGAGAGAGAGAGAGAGAGAGAGAGAGAGAGAGAGAGAGAAGTGGGCACACTGACATATTCTGTTCATCAGAACAGGATACAGTGTCATACACACTCCTACAGCTTTCATTTCTCCATGTGTCTGATTATAGTTGAAGGATGAACTCTGAGATTTTTAGAGTAATCCAATCGCTTAGATCAAGTTTTACAGCTGCAGCAGACAGCATCAAGAACCTGAAATGGCAGCATTGCATTTGCTTTTTTAACTGTTATTAGAAATAAATTTTCTTCCCCAAAGAATCTTTCATTTCTGGGTTGAAAACTACATTTCCCACATATCTCAGAAATACAAACATCTGGAAACTTGGCAGAAGCTACATTAGATTTTTTAAGAATGTGTTGCAGGAAGAATACCATGCAGTTTAGGAGAGTAATATTTATCTGGTTGTTACATGCAAGTGAATCTCCAGGGGGTAAAGAGGATATCACACGGCGACACAAGAGGAAAGAATTAAGTTTTTTCTGCAAAATTAAAAGTAAACAAGCAATTATAGATGAATTTGAGAGAGTTTTGTTGGGTGTAGAGGTTCTGTGTGCACATGGGCAGAGTAATGCAACCCTGCAGCATTATGGGTACTCGCATGAACTTCCACTGGGGTGTTTACGCCAGCAGCAGGAATCCAGGTCACATGAATCATAATTCACCACCAAAGTCTGAGTGTCTACACGCACGTTTGCAAGTGATTTTTAACACTACACAGTTGAAACATGCATAAGGAGGAGGCTAGGGATCGGTACCGAATTCGGTACTTTTTAAGGTACCGACCGAATTCCACAGTACGGACCAAGAACCAATTCACTTCATTTGAAACGGTGCCTCGTTTCGGTACCCCTCCTTCACAACGAGAACTTGCGTAGACAGCTGCGCATGCGCAAGAGCGTTATGTCAACGGTCGCTGCGAGCAAGTTGTAAACAGAGCAAGTGAGACATCCTCATCTTAATCTGCTCCGGTAGGTAAATAAAATGTAAGATAACGTTAGCTTGATTTGTTAGCTTCCGTTTCACTAATAGTGCGTTTGCTTTCTCCTCGGAACTCCGAAATTCCGACTAGAAGAACATGAACGATCACTAAAGTTTGGCTTCACTTTACTAAATGAGACGGGTGATTGGGTGAAGATGAAACCAATGACAACGATCTAAGTGTGAGGCATCATCGTTTTAATCTGCTCCAGCAGCTAAATAAACTGTTTAAGATAACGTTAGCTTGATTTGTTAGCTTCCGTTTCACTAATAGTGCGTTTGCTTTCTCCTCGGAACTCCGAAATTCCGACTAGAAGAACATGAACGATCACTAAAGTTTGGCTTCACTTTACTAAATGAGACGGGTGATTGGGTGAAGATGAAACCAATGACAACGATCTAAGTGTG